CCCTTGGGGATATAGACCCCCTCAATAAGGTCCCTGTTTAAGAGAGCGAGAAGAGGGTTCAGAAGGGCTCCCGTTTTCCCCCCCCCCCTTATCCTGCCTAGGAAAAACTCAGGCAACGTGCGTATTGGTTCACGGAGGTCATGTGCATGCCTGTAAGGCCACTATAAAATTCAAGTGATGTCAGAACTGGAGCGTGGCCGCACAGTGCAGGGGAGGATCTAAGGATTTCGAAGCTCGATGGCGCGCGTCTTCGAGCTTCACGTCGTTCAAGGCCAACGCACGGCTACCTGCTTCAGACCTCAGTTGCAGGAGCAACCTGCAGCAAAAGCAAACCCGCAACCCCGAACGTAGTCACCAAAGACCATAAACCTTCCGGCGATGCGCAACTAAAAAGCTCTAAACACACACACACACACACACACACACACACACACACAGAGACAGACGGAGACGCAGCCGCCCTTGAAGAAAGCGGCTGGAGGCCGTCCAGGCCCAAAGGCCGCGACGCCTGCACCACGAACAGAATCTTCACGGAGTGACATCGCACTATCTGAACAGGGGAAGTGAACTCAACCGTCGCCGACCCTAAACATCCCTAAACCTTTTTGCACAACTCGCTAAGCACTATGTCCGACGTTTCTAACCTGCCTCCTGTCGTTTGTGTGAGCAGCCGGTGGACGAGCTTCGAAACGAATCAGCTCGAGAACACGTGCTTCTCGATGGCCTGCTCATGCTATGCATCGCATGAGCTGGTGGCTTGTTGCCATGGCGGGTGCTTGTGCAGCGCCAACTAGTAACTGCTGTAGAAACCCTAAACCCTAAACTCTAAACCGGCTAACCTTCCCACGCTGGAGCTAGATGCCGAAGCTGTGGACGGAAGGCTGGGCCGCGAAGAGCAAGTCTGCGGGCGCCAGGCACCAAACTCGTCCCGATATTTTCCTTCCGCCAGGACGGGCCAGGGCTCTTCACCACATTTGCTGCTACAAACCAGCTGTGCTACAAGCTGGGTCACATCCTATAAGGGGTAATTGGCTCTGACCCCGTTTCAGTGCTTGTGATCCTTTGAAAACATGCCGACAGCTTCACCGGTGGCCTGTACTCAGCGTCGAAGCAGTCGAGTCCCGCGAGAAGGGGCGGGCCTCCCAGGCCTTTTTGGCAGCTTAGGGTTTAGGGTTTAGGGTTTAGGGTTTAGGGTTTAGGGTTTAGGGTTTAGGGTTTAGGGTTTAGGGTTTAGGGTTTAGGGTTTAGGGTTTAGGGTTTAGGGTTTAGGGTTGCCTGCACTCACGCCCCAACCTGCTACAGTAGGGCTGGAGGGGTTTCGACGCTCACGCTCACACAAGGCAGGCAAGGCAGCCCGGGAATGTTCGAAGGCTGTAAGCCATCCCATTTTTCCAAACCCTTTTCCAAGAGACTTCGCCCGCCCCGATGAAACCTGTGAGCCCACAACCCCAAACACGGCACTGAGCTCCGAACCCTAAACCCTAAACAACAGCCCCTGAGATCTAAAGCAGATAAAACAAACAAGGTCCAGGAATAGAAAAGCCAGAAGACCTAGAAGACAGATTGATTGATGGAACCGCTCTCGCACTTGTAGCCTTCACAAGTGCTATGGAGGGCTGTTTTGCCACAAGACATGAAGATATACCAGAGATAAATGGTTGAATATCAGATTTCCTGCGCTCGGAGTGCTAAAGTCACAAAAGAAGTGGATAATGGTGAAAGATGTTCATCCTGTACTGGAAGAAGATAAAGTCATAAGCGTTCAGGCTTCAAACGCTGCCTCTGTGATGGGCGGCTTTGACCTCATAGGGACGGGATCTTCCGCGTCCTCCTCCTCAAGTGTGTGCACGTTCACACGTGCCACTGCGCCACATGCATGTGCAAGCAACACAGCCACGATGATGGATGAAGTACGAGTATGGACTTGCATATCAGAAAATAAGCATAAATTCGCACTCGCAGCAGCCCCCTCTCTGCTATGAAGGGCCCAGCCGGAAATATTGAATAACGGCATGATTGTCTAAGGGTTTAGGGTTTAGGGTTTAGGGTTTAGGGTTTAGGGTTTAGGGTTTAGGGTTTAGGGTTTAGGGTTTAGGGTTTAGGGTTTAGGGTTTAGGGTTTAGGGTACCAGCTCGCTGTGGGCACATGCTGGCAAGGTTTAGGTGCAGGTCAGCGGCATCCGAAGCCTCTCCGGCCTTGCAGGACACGAAGGCAGGCTTATGCAAGTCTGCCCACCGTGATATGTTGCATTATAGGGTTTTGGGTTTAGGGTTGGGGGTACAGGGTTTAGGGTCGCAAAAGAAATCATGTTATATCTTATATCACATCATAGTACATTAGATTATACTACATCACATTCTATGGCATTATCTAATATTATATGATGGTATTGGGGAGCACTCCCTTCCCATCGAGCCCAACGAGGAAATTTTGGCCAAGCAACTCCAGTCCAAGCGAGCCTGGCTTCACGCGCAACAGTCCCAGCGCTTCATGCTACGTCCTATAGAGAGTCATCACCACATTCGGAGGTCTTTCCAGGTTGTGCGAGACAAGAATACGACAGAACGGATGTGCGGTCGGGCAGCGGCAGGCAACGCCTGGCCGGCCGCGCCTGACGAGCAAAAACAGGGCAAGATGGCTCTGCGGTAGTAAGCCCTGAAAAACCAGGACCCCTTATCTCTCCCTTGAAAAATTCCGAGATTATATAGGGTACCTAAGTATACTCGATCGTGCTTCCGATGTTTCTTGCCGAGATTTGCAAAAACCATCAGGTTTTGACGCTCGCGAGCCGGACCTGCCAGGACCCTGGGGTCTACGTACTTAATTGGAATGTATATTCGGGGGTAATGTGGCACGGCGACGAAAAGGTAATTCTTAGGCTCAGGCTCCTGTCCTAGGTTTGAGGCTTGCTGACTGACTTGTTCATGCGTAGTTCTCTAGATTCGGGTCCCTTTTCTTAAGTGTGCCGTATTACATAGGGACCCAAAAAGGGACCCTAATTTAGAGAGCTACCCTCATGCCAAGCATGCCACGCACGCATTTTGGAAGACAGTGGGCCTCTCTCTCGGAGGCACCAGTCCGTGAAGGAGACCCGTCATGTGCGCAGTGCCGAACGACCCCAGCATTACCTGAGATCTTGCCATGCTCTCGCAAGGCCGAGCATGTGTGTGTGGGTGGTCTCTCCCAGGCCGCAGCTTTGAAGCTGAGGGTGGCGCCATGAACCCCACCGCCCTTCGGGGATGAGGATGGTTGCGCGCCCATTGGTCGCCGCAACTGCCTGGCCACAAGTGGGAAGGGTTGGGGGAGCTTCTCACGAGCTTGAAGCTAAACAGTTTGATGGGCTGATCTGCCACATTGATGCAACCAAGCATCCGCTTCCCTGCCCATTTCTCCCCCAGGAGCAGGAAGGCAACAGTTTGGAGCCGAAATTGGCAGGTAGATATTGTGTGTGTCTCGCGTGCGACGTTCGCAGAAACAGGATCAGGCCACAAACCCTCACCGAGCCTCGCGACTCAAAAAGACATTGGCTGGGGAGGCCAGTGATTCCTTTGAGCTTCTTGCCTGGACCCTCAAAAACCTCTAAACCCGCACAAACCCTCAAAACCACTCAAGAAACCCTCAAAAACCAATCAAAAGCCTGAAAAGCCTCAAAACCCTGAAGCGAAAGGTGGAAAGACCGAAACCTGAGAGCAGCGACCGAAAGAGCTTGTGCCACAGCCCAGGTCGACGATCTGACCTGGGGGGGAAACATTGGGAATCCTGAAAGTAACATTTACTGCAGCAGCAGCAGCAGCAGCAGCAGCAGCAGCAGCAGCAGCAGCAGCAGCAGCAGCAGCAGCAGCCAGGGTTTAGGGTTTAGGGTTGAGGGTTGAGGGTTGAGGGTTGAGGGTTGAGGCTTGAGGGTTGAGGGTTTAGGGTTTAACTGAACCCTAAACCCTAAACTCGTGCATCCCCCTACTCTAGGCACCTCATCTCACCAAGAGGACAAACACCAGACGGCCGATGATCCACTCCTCATCTCTCCTTTCTGAGAAGCGCTGCGTCCAGCAACCCCCCCCTCCCGTTTTAAACCCTCAACCCAACAACAAAAACAACACAAAGGCTGCAAGACGGGCCCCAGCTTTTCAGGGCAAAGAGCACGCATGCCACCGTGTAACGTATCGACAGCCCGACAAGCCGGCTCGGAAGCCTCCGACTCACAGGGGTTATTTAGGGGCCTAGTCCCCTTTGTAACCCCTATATAAGGTATTTATAGGGGGTTAGAAAAAGGAATAAGATTCAGGGTTCCTTGTAGAAGTCCGTCCTTATCCCTCTTAACGGAGGACACTGCGGAATCAAAAACGGGATCTTCGCGTCCGACTCCTTTCGAACCCTGAACCCTCGACCCAAACAGCAGACCCCGAGCCCAAACCACAAGTTGGGCATCTGAGAGGCAGAAGCCATGCATACCTCAATGCAGAAAAATGCATTGCACCTAACCATCAGACCCAACCCCCACCCACACCTCAACCTAGACTCCAAAAGCAGCTCACCGGAGCCATTGCAGAACCTTCAGATCGGGTGTCCGCGACTTCGCTGAAAGAATCTGGGGACGAAGTCTGAGCCAAGAAACACCCTCATGGACCATTGCTCCGCACTAAGGCGGCTACAAGGATCCTCCGGTCGCACGCTTGCCAGGAAAGGCCTCTCAAAGGGATCCATGTTCTCGACATCGTGGTTTTTCATGCAGCGGCCTTAAGGTTTACGGCCCTTTACATATTTTGGGTGCCGAAAAAAGGGTCCCCGAGCCTCAGAACGTCACGCACGTCATGGTAGTCCAAGTGCCACTCCGTACCTTCACGCGAAGCTGCAGCTGGCCACTCGCAACGCCATGCTACACCGGAGGCATGGCGCATGGCACGTCGCGTTGCAATCTTCATGAGGCTTGCTCTTGCTTTTCCCCCATTCTTTTGTGGGTCCAAGTTGGGCTTCAACAGGAACGGCCAGCGTCAGCTCCTTTGTCAGCGGAGGTAACCTGGGACCCAGAAAACTACATGACTGCTCGGCTGCCTGCAAAGAGTGCTGGGTGACTGACGCCGTCGATGATCTGCCTTAGAAGTAAGCTATGTTCAGCGCTCATGCCAGGTTGATTCCGCACTGCAGATGTTCCCAGCCTTCGGCGGCGGATCCAGCGATGCCGCATACCAAGCTGGCATTCGTGGAAAGACAAGCAGACCAATCATGACCTCAGGAGCGCGGATGAGTGACCGTGCCGCAACAGCCAAACCAGTGCCTGGGCCAGCTGCTGTCGGGGCAAACAGGCAGTACCACGCGATGCTGTGCGAGGTACCTACCACTGCCTGTCCAGCACTGCTAAGAGGCTAAACATGAAGCGCGTCCGAAATTCTTCTGACTTCTCCGAACTTTTCTCAATGTGCCTTGTCAAATTTGAGATTCGCGATACGTGATCCCCAGTTCGCCCCCAAGGAAATGGAACGGACGCCCAGGGCCCCGGCCACATAGACGAAGGCACCCAGGCCCAGGCTCAGCACGCAAAACCTGGTTAAACGGGAAGCTTTCCGATTGACACCCATCTCGGGATGCCGTATGTGTGTTTGTGTATGTATGTATATGTATATATATATATATACAGCATTGTATGTATATATATATATATATATATGTATGTATAGAAAACATGAAATGTCAGGTCCATAAAATACATATGCTAGTCGCACGTGCGTGCCTGGAACATGCTTAGTGTCGGCGCGGGCTTCCGTCTCCGAGCCCAGCCCCACAAACTGACGAGGCCCCATTCTAGACAATGCTCTGGAAAGATGTGGTTGTTGTTCCAGCAAGGTGTTTTTTGCACCCGACTGGCACAGCACCGCGGGGTCTGAAAGTCGGAAGGATTAGGGTTTAGGGGGGAGAATGCAATGGTGGGTTCACTGTGGAGCTTTGGGGCTTGTATACGCTTTCCTCCCTCCTCAAGCAGAAAGACTCGCAATCGATGGCTCCCACCGGGAGTCGCAGCCCCCTCATCCGGGCCCCTGGCGGGTCCGTGGGGTGGAGGAGCCAGTGTACTGCAGCAACCGCACCAGCCGATGTCGCAAGGCCCCCAAAAAGTCTGGGAAGGAATGGGCTGGTCGGCCTCCCAACAGTCAACAGCTGAGGGAGTAGGGCCTGAGTAGGGGCGGTTCAGGACTTAGGGTGTATTTCCATGTCCGACATGCTGTTGGGCACCTTGTCGCGTGGTACCTCAAGCCCTTTGGCCATAGAGCCATCTTGATTGCCGGGCCTGAGGAGAAGAGCCATCAAGGTGGCAGCCCCCTGAGTGCTTCCGCCTCGGCACCAACTACCGCCTGCTGATGGCGCACCCATGCCCCTCTGCTTCCTCAGCCTCTGCCTTTTGCATCCGGACTCCCGTGTACCCTAAACCCTAAACCCTAAACCCTAAACCCTATGAACTTCACACCTCTGGGGTCCCCGTCCGGTCTCACGAAAGACCTGCGTCACCTGCTGCGCCTTCGCAGGGGCCGGCCAGCTGGCACGCACCATCCGTCGATGCGATCTCTGAACCCTAAACCCTAAACCCTAAACCCTAAACCCTAAACCCTTTTTTTGACCCCTGGAACTATGCCGGGACGAAAAACCCTAAACCCTAAACCCTAAACCCTAGTCGACCGCGCCTGGGCTCGGAGCCGCTGCCCTTCAATCACAGCAGCACGCTTCTGCTCAACCAAGGCCATGCGATACTTCTCCTCTGAGTTCATCTGGGGGTTTCCGAAAATAGGGGTACTTTTTTTTCCCTTTTTTTTTGGGGGGGATATAAGGTATATAAGGTATATAAGGTATATAAGGTATATAAGGTATAGGTATATCTGGTATATAAGGTTATAAGGTATATAAGGTATATAAGGTATGTAAGGGGGATTCCGAAATGGGGGTAGTTGCCCTTTCTGGGGGTTCCCTTTAAAGGAATTCTATTCTATTAGGGGTATAAAAGGGTAGCCCTCTTTTGGGAAATTTACCCATCCGAGTTCATAGAGGCTGGGAAGCCCTGCTGGAACAAGAGTTTGCTCATCCCAGGCCTCGTTTCCGGAGCTTGAGCACCGCACCATCATGAGGCGAGCACACGCGCGCTGGCCGTACCTCGGCGTCGCTAGCAGTGACCCCTTTGTCTTTACAATGTGCAGCCTAAACCCTAATCCCATATAAACCCTTAACCCTATGAGCCCTCAACCCTATAAACCCTAAACCCTAAACCCTAAACCCTAAACCCTGCCACTTCTCAACCTTGTTTATCTGCCTGCTGGTCTCTGCAGGATGTCTCCTGAAACAAGGCTGCGGCCATGGTCGCCATATGCGAGGCTGCAGCAAGGTCGCCATGTGCATCTACTGGCTGGCTCTTTGACTGTATCCGGTAAACCCTAACCCCTAAACCCTAAACCCTAAACCCTAACCCCTAACCCTAAACCCTAAACCCTAAACCGACAACCCAGATTGCAAAGTTGCTGTTCAACTACTAGGTGGTGATCCGTCATGTGTTGCCCTCGGAGCGTCAGAGGGACAGGTCATCTTGCTCGCGCACAAGCGCATACAAGGGCACGACCCTGTCGATCGGAAAACACGACACAAAGCAGGGCGGCCTGGATGGTTTGAGTGCCATTTGGACCAGTGGCGCTCGTAGTCACTTGCCTTGGTGCTTGTGTTGCTAGAAATATTCCTGTTTGTAGACATGTTGTGTCAAGCCACCGTGTGGGATATATATATATATATACACACATACATATATATGTATATATACATATATATATATACATATCTGGTAGCCCCCCTCATTGATCGTCCATTGTTTTGTGGCTTTTTCATGTGGCATCGTCTCCATCAGGCACAGAGAACTTGTGCTGATCAGGCACGGGCTCAGCAAGCCCATTATGGAGTTCAAGGTCGTCCGCTGTGGAACTTTCGAAACTCTTGGATTCTGGGGACCAGGGACGTGGTAGACGTGCACCACGAAGAAAGGAGAAGAACATGCAAGCAAGCTTAGGAAGTATTAAGGGTTTAGGGTTTAGGGTTTAGACGATTCGTGAAAGTCACCAGTCATATCTGAATTTGACCTATGATTTGTGTCAAACGAAACGACCAGATAATCGTAGAAGACGCGAGACTCACTGAACTCCTCCCATCATGTTCAGGAAATTCGAGAACTGCAAATTCCATTTGTGAAGCCAAGGAACATAGTACTTTAAATCGGAGGCCGTTCTCGGAAAAAACGACATTGCCAAATCTGCAAAGCTGTGTTTCAAACACATGGGCAAGGAGTCATGAAACTATCAGAGACTCTTTCGTTTTATTGTACGAGGGGCAAGCTATACTCAGTGCAAACGCCGGATAACCCAAAACATAGTCTCTTCTCAATTGGCGGTCAGCTCTATTTCTTAAAGGCATCTCTACTTATTGAATAACTGTCGGGCATAGAGAATGAAGGACAGCTACTGTGACAACTGACGGGCCGCATGAACTTCGATTAACCCACTTTTTGTGCGTTAAAAACAAAAGCCATTGGGTTCTGTATTCAATTTGTGTTGGCTTGTGTGGTTTCAAGTTAGACAGCCGTTCATAATATAATAATATGAGTACTTTAGCCCTTTGACTCTGACCTCCAACGTGAAGTGCTTGCAGCTTGTATTGGGGGGGACAACAACTGCCATAATCGAAGCGATATGATTCTAGATGTTCTATTCATTAAGCGCATGAAGCTATGTTTTAACTTCGTGGCCATCAGTTGCCAGAAATAACCCATGAGCATCTAGCGCCTGATTAAGTTGAAGTAAGCTGACTGTGAAACGCTTTCTGCTGAGCCACGAGTCTTTCTCAGGTAGTTGGCCATTGTTATGCATACGCGTGTCCTGCCACGACCTAAAATCGCAATATCCAGAAGTTGATTTTGTGCGTAATAGACAGCGCTTTGAAGAGTTTTAAAGTAGATAACAACACACAACATGGCATGGCGCGGCATGGCACGACAGGCATACATACATTGACATAGATATACACGAGGTCTTGTTGCGGTTCAAAAGCAATTCCACCAATCAGAAACCAAGAACTGGGCCACACTTTGGCCCGATTAACTGAGCTACCTGCATCTGCAGTTGCCGCAGAATCCATCGCCATTGCGGATGTGTACACTCTGCATACCCTTACATGGGCTGAACTTGATCTTCATCGGTTTTAAGCTCCGGCAGAATGAGCTGGGATCCAACAAACTTCTTGCTTTCAACTCGGTGAAAAAGAAATCTGAGCGGGACGCAAGCCCATCGCTGCTAAGACTTGCGGTGTCTCATAACGCAAGCGCAAACGGCATAGGCAAACAAGTCAAACTTCAGCCCACCGCATTTCTCCGCGCGCCCAACTCGTCGAACAGATGGCCAGGTTAGCTATCACTGTACAGTAGCCGTGGATGTGCAATGAAATCGTTTCTCGATCTCTGCAAGCACACAAACAACCTGGCCGCACTGACTGACTAGAAGACTCGCTCAGGTGTTGCATAAGGAGATCGACGGAGATGATGGCGATCGCGCAATCAAGGTTGGCTTATCTCGGATGAGGATATCCAGCGCATGTACGAGACTGAAGACCAGCATGTCAACTCCGGATCGGCAAACCCAGTCCCCAATTCCTCCGCAGCAGAACCCAATGATGACTACATGTCTCCTTCGCCCAGACTTCTGTCCCATAGGGTTTAGGGTTTAGGGTTTAGGGTTTAGGGTTTAGGGAATAACAGATGGATCTGCGCAGCCAGGTAACACTAGCAGGTGAAGGGGGCTCACTGTACAGCGCATCGAGAAGCTTCCCGGTCGTAGCCGATCAGCCATCGCTGCTCCTGGGCTTCGTCGCGGCTTCCCACACCAAAAAACTCCGGGGTTTAGGGTTAGGGTTTAGGGTTTAGGGTGTAGGGCTTAGGGTTTAGGGTTTGGGGTTTGGGGTTTGGGGTTTGGGGTTTGGGTTTAAGGTTTAGGGTTTAGGGTTTAGGGTTTAGGGTTTAGGGTCACTCGGCCTTGGAGATCTGCGCTGGATCTTTGGGTAAGGTGTCTGGCAGCGCAGCCGACCCCGAGACAAACCTTAGGTGAATGCACAACTCATATAGGGAAGGAATATACCTTAACACGATTTAAGGCATATTCCTGAATATGATTTAAGATATATTCCTTTTGAAAAGGGGTATTGGGCTCTTGGCTCACTGCTTGAGCGAAGCTCTTCGGCAATGACCCACGCGGACTCCACGAGTGTGGCATGCTTCTGCCAAGCGGCTTGTGTGGCCAATGGCTGGTACTGCCGCTGTTCACGAATGCCTCCTTCCGTTTCTGGAGAACGTCATCTGATGCGAGCTTGCGAGGAGTCATGCAAACCTTGGGCGCGGTAACGACACAAGGGGCTCAAGGACATGCAAACTTTCGTCCCGGCTGTCATTCAAAGCGCGTGCTGACACAAGCAGTATATAGCCCGCAAGGAGGCCATTCTTAAACCAGGCTTAGTTGTCCAGTAACCTGGGAGAATCAAAGGTTAACCTTTGGGATGATAAGGGGATTATACTACCCCTACAAGGTGAAAGGTTACCTACTCTACTACTAGGCAGGATGCGTAGCCCACCTGACGGATCGGCTGCCAACCTTCGGGTGGAGGGTCACAACCCAATGGCACCTTCAGAGGTCGACTGGTGGCATGAGCAACATCTGGGGTACCCCGTTTATACCCAAAATAGATTGGAATCCCTTTAAAGGGACCACCAAAAAGGGTACCCCTATTTTCGGAAACAGCCATGTCCCGAAATGATTTGCGCCTCCGAAGTTTCGAGAGCCGGCGTGTTGCAGTGGACCTTGAAGCTCTGGCCGTTTTATGAAGCATATGGGTCTCAAACCCTCTACAAGCTGGCGCTGTGAAAATGGGACTGTCGCAGGTGTCACATCGACCTCCAGATTCAGGAGAGCCACTGTACGGGAATCCCACAACACCAGATCGCCTGCTTGGGCACGGAGGAGCACGGCACCCTGCAGCAAGCGATTGCAGACTATGTCGTCACGTTGCCCACCCCTGCTAAACAACTGGGAAGTGAGTACACGTGGTGGTACTGCATGGTGACATCCAACGGACTCGCAAAGATGCGTCTGTGCAAAGTTCCGTCTTGCGGGCCTGGCTTAAGATCGGATCGTCTATGGCAACGGGAACGAAGTCGCCGTTCCGTTTGGCCAGAATGCCTCGAGATGCGCTAAACACAGACCAACAAGAAAGCTGCCCTTTGCTCAACTGCACGCGCGCGAGTCAATGAATCCATGTTCAGGGATGAATCCTGCATCTGTAATCGCGGCTGCAGCTGCTATCCTCAAAACCCTACCTGGCCTACCTCCTCTTGTCCGCAAATCCCCCATCCAATTGGCCTTATTTACATATACATATGTGTGTATACAGAGATACATATAGACACATATACATATATATATATATATGTGTGTGTGTGGTCATCTCCCAAAATGCTACTCATCCAAGATGTGTCGAGGAATGCGTGTAGCTGGGGGGCCGCCAAATATCAAACAAGGTTTTTTAGAACTCACCATATAAATATAAATATATATATATGTATGTATGTATCGTTGCGGCTCAACTGCTAAAACGATACACACTGTACGTACCTCCACGTTTGAGGCATCTCACAGCCCCTCCAACAACTTAGCGGCGTCCCACACTGCAAGCGGCTACACCAAAGGTTTGGGGCTTAGGCAAATGGTGTGATCTCGAATCGAACCCCAAGCAATGTCTGCATGGAAGGCACTTCGTTTGCAGACGTCTTCATGGTGGTGGTGACTTCCGGGAATGACAACAAGGCCACCAGTGTCTGCAGTGGCGTCGAACAAGGTGACGAGCCCCTGTATGCAAACTTTGCCCCTGCTGTCCGCGAATCGCGCGTTCTGGTCGCAATGAAACCATCCTGCCCACCGAAATGATGGCCGACAGTTCCACTTCACAATGTCTCGCGGCACTCACAAGATAGCCTGCTGCATTCAACCCTAAACCCTAAACCCTAAACCCTCAACCCTCCCACCTCCAGATGTCAGCCAAGACCTCTTGTATTTCCACGGCCGAAAGATGTTCCCACCATCGAAGGAGACGAGCAGGTCATTTGTGTTCCAAATGGCCGCGAAGGCAGCCTTGCGCAACCAGGCAACACACCAAATCTGACCAAACAGCACAGTGGCACTGGAAGATGCAATAATTAATTATATAAGTAGGTTGGGTTTCAGGTTCGGGTTTAGCAGCCCCGCATCCTAAATATCCCGAAGCCACTGTTTACAGCCCAGTCTGCGGCCTAGTGAGGGCCGTTTTTGCCTCGGGGGCTCATCCTATGGCCTCAAGACTTTCTTTCGTAAGCGATTTTCACACGCATGAAGTGTGTTCAATGCAGGCGCAGAAGCTTAATATTAAATTGCAGGTTTTCGCGCGAAGTTTATCTGAAGTTTATTCACTTTGTGCGCGCAGTAGGCATAGCGTTTGCACTCGAGAACTTCATTGCAACTCTATGGAATATTGAAAAATTGCAAAACCAGATACTGAGTTTCCTGGACTTGGAGATGAAGACAACAAGGACTCATGCATCTCACTCCAGCTCCAGCGAGATTACAGTAAGACTCATGAACCGACGCGTGTTGTCCAGACCATGACAAGGTTTCAAGGTGTGACCATGCAAGTCCGGACGGTCACTTGGATTTGAACTAATGCGGAAACTTGTCAAAGGTGGATGTCCTGTTCATCCGTTCGCATACAGGTTAAGACGAACAGGCAAGCAATGGCGCGTTGAAATATTAACTAGCCAACAAGGAAAAGGAACAAATCCGGTGCACGCCTACTTAAAAGAATCGCATGTGCATTCTTTAACTTCATATAGCTGTTGCACCTGTAAGCTCGTGCCAATCTACCTTTCAACTAAGGGAGAACAGAAAACAACACGCATGCACGTTGTCTTTGTTCGTTTATCCCCACCCTCGAACGCCATCGATTTATTGGGGCGTTGGTTCACAAATGAACCCTTCACGAGGAGTCTCCAGGGGTGACTGTGAACGGCTAGACCAAGAATCCACTGACATGCGAATTCCTTACAAGAAACTTTGTTAGAAGACGAGGAAAACCCGTCTTGAAACCACATGTACGAACCCTTTCACCCTTGTAACTCTTGGACTTGGAGATAATTCTCAAGGAAGTGATGGGTTTTTATCAGCCAGGGTGTGACACACATCTTGGAAAGGTACGGACCTGAAAATACCAAAAATGTATGCTTTCTCTTTTTTAAGACTCATGAAACAGCTACTGGTTTTGGGAGGTTTTTGTGTTCTTTTTCAGGGGCTACTTGGTCATTCAGAAGTGTGTGTGTGTGCTCTTTCTGGGGCACCAGACATATGTTCAATGTAGTGCTTTGAACTTCATATAAAAGGGTGGGACGAAGGAGCGAGTCAAAATCTTTTGATTTTCCAACTTTCATCTGATTTGTTGCGCAGGAAATGCCCGTTCCTAGCCCAAGAAATCTCAGCAATGGCTTCTTTGACTCCTTGCCAAGTCCGCTCCCATCATAGCAATGCGGAGCCTTATATCCAGAGCACCGCAAGAATCATCATAATCGGGAGCCGCTCTTACAGTTTGTCACAAGTGTTGCGTGTCTTTGCCGCACGCCCGAAATCACATGCACACAGCACACCTTCACCCGTGGAAGCAGTCGCAAATGCCACATGAAGTCCGACTGGCCGAATCCGAAACCATGTAGGATGCCATTGGCAGGATTGGGAAGCCAGTCATACCTTGGCGTCCACATATATGATCAAGCTTTTGAGTCTGGATCTGGTGCTGGCGGCTAGATTGAACACTCCGACACAATCCATGCTTTACTTGAGACATGAAACCTGTCGTCCCAAGTTCGCACATCATCACGCCGCACACGAGTCCTTGGCAAAGCCTGGCGGGCACGGACCAAGAATCGAGGAGGCTTCTACTTCGGCTGCTACAGTAGCTCTCACCACCCCTGTGCAGCACACCATGTACAAGTTCTGATGGCCACAGAAGTGGCTGTGGCTGTGTGCTTTGGCCGATGGCTCTTGCATGTGCTGTTCACAAGACGGAAACGGCCAGGCGGGTGCACCTCCAAGAAATCCCACATCAAGGACCGAGCAGTTGCCAACTCTGCATCGTCAGCAACGTTCGCTACCACCTCCGCATGGCGCGAAGCTCAAGGTGCAAACCCCAAGTCAAGAGCAGAGTCTGCGCATGTGTTTAAGCTGAGCCGCAGCGTATCCGTGCTCTTCCAGGTACTCGGACAGCAAGTGCCTGAGGTCGTTCAAACTACAATACTTGAACTCTACGTCGGAAGTTTTCTTGCATATCAGGCATCGTCAGTGTTCATGCTGGCATATTCCACTCCTGGCAGTGCTGGTTTGCAAGGTAGAAAGGGTCTACAGTGCTCAGCCAAGCTGCTTCTGCGTGTCCACGTCAAACCGCGGAGGCGCAATTTCGACAACGGGAATGTCCGCATCCATTGCAGGAAAGGACTGGTCACTGCATTAACTTATGCAGCAGGTATGTTCTAACACAAGCTCTGTAACTTCGAAGCAAGACTGCTTTCTTCAAACCACATCGAACATACACGCGACCCTCTGTCAAGCAAGTCAATAAGCGGTCGGTTGTTGTCAGAGCAGCCCTGCGATGAGAAGCGCCGTTGGCAGAAATTCCCGATGATGCATTGCGAGGAAAAACCAGCACTCTGCCTTCAAGGTAGCTCATCAACTACAGACAACGCAGATTTTGCCGGGCTCCTAAATGTGGCAGCCTGACCCCGATGGACAAGTCTGAAACCAGCCGAGGAGTTTTATTCGGTTCTCAACTTCACAAAAGTTCTTGCTGTAGAACAAGGACCTGCCAGACTCTTCCAGAGCAGAAAGACACCCTCAGTGCTACCAGCAAGACACAAAGCTGACTAGACCCGAGGATAGGGGCATGGCTAAGCACCTCCTTTATTTTTATGCACAGGTACCTGAACCCCATGACATCCTACACGCCGATGCAGCTGGCGAACTCGAACCGCATCAAAAGTTCCAACCTTTGAACCTCTGAGACATGTGCCATGTGTCACCTCTCCTTGCTGCTCCCCCTAAACCTAAACCCTAAACCCTCAACCCTAAACCCTTTTCGTTCAAAGTTCGTCAGGCGCCGGGTCTATGCCAGCTTCACGCAGGAGAGTCACCACAGAGCCGTGGCCGGCCTGACAGAGTCGGCACAAGCTGGTGTCGGATCATACAATGACCAGTAGTTAGCCTGAGAGTACGAAAGCATCGTGAAAATGGGTAAGTAATCCTTTTTCTTGAAGCTGGACTTGCTGGCCCTTTGCACAAACCCTAAATCCTAAACACCAACTCCCAAGCCCTAAACCCTGACACAGCACCTGTGTCAGAATTTTGCCGGGGCCTTGGCCGCCCTGTCCAGGGCTGCTTCCTTGTTGCGAGCAGTGGCTTTCGGTAGGGCCCGGGCCTGCAGCCTCAGGCAGGAAAGGGCTTAGGATTTAAGGCTTAGGGGCTTCGGTTTTGCAACTTTTCGGGTTTTTCCTGGCACAGAGGGTTCGGGGGGGTGAAGTGTTCGGGTTCATTACCACGCTAGGTTTCGGGCTACGTCGCTTAGGGGGCCAAGGCTTGAGGGCAAGCTTCGGCCCAGGGACAAGAGGCTCACTGCCTCTCGCTGACCCCGCGAAGCCGCGATGTGCAACGGGCAGCTACCATCCGTCGCCTTGGATCCCGAAATGGTCGTTGACTAACATGTCAGAAGTTCAAAGGATAAATCGGGTGCCCCCATCACATCAGATTGGGCACCTTGGGCCAGGAGATTTCGTACATTCGGGTGGAGTTTCGGGACACGCAACGTAAGGACACGTTTGGGCACGGTGAGATCGTGTAAGACTTCTGCGGCTTAGAGTTTCTGATGACCCCTTGCAATGCACGAGCCACGTCACGAGCCACTTAACAGCTTCCTGCCACTTACGAGCCACTCCGCTTACGAGCCTTCCTGGGAACCCCATGTCGGACAAATTAGCGAACTCCCCGAACAACACATCAAGAACCAGAGATTTCCGCAGCAGCTACTACGCAGGGGATTCCTACTTTGTAGGTACCTGCGAATCTCCTCGGTAGTAAGCTCCGAACTGTCCCCTCGCAAGCACCGTGCCTCAGGACGAAACCGACCCTTCCTGCGCAAAGAAGTAAACATGGCCAGGCGACTGGAGCATTTGGTGAGGCACGAAGTGAGAGGAGGACTTTCAAAACCTGCAGGTGCCCATCCAAGGATGCCATGTGAATGGGACGTAGGTCACCCCGCGCACGGGCGTCAACTTGTCCCCGGGCTTGCAGCAACCAGTGTAGCATCGTCACATGACCGCCACTGGCGGCCAAGTGGAGTGGCTGCACTCGAGACGAGGATGCGACCGTCACAGGGGACATGCCACGGTCTTGCAGCCACTGGGCGACACTCGTATGACCTGCAGTGGCAGCAACATGCATCAAGGTCAGCTCGTCCACCTGTAGCTGCGGGTTGTTGCCAGAGCCTCAGTCGGATTATCATCACGCGTCCTACTGCTCACCCAAGCTGCACCCTAATATGTCTCTGCAACTCAGCAGGGGACCTACGAGAGCGGCAGCCAAGTAGTTGGCCATAGCCTCCCCTCGTTTGCCGCTGTCAGCCGGAGGTGATTCCGATTCTGGAATCTCGGCTCTGGCTTGAAGCAGCCTTTCTAGGATATGCGTATGTCCGCCGAAGGCTGCCCAATAGAGGAGAGAATGGCCCTCGTCATCTTTGGCGTTCGGCTCAGCCCTCGCGAGCAGAAGCTCAGACAGAATGGGCAAGAGGCCTCCTCTTGCAGCCTCATGTGCCGGCTGAAGTCCCCTCACATCCACGGCCGTCACTGGGTTCTGAGGTGTGGGTCCGTCCCTTTGCAAGATGAAACGGGCCACCTCCAGGTGCCCGTTTTGCACCGCGCAGTGGAGGGGTGTGCTGCCATCGGTCTGCTTCGCGTGCAGGTCTGCGCGCAGACGCAGGAGGTGGCGAAGAAGATCCACGTTCCCATGTCCAGCAGCACTGTGGACCGGCATGCTGCCCATGGCCCCACCTGCCTGAGCAGCCGTGGCCGGTTCTGCTTCAAGCAGTCGGTGGGCCACTGCCACATTCTGCGAAGCCAGTGCGAGATGCAGCGGAAGCGAGCCGTTTCCTGACGAGATCATGGTGCTGGCACCTTCCGCCAAGAGCAAATCAACCATTGGAAGGTGCCCGCTCTCTGCAGCATGATGCAACGCTGTGAAGCCGAGCGCATCCTGCGAATCGATGCCCCTTTGCTGCAGAAGCGGCTCTATGCCGGACAAGTCCCCCGCCGCGGCCTGAGCTTGAAGATCTGACAAATCCCGCACGAGCAAGTTGAAGGCAAAGGAGACGCGAACTGATCCAACCTCATCCGGCTGCTCAAGGTCCCCGCATGCCTCCACACTATGCAGCGACGACGCGGGAAACAAAACCAGCGTTCCAGGCTGCGGGTCGATTGCGCAGCCCTGGTCGCAGCTGGGAAACTGCAGCTGAGCAGCGCAACTGGCATCTCCCTTGCCCTGGCTTGGATAGTAGACTCCGGAAACTTTTGGCACTGACTCCCCACCGGTGCCATCTCCAGCATGTTGGTGCGCCACGTTGCCATCGCCTCCTCTGTTGACATTGGCCCAAAGCGCTGCAAGATGCACCTTTCTGGAGCCACCCCTTGTACGAACTGCCGTCCCGGTCTCCACAAAAGTCTCCGTAGCTCTGAGAACACGATCGCAGAGATTCTGCAGGCTCTCGACATCCTGGGCCTGCAAGTACTTACTGTGCCATCCGCCGCGGTTGCTACGAGACAAGCCAAAGGGATCCGAGGTCCACTGCTGCAGGGCAAAGCTCCTGAGTTGGGTGTCCAAACTTGATTCTGGAAAGCTCATCCGCAGGATCCATGGAGATATCCAAGTCCCGTTGGCCATCTTTGCCTATCTCGACGCACAAAAATCCGGTAGGGTTATGAAACACCCGTCTCTCGGTAATACATAGCACCTTTCGCCGTCCAGCCTGCACCCGTGTTGATTTGCTGAGCCGTGTTCTTGCTGGCGCTTCAAGCACACTCGTTGAGCCACAAGCTTTGTCTGGGACGCATCACTTGGGGCTTTCCGAACCTAGGGGTGGGATACCTTCTTGATGTCCTTATTCTAAGGGAAACCTACTATTTACTCGGCGTCGATGTTGGGGGCCCCTTATTTTCGCACACCCCCACTTTTCACTTCCCATCGCTTGGCTCGGCGGTGAGGATGCCCAGAGCGACCGGCTTGGCCTCGCAAGAAGCGTGTGCTTCGGGATGTTCCCCCTTATATTGGCAGTCCTTCATCGGGTATCTAGTACCCCTATGCTAGTCCCTGTTAAGGACTGTTAGTATAAGGGTGAACATCCCAAAGCATGTTCTTTGCATCGCCGTACGAGCTACCGTTCGGGGTCCTTTTAAAAGGTGCCGTACTATAAAGGGACCCAAAAAGGGTGTTTTCGCTGTACAAAGCCCTCCCTGCATGGCATACGGACTCCTTTTCCTTGCAAACGATTAGTCACGACGCAAGCGAGTTTCTCGCTGCTCTACTACAGCACCGACACCCACCCAGCAGAAGGCCCTTGCAGGCGACGGCATCTATGGCATTGACGGGGTCTGAGTTGACTCCGAGAGAGGCTTTCGGATTGACGACTCCTCCTCCCCAAGACGACTGCAACAGTTCGTTTGCCACACGTGCATTGCCCGATTCTTGAACCCTCCTCTCGGATGTAAATCCCTCAGGTACAGAACTACAGAGTGCATTTCACACAGGTCGGGCCCACGTTTCGTTACCCGCCTTCACTTTTGAGCACGGACGAGATCATCCAGCTTTCCTCATACCAAGCCGTCAGTCACATCAGCTGGCTACGGGATGAAGGGACCAGCCAAGTAGCTCATCACGTCATGCACCTGGGTCTTGATGTCATCCGTCTTGCCTGGCCCAGCGCGCCCCAAAGCAGAGAAGTGCAGATGCTGAGCGCAGAGAGACTGGATTCGACCGGCTCATATAAACTACGGGTGAAGGATCAAAAAAAAATAAATAAGCATCAAAAAAAAATAAACCCCAAGGGATCAAAAAAAAAATAAATAAGCATCAAAAAAAAAATAACCCATTTTCCTCTTGGAATACAGCGGGGGGGGGGGGGGGGGGGGGGGGGGGGGGGGGGGGGGGGGGGGGGGGGGGGGGGGGGGGGGGGGGGGGGGGGGGGGGGGGGGGGGGGGGGGGGGGGGGGGGGGGGGGGGGGGGGGGGGGGCCCCCACTTGCAAACACAATGCTCGCACGATGGGTAGTAGTGGGTGGTGGTAGTGGTTGGAAAACCTTCTATTTTCTCGATCTTTTAATAGGAAAACCTCTATTTCTTCATATTCCCACAAGAAAACCTCTATTTTCTTCACGTTTTCATAGGAAACCTCTATCATCTCTATGTTTCCATCGGAAAACCTCTATTTGCATGTATTTTAAGAAAAACTTAAACTTTTAGTAGCCCAATGGCTTCAACAAGATTCATAAAGCACGCTTTGCAGTGGCACAGCTTGATAAAAACGCGGCGGGGTTGGGGTTGGCGCAGCCCCCCCCCCCCCCACACCCCCCCACTTGGCTTTGCAGCACGCTTTGCACAGCTTAAAAAAAACAGCGGGGGGGTTGGGGGGGGCGCAGCCCCCCCCATTTGCAAACAATGTTCGCACGATGCGTAGAAGTGGTGGTAGTGGTTGGAAAACCTTCTAGTTTCTCGATCTTTCAATGGGAAAACCTCTATTTCTTCATACTCCCACAAGAAAACGTCTACTGTCTTCACGTTTTCATGAGAAATCCTCTATTATCTCTATGTTTCCATCGGAAAAACTCTACTTCTACATGTTTTAAGCAAAAAAACTTCCATTTTCTTTGCATTCCAATGGCTTCAAAGAACAATATATAATACATACTACATAATATATAAACTATACTATATAATGAGTCATAAATAATAAATTAATTAATAATAAATAATATTATATATTTTATATACTGTATATTATGTATACAGTATATATTATATATTATATACTTTGTATTATGCATTATATGCAGTATATAATATGCAATATACAATACATGATATGCAATATATGACATATAATATACAATATGCGATATAAATATAAGTATATATATATATTTATTTATTTATTTACATATTTTATTTATTTATTCATATTTATATTTACTTATTTATATACATACACATATCATATAATGTACGACAATATGAAAAATCAAAAAACAATAGATAAAAGATATATAAAGGAATATATCTATATATCTAAATATGTATTGTATATTAATATCTATATATAAGTATAAGTTGTATAGATATAAACCATGATATAATGTTTAATATATAATGATAATATTATAGATATATATAGTATAACAGATTGTTTTTTTTGTAATAGTAATATACAATATGAAATATATAATATATAATAGATTTTAATATATAGTATATAAATATAATACAAATATTCCATAGTACATACGACATAATAATATATGATACATAATACATATACAAATACATAATCACAACACTAATACATAATACAGAAGAGATAATATAAAACATATAATATATAATTCATAATACATAATGAATACATAATACATAATACATAATACAGAATACGTAATACATAATACATAATACATAATTTATACTATATAATATATATTATATAACATATAATATATAATATATAATGTATAGTATATAATAGGTAATGTGTAATGTAATGTGTATTATGTAATATGTATATATATATATATGCACATACATACATACATATATATATACACACACGTTGACCTTCACTATCGTGTGTATATAATATAAATATATATATATATATTTATTGATTTTTACTTATTTTTCTAATTTATTTATTTATTTATACGCATAGGACCCGCAGGACCAGGCGGACAGACAAGCAGACCAGAGGACCAGAGGACCAGGGGACCACAAGACCAGGGGACCACGGGACCAGAGGACCACGGGACCAGAGGACCACGGGACCAGAGGAACACGGGACCAGAGGACCACGGGACCAGAGGACCACGGGACCAGAGGACCACGGGACCAGAGGACCACGCAGGTGGGCCGGATGGCTTATTTTTATTTTTTTTGATGCCTATTATTTTTTTTTTGATCCCTATTATTTTTCTTTTTGATGCTTATTATTTTTTTTGATGCCTATGCCTCATATAAACCCTAAACCCTAAACCCCTCACTTGCAGGCGAAGGGCGGATCGTGCCCGTGTCCATCACAGCCCCGGCTCTTTCGCACCACTGCTCACAAACCTCCCTGTGCTGTGTCTCGAGCACCGTGAGAACTCTAAGGCCTCGGAGCTTGCCCACTTACGGCAGGGTTCTGCAGCTTTCCGTGACTGCCTAGCTGCCTCACGCCAAGGCCTCACGCAGAGTTAGGGGCTTGGGGCAAAAATGCAAGGACGCTAGCAAAAAAACAATCAGCACAGCTAGCAGCAACGCACCAGGCAAGTGGATCCAAACCCTGAACACCTAAAGATGCTGTGAACCCTGCCCAGGAATTACTCCTGAAAGGAATTGATAGAATGGGTGAGATGACATCCTGCTCATGCCAGGAGGCATTCGTTGATCTCATGCTGCTTCACCACATCCGCCTAGCCAGAAGTTTTAAGCTGTACCCAGGACGCATTCGCTCACCCCAATGCGCCTCTAGCCGGCTGATCTTCACATCCTTGACTTCAAGCTTTGATTGAAGGTCCTGTGGGGGGGGATCATGGTGGACCGATCTGTCAGCAGGATTGGTCCCAGGCGAGTTCTATGGACAACTGCTGCCGTCCTCAACTTCAGCAGATCTCCTGGAAGCAACAGGACCCCTAAACCCTAAACCCTAGACATGACTGGGTTTTGAAGTTCCGTGACCTAAGAGTCCAGAACTTGAGGCCCTGGCACTCCACCGTCCGTGGCGAGGAGCTGCACGCGCTGGGGAGCTTTCACGGTCGCATGCTACAGAAAAGCAAGTTGGCGACCAGCCTTTGACATCTTCCTGTCGTCCAAATCTTGCGTGGTGTCGAGCTTTTGAAGCCGAGCTTTCCTTACACGGCTTCAGTCTGCCAGCAGAACCCGAAACCCTAGTGCGACAGAAAAGTGCGACCAAAACACAGCACATCGTTCGTGGCAGGGTTTAGGGTTTAGGGCTTAGGGTTTAGGTTTAGGGTTTAGGGTTTAGGGTTTAGGGTTTAGGGTTTAGGGTTTAGGGTTTAGGGTTTAGGGTTTAGGGTTTAGGGTTTAGGGTTTAGGGATGTGTCAAGCCACACATCATGCATAGTTGCGAGGGCGCCTCGCGCAGCGCTTTCAGCTCGTTCTGGGACTCTCTGTACTTGTCTTTGAAGAACTCGCCTCTCTTACAAAAACCAGGGCCTCCCATATATACCCTTTAAGGAGTTCTATGCTATGCAAAAAGGGTGAAACTGAGGTAGAGCAACCTCAGGGAGCCGCGCTGCCTCCAGCCTTCAACTCATTGAGGCTGTGCTGCGCTTCGTCTCGCTCTTGCTTGACATTCCGCAGCTCCTGCACAATGAGACCACTACAAAACAATCTTTTCCCTACCAAACAAAGGGGAAAATATCTTCCCCTTTGTTTACTAGTAGCTTTTGTTTCAAACAGACTTCAGGCGAACTCGCCGCTAGGATTCACTAAAACAAAACTACCCTGGCCGGGACGTGCTTGTCTCGGAAAGTTGGATGGTTTCATCTCCCGCACACTCCGATGAAGAGAAGGCACAACATGTCGCCGCAAAGCATCGCTAAACTTATTTGAGTCTCGTGTGAGTGCTTACATACGCTGCGGTGCCACAACCTTCAGCTGGGCTTGACTGCATGTTGCCCCATCGCGAACCCTGCATACACACACACACACACACACTTGCGTATGATGAGTACTTGCATGGCTCCACTGCCACAACTGCTATGCAGAATACCTGAATACCTCATCGCCCATAAATGATCCCAGATGATGCTGTTCCAGAACCGAATACTAGCGTACTGCCTCAACTTTGACGAGACCGCATGCGAAGGCGGTTCTGACAGCAAGTTTGGTGCATACCGATGCTTGCTCGCACCTGGCTCCTGACGTCGAGTTGTCTCTGCAATTCCTGTGGCAGTCTGTGTCGCAGCCATGCCGCTCTCAAAATAGGGGTACTCCTCGCCTATGCTATCATGAATGGGACAGGAAAACCATAACGGGTTCCCTGACTATAGGACAAGCCTTGGGACGTTCCCCCTTATACCGACAGTGCTTAATATACCATAATCCCCCTTAAGGACTGTTGGTATAAGGGGGAACATCCCAAGGAAAGCCCCCCACATTGCGCTGCAATAAGGCTTGCGACGAGCGCGCCTTGACTTGTCGCGACGCGTCCCCAGAGCCATCAGATCGCTCACTGACGGCTTGCGTCCACTGCGTCATCACCTCAGAGTTGGGATGTTCCGCCCCTTGTACTAACAGTCCTTACTAGGGATTCTCAGAGGGGAGACGAGAATCCCTAGTTAGGACTGATAGGAGAAGGGGGAACACCCCAACCTCAGAGAAGCATCTCTTGCCTCTTGGCATGAAGTGGGTGTTTTCGAAAATAGGGGGTACCCTGTTGGGGGGGGAGTTCCTATCATAAGGGATTATAGTATTTGGGGGTATATTGGGGGTACCCCTCTTTGAGAAAATACCCAAATGCAGAAACACCAGCCTGCGTCATTTCTTCATTGAGCTTCTTTGCATCCGCATATTTCTGTCAAGCGAGGCAGGCTTCAAAACCGAGTTGTTTCGTGTGACCAACCAGCCTTCTCAAAGTGCACAGCTTTTTGCTTCCACTTCTCCTTGGCAGGTGCTTTTTTCTGGAAACACCCTAAACCCTAAACCCTAAACCCGAAACCCTAAACCCTAAACCCGAGCGTTTTGCTTCAGAACTTGCAGGAGCTTCCCGGCCAAGGCACCAAGTCTTGAGATTCCTGGGCTTTCCTGAGCTTGCATGACATGGTACAAGCGATGACCCATCATTAGCAGCTTTCACAGAACTATGGCGACAGAAACTTTAGAGGATGGCGGAACTGGCCGAATTTACTGGCACGAAGAACGAAACGCCGGGGCGCAGGACATCGTCGACGATACCCCGCATCTTGCCGCGCTCGCTGTTCGCTTCCGCGAGCTCGACCTGACCAAACATCTTCAACACTCGGCCGATTCAGCCTCGGGATCTTCATCTAGTCATGAGTCTACATCGCCGAATCGGGACACTGTAGCTGCGTAGCAATGCACTGAGGAAGATACAGCTTCATGCGCGCACATGTGTCGATTCAACATAGGCTGAGCTCAGGCCTTGAGCCTCTCGCACTCGCCATGCAAGCGCCTCTGGGATGACCTCGGTCATGGCACACAAGAGACCCTGCGGCAAGTGCTGAGCCGGCTCACACGGCGAGGGGGCGGCTCGCTCTGTGAGCGACTTGCTTCCATCTCCTGTCGCAGTACCTCCAAGGGTTTAGGGTTTAGGGCTTAGAGTTTAGGGTTTAGGGTTTGTGTGGCTCTTGGAGATTTTGGGGGGAGGCTGCAGCCATCGAACCTCAAGCTGCTCCTTCTGTTCCTTCAGCTGGTCGTCCGCCTCGCCTTGGCAGTTGTTCTGATCCACAAGGCAGGAGGGACCTACGCCATCAGACCCTGCCCTTGGAACACAGATCTGCAGACCAGCCACGCTCCCGCAGTGCGCAAGCCGAGGCTGTTGCCTCACAGGATGATAGGAGCACCCACGATCGACGAGCTTGTGATGCGCGTGTGTGTCGTGCAACCAGTTGCAGGTTGCAGGTATCCTAAACCCTAAACCCTAAACCCTAAGCCCTACAATGCCACATCATGGATTGACTGCTGATGCACACCTGGAACTGTTGGAGCTGTTGTTGGAGCAGGCGGTTCTCGTCCTGCGTCTGGACGCTCCGCTGCTGAGATGCTCGTGCTTCGTCTTGGGCCTGCGCAGATCTGCTCCACCCGGAGCACTGCTTAAACATGTAATGCTATATAGAAAAATATTCATACAGTTTTACATTTTCAATAACTTGCTAGTGTAATTGAGAACTGACCCCTACAAGCTGCCAACAGGATCATACAACATGCCGCAGCCAAAAAACTTAACATGCTGTTTTCTGGGGCTATGGAACGGTCAGGCACGTCTTGCTGGGACAGCCTTGAGACAGTGAACTCAACTCGGTAGACCTGGTAGGCGTGCAAAGCACAACGACACTTTCCAAAATGCAATGTATGTTCGGGCCATGTCACCATGGCCTGTTGCATTAACATTGCGTCCTTACTTGCATGGCTCGTGTGCACAAAGTGCAGACTCTGTGCAGCGCAAGGAATCCTAGCATCCTCTATGTTCAGGGCGCCCAAAGGTATTTTCACAGCCCCAACCCCTGTACTCTATCTCAACCTTGAGCCCCAAACCCCAAAGCTTTTTTGAACCAGGTACTCATGCTGGACCTAAGTCCCCAACATACTTCAACCTTCCAGACGCTTTTTACCCGCCGAAACCCTAAAACCCTACACCCTAAACCCTAAACCCCAAACCCCGAACCCTAAACCCTAAAACCACGAACCCAGACCTGGAGCAGCTGCTCCTCCGCCGCGGTGAGCCGCCTTTGGGCGGCGTGTTTTGCTTACTTGGGGGGGGGGGGGGGCTGTAATAAGGTATGTAAGGTACATAAGGCTTATAAGGCATCTAAGGCATAAAATATGGTATATATGGTATATAAGGTATGTAAGGTATGTAAGGTATACAAGAGGTATGTAAGGCACGCACAAAAGGTATATAACGTACATAAGGTACATAAGGGGGTTTCCAATAATACGGGTCTTTTTTGGTATATAAGGTATATGCGGGGTTTCCGAAAATAGGGAGTGCCCTTTTCGAGGGTTCCTAGAATAAGGATTATAGTACTTGGGGGTATATCAGGGGTACCCCTGCTGTGGAAAATGGCCATATAAGGTAAATAAGGGGTAGACAAGGGGTCCAAAAGCATCCACTCCGCAGGGACGCGTCGAGGTCTCACCACTTCACCTGCCTAACAACTCTTTCGACCCACCTCGTCACTTGAGCTGGGTCCAGGACAAATTCAAGACATACAGTGTAAACATATACATGTGTATATATATATATATGATTGACTTTGAAGTCTAATTGTGACATTCATCAACCCTTGCAAGAGATGCCAAGACAACCCAACAGCCATCCAAACCCGAAACCCGAAACTCTGAACCCTCAACCCCAGGTTGGGTGGGTTCAGTTGCCTGACCAGCTTTCCGGCTTTGAGGTCACGGTGTCACAACTGGGACCGGCGCGGCCAAGCATAACCTCAACCCTTAGACGCCCTCTGTCTCTGCGAAACCAACCCTACACTTTTTCCATCTGGGCTGGGTGGGGTTTGCCAGAAAAAGCAGCTGCTTGCACAGCCTGATCAGCTCTGCTGGCTGACACGCCATACACGCGCTACATACTCGACTGAGCTCTTACCCCAGGGGTTTAGGGTTTAGGGCTTCGGCTTTCACACTGCCTAAGGCAAATTTTCAAAAAACGAAAAGAGAGAAAAAAAAAAAAAAAAAAAAAAAAAAAAGGCGATCCGACCCCCGAAGTGCCCAAGCCACCCTGGGAGCCTCCGGAGGTTTGGAAGCTCCGCTTCAGTGGCTTGGAGCTGGTCCTCCGGACCAGGACACACGTTGCGGGGGGGGGGGGGGAAGTTTTGAGGTGTAGGATTTTGGGGGGAACCCCCCTAATAGCAGGATTCCGTTATGAGAAGGACCCCAAGAAGGTACCCCCGAATTTCGGAAACCCCCAATGTGGGGAATCTATGGTGTAAAGAATGTTCTGTTGTCCACCTGAATCCTTCAACTTCCAATCACCCCCAGGCCTGCCCTTGGGTTGCTCTTCTGGGCAGTTCTCTAGGTTCGGGTCCCTTTTTGAGAGGTCCTCTTTATTCAGGGTGCCGCACAATCTAAGGGGACCCAGAAGGGAACCTAAGTACCGAATTCAGAGAGGTGCTCTTCCTCAAAATCGGCTTCTCTCTAGCCACCCTCGCTGGTGGCAGGGGAAGGTATGCCAAGGCACGGAAGAACTCAAAGGGTTGAGTTCCAGGAAACCCACCCACACCTAAAGAGCCTTTCCTCCAGCGCCTTCATTGCTCTCTTACTATTTGCTTAAGAACCCCAAAAGAATAACAAAAAAATGAATAATAATAATAATCCATTACCCATAAGAAGGAAGAATACTTTTTGTCGGATTCTTAAGCAATTAGTAGTCTCTAAAGTCCCTTGCGGCAGCCTGAAGCTCACCGGACCGTGCTGCGTGCCGCTTGGCGCTCGAGATCTCCTGCGCACAGCTGGGGCGCCGACTTGCCGGCTAACCCTGGCGACTGCGTGGAGAACATGAACTGCAACATCGCGAGCCCCATCCGTCCTGCTCCAGCTGAAACTTCAAGTCTTCCAGCTCAGCCTTGAGCCCACCTTGTCTGAAGCACTGAGGGCACACTGGCAGTCTTCACAGTTCCCCGAATGCTTCTCATGGATTGGACCCACCTAACTGAATCTTAAGCCCCAGCAGCTGCTGCTTCCAAGCAAGTGTGACGACTCCTGCTGCTTGTCCTTCAAGTCCTCTTGCAAACCTCAGTTCCCACAGGCCCTCACATGTGGGCACAAGAATCCCAGGAGCCCTTCGCGCCTAAAGCTGCCAACTGCAGAAACACGTGCTGCAGAGTCCCAGGAGCTAGAGACCTTGATGCTCAGCTCCACGTTCTCCTTTCGGACGCGGCGGAGCTCCTCTTCCAGTTCCAGCTCGCGGTCGGCACTTGCGGTGATGGGCAGCTCTGGCTCAACATCCTTGGCATCTTTGGCCCGTGTTGCCTCGTTGAACTGCTGCTTTAACTTCTCCATCATCTCCCGCTGGTTTATCATGCTCTTGCGGCCGTCCTCGTCGGGGACAATGGAGGGCCGCATGCTCGGCTCCAGGCCAACGTGCGTCGTCTTGGACTCGATCCGTGCCAGAAGCTCGCTGCGCAGCTGGTCCAGGGAGTTCGCGCGCTCACTGCCGGCTTCTCGGCTGCTTCGCTCCAGCTGCTGCTGTAGGGCCTCCAGCTGATGACGGCTCTGCTCCAGCTCAGCTTCTGCGGCCATCGCCCGGGAGCGCAGTTGCTGCAGCTCAGTGCCCGCCTTATCCGAGCCCTTCAGCTTCGCGGACATCGCCTCCTCTCGCAGCTTCAGGGTATCCAGGTCTCCCTCCAGCCGAATCTTCTCGACTTTGAGATCGCGGAGCTCATTGCGCAAGGACGTCTCCGCCGCCGCCCGCTGCTCCAGCGCCTGGTTCTGGGCCGAGAGCCGCTGGAGCTGGATTTGAAAGTCATCGTTGGAGGATTTTAAGACTTGCAGCTCCACGGTCTGCGCTTCAAGCCTGCTGATTTTCTCTTCCGCGCTGGCCAACTGGGACTTTCGCTGTTCCAGCTGGGTTTCTGCAGTGAGCTTGGCCCTGCGAATGGATGAGCACTCCTCTCGCAGCTGGGCAACTTCCTCCGCAATAGTCGTGTACTCCTCAGCACTTTTGCAGGTCGTCATCTCCACCTCCAGCCGGACTTTCTCACGGCGGACGTCCTGGAGCTCAGCTCGGAGGGCATCATAGTCGGCAGCGCTGACCTCCGCCGTCTCAGACGTCTTTGTGTCAAGCTGCCCTTGGAGACGCGCATTCTCCTTCTTCGCCTCAAAGAGTTCCTTCCGGAGCTGCTCAACCTGATCAGACTCCACCTCTCGGGCTCGCGTGTGCTCGGCGCTCTTGGCCTGCATCATCCGCTCCCTTTCCTCTTCCAGCCTCTGTGTGGTCTCGCGCTCCGCACGCTCTCTTTCCTGAGCAAGTGTCTTCTGCATGTCTTCCAAAGCCTTGGCCTTCTCTTGAGCTGCCTTTTTGGCCTCGTCGAAGGCTTGCTTCTTCTCCTCGTCCTCCCTCATTTTCTGAATCCGGTCGGCCGCAAGCTTCCCCTTAAGCCTGCCGATCTTTCGCCGACATGACCACCCTCGCCATCTGGTCCTCGGTGGCACAACCATGGCTATGCAGTGCTAAGTACGGCTTCACGTCAAGCTGCCACAGTGTGAATTACGGCTACTGTCACGCAGAACTGCTCCGAAGCACAAAAGCGAGACCTGTGAACCAAGATGCTGTATTCGCACTGCATGCAGTCTTCGCTTCAAGAAGCCTGCACGCTGGGCCAGCATTCGCAGGCAGGACTGCAAAGTGACCTGCAGCGTTCTGATGGTTGCTGGGGAATGGACGAGGCCGGAGGCACACTACTGAACGGGAGAGCTTTGGCAGAGCTGCATCCCACCCGAACTAGAAACTGCACAGCTTATTCGTCCCCACCCAGCTCTCACCCAAAGCCGATGTGCCCGAAAGAGGTCGCCATTGCTTCACGGATCCCTCTGCGAGCACGGAGGTTGGACTGGACAGGATTCGACCGATGGTTGGCTTTACTATGCAAGTGCTCGAGGCACAACAATCGTTCTAACTACCAAGACCTCCGGAACCTTTGCATCTGAGCTGCAGTGGCTTTGCTCTTCTCAAGCTCGGCAACATAGAGGGAACGTTCTCGCAGCGTTCGGAGGGCTGCTTGCAGCTGGACAGTGGCGACTTTCATCGCTCCTTTGCTTTCGCAAGTTTAACTGGCGCTGCAGTAAACACCAAGTCCGCACGACCCCAAACTACCCCATGAAACCCCGAACCGTGCAGCAAAAGGACTGTAGCGGCGCTTTGCCCTGAAGCCGCGCCATCTCTTCTGTATTCGAAGCACAAACACCTGGCGTTGACGATTTAGGTTGTTGTCTGTGAACTCCGCCTCTCACACTCGGACAGCTGTGCAGCCGGTCTCCGTGACAGCATGACTGAGTACCATGGCAGGGCTTCACTGCCCGATGACCAACATTCCACATTTCCAAGACAAACGGGTGGGGTGCCCGATGGGTTTATTAATTGCTGCAGCTTCTCAATGCAGGTGGGCCTTCACAGCTTCGCCGATCGCTTTCTCCAGTCTTCCCTGTAGCTCTTCCTTCCTTAAAGAAGGTTTAGGGTTTAGGGTTTAGGGATTAAAAGGGTTTCAAAGTTAGGGTTTAGGGAGTAGGGTTTCTGGGTGAGAATTTCAGGTTTCGGGTGCTGAAGTGAGGCCTCCCTCGGCAGAGCGCTAGCAGCCAGAAGCCTGAACCAAGGGCCCCGCCACACCACTTGCCAAAGCAAACCCGGCATCTCATTCGCTCAAAACTTGCAGTGTAGCCACAGGAAGACCTTGCTTCTTCCCACTTGCCACGACTTCGCTTCCTGAGCGTTCACGTTTGGCCAAGCAGCTTTGAGCTACGGAAAAGCGGAAGTTTTAGCCCTGACACAACTGCTCCGAGGCTCGAGAGGTTGCTTCTGTGCTTCAAACTTGGCCTTAAGTCACAGTCATTCACAGCCAGGATCAGATGCCGCCGGCCTCCCCGCCTCCACGTCCATCAAGATCTTTCGGCTGAGCTCCTTGTAGTCTGGGTCAAGGCTTCCCCCCGTCGAGATGTGCGGACAAAGGATTCGGAACCTGCACAACATGGGCCGTAGCACGCAACCCTAAACCCTAAACCCTAAACCCTTGTTCAAAGACTCCTTTTCCGAGCCTGTTGAAGAATTCTTTGAACGGCCGTCTGACGGAGTACCCAGCCTGGCCACACACGCACTGGCTCTGCCGAACTCAAACCACAAAAGGTGTACTAAAATTGCTACTTTTATTAGCATTCGTATTATTATTGTTGTTGTTATTATGATTAGTATTAGTATTAGTATTAGTATTCGTATTAGTATTAGTATTCGTATTCGTATGAGTATTCGTATTCGTATGAGTATTAGTATGAGTATTAGTATGAGTATTAGTATTAGTATTAGTATTAGTATTAGTATTAGTATTAGTATTAGTATTAGTATTCTCTTTAGTGTTTTTATTGTTGTTGTTATTGTTCGCATTATCATTAGTAGTCGCTTTCTTAATATTATTCCAATCATTGCTATTCTTAAGGTGTAGGTTACTGCTGGGCTGAAGCTCAGTTCCTTGAGGATGTTCCTTCTTCGTTTTTCGGAGGGGGGGGGGGAATGCCTTATTCGTGTTTGCCTTCTCTCGCTTCCTTTGCGTCTTGGCAGGGCTTCCTCCATACTTCTAGATTCGGAGGCTGGTCTCCAAGTTCTGTTCGTCAGACTTCAAATCAAACTTGGGGGGCTAAGCTCAGGGCGGACTGGGCTTCAATAGAACCCCCGGAGGGGAGCTGACTAACCCTAAACCCTACTTAAACCCTAAACCCTAAACCCTAAACCTTAAACCTTCATGCAAGATGCCCTGCGGATGCGGATCGACTCCAGCATGCCAGCGCACCGCAGCTGTCTCTGCACATCCAGAGAATCTATCTCGTGTGCCTGACGGGCTGGGTTTTTTGGCACCCGACTAGCCACAGCACAGCGTGGTCTTTAGGTAGGTCTCGGAGAACCGGGAAAAAAAACCCAGGGCAAGGCTTTAGGCTCACCTCCGGGCTGGGTTTAGGGTTTAGGGTTTGGGGTTTAGGGCTTAGGGTGTAGGGTTTAGGGTTTTAAGGTGGGCTGCGCAGTGCAGCACAGGGGCAGGCCGGGTGGAAGGCCACTTTCGAAGCTCCACTACTCTCAGTTCGATCCCAGGCACTTGCAACCACAACCCAAGCACAAGGATAGGAAGGCCCACTTGGGACAAGAAGAGGCACGACACACCCATGCTTCGGTGAAGTTTAGAACAATGTGATTTAGGTGGCCTGCTTGTGTCCATTGGGCTTGATGCACCGGATGTAGCGTGGGTTGGTCCCTCGGAAGCGATTGAGAGCATCGGCGGATCGGGAAGGGTGGACGGGGTGGATCGGAAAGCGCAAAGACAGACCAAGAGGCGGTTCAGATCCTCGACAAGCTGATCCAGCTGCTGCCGGAACATCATGCTGACAGTGATGTTTTGCCTGAATTACGTGCAGCGCGGGGATAGTAGCATGGCCCGTGACCTAGCTGATTGAGGGTCCGAAGTACAAGGGTTTAAGTACCTTCGATGAACCACGGCCCTACTTCTCTTGAATCAAAGGTCACCACAAAATTACTGCTACTATGATAACTATTGTTATTGTTCTTATCATTATTTGTAATCATATCAATAATATTTTAAATATTAAGATTTTCATTCTTGTTCGTTTCTAAGATTCCGGCTTCGCTCGCTGGTTCGAGTCCGGCCCGCGCTTGGTCGGCGAAGGCGCGGCTGTGCGCACCAGCTGGGCCTTGGCCCTAAACCCTAAACCCTAAAAAAGCCCTAAAACCCTAGACCCTAGAGACATTTCGGGGCAGGACAGTGGCCTTTGCTGGAAGCACCAGGCATGGCACTGTCGTCAACGGATCGCAAGCGAAGTCTACTTAACACCAGTCTGCCCACCCTGCTGCCTGCATGTCCGGCGTGAAGCGCGGGTCCGAGAACAGCCTTTCCAAACAGGTGTTTAGGGTTTAGGGTTCAGGGTTTAGGGTTTAGGGTTGCCAAACAGACAAACTGAACATTTTCCTTAAGTGGCCGTCCTCCCATCTCAAAATGTACTCAATAGTTCTGCCGCCATGCTACGTTCGGCACATGGTCATCGAGGACGACTTCAGAAGTGTGATGATGTCCTTGACATGGGGACTCACCAAGAGGCCCCAAACATGCCCAAGAACTGCATCCCATAGTCCCATAGCTTCAAGCAGAGAGTCTGCATGCAGCTTGTCAGTGTTCTTCCTTGTCGGGCACATCCGTGCATCGCAATGCAACGCAGCCAACCATGGCTTATTACGTGAGGCTTGGGGCTTGGGGCGAACAGAACTTCATTGCAAACAGAAACCAGCCCAGTATGGCCCAGTCTCTCCAAGAAGGACAGCACCTCAAGACACAAGCGGAGAGATGCATGAGTATGGGTTTAAACGCTGTGCACTTCAGTTCTTCGCAAGTGAGGCTAGCCACATCATACACCACTTCGCCCGCGTAGTGCTGCACGGCGAAATTTGTCGATGCAAAGCGCGAAGGTTTGTAAACCTTATAGTCACCACCATCCCCACATGCCCGGCCATAGGCGAGCCCATGTCTTGACGCAGGGCCAGCAGCACAAGCTGTGTGTTGCTGAGGACTGAACCACCTTGGAGTTCTTGAAGGTGTTATAGATTTTACCTCAATGCCGCATAATCTCACAACACCAGCGCCCCAGTATGTCCAAGTCCAAGTCGGAAGAAAGGATGCTTCACTTAAGCCAGTGCCCGCTGAGCAGCTCAAGCAGGTTTGATCCGTGGAGCTCGGCATGAGGCATTCGGAATCCAGAATGCAGAAGACACCCAGCCTCATGTTGACCAACCGCAGACCCCTGCAGTACTCCCCCCATAAGCTACTCCCGAGCCTACGAGGGATTTCAATGGACTGAGCAGGCTTAGTATGGGCCCACTGACCCTTAATGTCAGGAATGCGTGATCCCATGCAGTGGGACAAAGTCAATGTTCAGTATACGATGGGAAGAGTATGTCTCCGTAGAATGGTACAGGCCTCCGCCCCGTACCCACACGAAGATCGAAGGCTGAGCTCCCCGGCGGCCGCTTCTCCAGGTTGTCAATGATCTCCTGGTTGTCTTGCCTTGCACGGGATCTGGGGCAAACACAGCAGGGTTCAGGAAGCACTTATGGGGTGCAGCTGTACATCATGACCTCGATGGTCTGGCCAGCCCCTGCGATCAAGTGTCCACTGGATGTGGCTCCACGAGATTCCCTCTTCTGAGTAGAGCCTCTGCTCCATGGTGAACCTGCAGCGTGCTGCACATTGAACAACGAGAAAGGTGCGGCTCCCCCTTCGGCAACACTCTGATGTCTGCGGCCCTCTGCCAGACCCGCGGTGACCATGTTGCTCAGGGCAATTGAGTCCAAGAGGCATAATATGATTGCATTAGTACATGATTATATTGTTCTACTTTTTAGAATACTATATCAGTACAATGTGTATATATATACATGTATAAGTATATTATATTTCAGATTGTTACACTATTATGATATTGTTGTATTATACTATTATAGCATTCTAGTATTATAGTATTATAGCACTATAGTATTGTAGTATAATATTATTATAGTCATACGGCTATATGAAAAGTATATGACTATATACTCTATGATTCTACGACTATATGACTTTACGATTATACCATTCTATTACGATATTATTTTGTTGTATTAGTATACTGTTATAATACTAAACTATTAGTTCCCATATTTTGATACTATAATATCATACTACTACTATTACGATGAGATCATATTCAAATAGCATTGTAGTATGATACTCCCAAATTCTTACATTATATCATTACAGTACTATATATACATATATATATATATAGTATTACTATATTCGTATATTATTATATGGCGATATTTCGAATTAGTCTATTTCTATATGATTTGATTGTTAAAGCACCTATTGAGTCCAAGAGGCATGTGAGAGTTGAAGTGTTGCTGGAGCTTTTCGTTCGCAAAGTTGATGCACAACTGCCTCAACAAGTGACACCAATTTCTGGCTTTTTGCCGAAGTGATCGAGCTTCAGCAGACTTGTTGACTAAGGGTTGACTTCCTGCGAACCATGGGCTCGAATGAATTCCATTCGAAGACTTCGAAGCCATAGATGTCCAAGATTCCAATCTTCTTGGTGGCGTCCTGCAGCAGGGCAAAGGGCCTATGTCTTCGGCGGCCGCCAATCTTCGGGAGCAAGCGAGTCCTTCTTTGGCCCACCTCCCTTCCCCGCAGTACTTTGATTGATTCGCCACACCAGCCAGTCGAAGAGACGCGAGTACCTAAGCATGCTCTCGGTACAATGGAATCGGATGCTTCAACATTGCTTCATCAAAATGAAACTGCAAAGGACTGCGCTTTGCCATGGTTGCCTTTTTCCGCACTAGCCCACTAGCCCAACATCGATCTGAGTTGCAAGTGCTTTGCCATGGCATGACGCGTATTCGAGGAGCCGGATGGATCCTTGCACAAGCACGCGCGTTACCGCATCGTGCATCAGTGGCATCAGAACTGTCTCCGCTGTCTGCGGCCTGGGGCATGTTGATCATGTTCTTGCTGAAGGGATCCTCCATAGTTTTGTACCTCTCACTACAGGTCCATGTTCTGCAGCATTCTCCATCGACAGTGGACAGCTGGGAGGCACTGGAACGTGTTGGTAAAGGCTTCTTTGGAGACTTGCAGCAACTCGCATAATTTGGCGGTGAGGGCGGCGTCGCAGATTCGACTGCCATCGTCCCCCTCCTGGTCAAAACCCTGGTGCTTCTAAGATAAGCGCCACAGACCTAGCAAAAGGGATCTCTCCTCAAACTGCATGTCCCCAAGGTGCAACACCTGCCCAGGGTCTCTTCCGCACGCACAAGATGCTTCCAAAACATGAAGATGCCGAAAAACGGTTAAGGGTTTGCGAGGTCATCACTCCGTGCGGCGAAAGCACGGCAGCGACCAGCTGATAAACCGAATTCTTCTCTTCCGTGCTGAATCCGAGTCCATCCATGCACTCGACGGCTTCCTGCGTTCGGTCCAACCCTCTTATATCTCATGAGCCAGACAAGGCACAACAAGTCCTCAAACATGCCAGCATCATCAACTCCAGGTATGTCGGTGCATACCTCGTGACTGTGTGCTATCGTGAGTGTTTAAGCATGGCAAGATTGCGATCAGCGCGTGACAGCATGTCTTGATGCATCCGTGAAGCAGACGTGTAGGCGTGATCATAGGCAGACCGGAGACCCAGAGAGGATCCGATGCCAGGCAAAGAACTCGCCCCAGCACACAGCTGGTAGAATGCCTTAGCGGCAGACTGCGTAGAGAGTAAAAACCTGAAGCAAAACCATGAGGTCAACCAAGACTGCTGCATGATAGCCACGCTCATCCGGCTGCTGCTTTACCTGATGCTCATCACAGAACATGGGTTCCTTTGGAGATATTCCAGCCAACAGATTTTCAAATTCCTGTGGGTCCTCGGACCACCCAGGCACAATGCGGCTCTTCTCCAAAAGGTAGTTCGATATTCGAGCGCTCTGCAGCTTCCCAGATGAGTCGAACCTAAGCACGCCCAGGGTCAATCGTGGCTCTGTTGGTTTAGGGCTTCTTGCATCCCCGATTATAATCCTTACTAAGGACTGCTAGCATAAGGCGTGAACATCCCAAGCTCTAGGGCTTCTCCTGGTTCTGAAACAAGCTACTCGATATCGATGAACTTCCCGAAGCGAGAGGAGTTGTCGTTGCGGATTGTCTTCGCCTGCGACAGGCCAAGAGCTTCAGGGGCCAGCAGCAACATATATGGGGGTTTACGATGTTAGGGGTACCTTACTAAGGTCCTTGTTATACCTAGGACGGCTTACGTTCTCATCATTCCTGGTGACCCACAAAGCCCCCCAAACAACACAAACACCCCAACAAAGCAAACCCCGCCACAACCTCGCCTTGCTTTTGCTGAAAGGGTATTTAGGGCTCCAGTAGGGCTTGGGTGTTTGCGCTGAAGATTTTGGGATTGATATGCCGCCCTTGTCATTGTCTTTGCGTAGACCTTCAGACCCAAGCAACCCCGAACCACTTAACCCCCAAAGCAACACTAAAGCCCCTAAAGCCCTACACAACCCCTACACCCTCACCCTAAACCCTAAACCCTAAACCCCTAAGCCCCCTAAGCCCCCTATGTAAAGCCCTTTTCCATCAACTCTCCCTGAAACCCTGCGAGCATGCTTCTCTCAGCGGCAGACGTTTCCAAAGGCTTCGAGGATGGGATTGGACCGGAGGACTTGTTCCTCGATACTCATCTTCTCGTGCACAGCAGAGCCTTAAAAAGGCTTTTCGCATTCGGGGCGTAGGCTTTGGGATGCTTTGAGACTTACGGCTTGCGGGGCTTGAGGGGTGTTAGGGTTCAGGCGTTTGGGGATAATTACAAGCATTGAGGGCTTTACGCGCAGACAAAGAGGAGCAAAGAGTACGGAGCCGCACGGTCTTGTTGGTTGTGTGGGTGGGTCGGGCTCAGCAATCCCCGCACGCACACACACGCACACACACACACACACACACACACACACACAACGAGCATTTCAAGCCAGGGTGCTGGAACGCTGGAGATTCGCAAAATACCTGGGAAAGCATGTGCCAGTTGTTGAGCTATCTGAAATTCACAAGACAACTGCACATGCACAGGGCTGCTGCATCTCATGACTAGCCCACTTAGGATATTCCCCCTTCTACTAACAATCCTCAATAGGGATAATAATTACGGGGTACTCTAATCCCTATAAGGGACTGTTAGTCTAAGGGGGAACATCCCAATAGCCTGCCTTAATCTGTTGCAGCTCATGGCACGTGAGAATCCGCTTCGTAGCTTCGGTCTTCCCAGCTCCGCTCTCTCCGGAGATGATGATCGACCTAACAGGAATTCCGGGGAACCGAGACTCCGAAAAGGGCCCTAGAAGGACTCCCGAACCTTAACCTTACTGGTTCCGGAGATACCCCTATACCTCCCTATGTTACCCTTGTAAGGAATGAATGTGGGATCCAGTCATTCGGCTCTTCAAACCTCGAGTTTCTGCTGCCGAGGAGACTGGTTCCGGGCATCACCAAGCATCGTGGTGTATGCAGCAGCTGCCACCGAAAAGAGATGCGGCGGTAGCTCGGATTCATCACCTGATGCACCTGAGAGCAAAGGGACACCACGCAAAAGCTTGGACATCACAAGTGACCATGGTCACCATCCCTCCAGTGACAGCAGCCTGCCGCCGCAGATCGATCTCGGTAAAATTTCTGCTTCGCTTCGGAGTAGAGCCCCGGAAGGTTCTGGAACGGATTCACCTGAAGACTCTTCGGGTTTAGGGTTTAGGGGTTTAGGGTTTAGGGTTTAGGGTTTAGGGTTTAGGGTTTAGGGTTTAGGGTTTAGGGTTTAGGGTTTAGGGTGACAACGGAACTGCCCCAATCCAGGAGCCAGCCAAGGTGCCGAGATAAGGATTGGACCTTACTTGGAGGTTCATGGTACTTTTTGACCAATGATAACTGTACCTATAGGGTTTAGGGTTTAGGGTTTAGGGTTTAGGGTTTAGGGTAACTGTTTAGGGTAACTGTACTTATAACTGTACTTACTATCCATATTTGGGCACTTAAGAGGCTTGTAAGTGGGTTAGAAGTACAGTTATAATTGGTGAATAAGTACCATGAACCTCCAAATACAGAGACCTGCAAACGTCCCGTGTATCTTCACAAGGGGGGTCCAATCATTATCAGTCGTGCACAGCTGGTTTCTGTGACAGAGGCCCATCGCACGGGCTCTTGACGACAGTAACCTCCGCATTGTGTAAGGACTGCACTTCCAATGCCCGTGTAGATCAAGTCATCGAAATATCTCTGCCGGACGTTGTGCAGAAGCGCTCCCTCATTGAAGTCGCCTAAAGACAGCCTTGGCCCACACATGGACGACACAAACATGCGGAGAAAGTCTGCTTGGAAAGGCGGTCCTGTCATGTCTCTGCCGAGCAGCAGGTCCTCCACCCCTTTGAGGCAAATCGGATCCACAGGTCTCGCCTTCTCTTGCGCAATTTCGAACTTGGCTCCCTGGGCAAATGCAGATGTAAGGGCTGATGTCACTCAAGGCTTTGGGGAGTGGATCCCTGCAACAATCCCTGTGTAATTCTTCTCGCGCTGGCAAGGTAGCTAGAATCTCGGCAAAGGCAGGGTAGCTCGTGTGGCTACAGGACACAAGAAAAAACAAACCACTGCCCATGAACACAGCAGCAGTCATTTGGGATGTGCTCCCGACACATCGGAAAGCTGCCAAGCTAAGCGTGACTGCCTTCTGTTCGAAGGCAGCACGAAGTGTGGGTCAACCCGAAACGACATTCTCCGTGCTGTTCGTGAACATTGTCAACGAAAGCCCTATGCTGCTCTGCCATAAACAGTTTTGCGCGAAAGCTTCGTTGCTGCTACACTTCGTTTCCACTTAACGCGAACGCATTCTGTTCGAAGGCGAAGCGAAAGTGCATCCACTGTGGAAACGAGGCCCGCCTGGGATGGAAGGCACGAAGGCTCCGACGCCATTCAACGTGACAGCCTTCTGTTCGAAGGAAAAGCAAACGTGCATCAGCTGCGGAAACGATGTCCGAACTGCCCTCGTCGCAAGAGCTTCGTTGCCACTTAACGAGAGCGCCTTCTGTTCGAAGGCAGAACGAAGATGGCAAGGATGTCCGCACTGCCTTTCTGCCTTTTCTGCGGGGCACACTTGTCAAGATTTGCAAAATTCGATTTTCGTCTTGAAGTCCTAGCAGAACCTCTAAAGTCTTTGTTGCCACTTACATGACTGTCTCCTTCTCGAAGGCAGCACGAAGTGCGTGGGCAAATACTGGCGACAACTTCCGCGCTGCCGGTCAATGAAATCCCTATGCTGCTCTGCCCCGAACATAGTTTGAACATAGTTGCCTATCAGAAGCCCAATGGAAGGTTGAATTGGCAGACGCGAAAGTGTCATTGCTACTTACCTGCCCGCCTTCTGTTCGAAGGCAAAATGTTACAAGGCGCATTATCTCTTCAAAACAAACCAACGTGTTGGCCAACGAGTTGCGATGATCTCTGCGCTGATTGTCACTCAAAGCCCTATGAAGCTCTGCCCTTCTCTGCCCCAAACAAAGTCACTGGTTGTGTCTTTCGAACTTCACGTTCTCAAGTCGTTACAGACTACCCCGTGGTACTCGAGAGCTCGCCGATTCGTTGGCACTTAACATTAACACGCTTGTCTTCTGTGAGTGATGAAGCTGCTACTTAGCGGTCCCCGCACAGTGTCCCCACACCGTTCCGGCGGGACCTAGTCATTTGAATAGCCTCTGGGGCTCTTTCATCTAAAGAGTGGCGAGAAGGCGGGGTCCTGCTTCTGCGCAATCTTGGTGCGCATGAAGTGGTCATAGGTGGCCTCGTATCCTTGGAGCTGCGCGGGGTGCACACGGATGAACTTTCCCTTCTGCCTCATGTACTTGGTGAGGCATTGTCCGTCCAGGTCGCGGTAGAACTTCAAGGCGTACTTGGGCTCTATGAAGTTGATAAAAGCATAGCCAACGTTGATGTTCAGCTTGAAATTGTGGGGAAGGTAGAGGAAATCGAAGCAACCCTCGAAGCCACGACGATGCAACTCCTCCACAAGCTTCTGCTGCGTATGGTGTGGCGGGATATTCCTCATCATCACCGTCACAGTGTCGTCCTGCCACTGATCGGAATGCGTAGCCCGCGTCGAAGTCTTGCGCAAGTTGCCGCAAGAGTGCCGACGGACCTGCTGGGCAGCCCCTGCGCCAAGCCTGCAGTCCTGCTGCGTCTCGCCTATCTTCGTGTTTTCGAACTGCATGTTCCACTCCAAAGTGGAACCCCCAGACGTCGAGTAAGTGGCGTGAAACATCTTTCCGCGGATGAAGTCTTGGTTCAACTGGGAATAGGAGTGCTCGGAGCCATGGATCAGGGCAGGAAGCAGAACTACTGTCTGTGGCGGCCTTGTGGACACGCAGGAAGGCGATACCAAAGTCGAGGAAGTGCGCATCATCATCCCCCTTGCGGCGTCATCGATGGAATCTCTTAGGTGACTCGCCTGCGGGGATGTTGGGGACGATGGGGTTCGGTACTGCCCAATGCAGTCTTCATCGTCAGTGATCTCACCCTCCCAGATCTCGCACTGGGTCTCAGCCGCCTGCTGACACAGCTCCACCATCTTCTGCTTCTCCATCTGCTGAAGCATCTGCAACCTCTCCGCCTGTTCTCGGTGCCGGGCATCAAGTCGTCGCACCTGATCCTCCATCGTGACCTTTTCTGCCTGATCCTGGTCAGCCTTGGTCATGTCCTTCGCGGTGGTCACGCACATGGTTGCAGACTCCATGAGGCTGCGGTGTTCGATGGCAACTTCAAGCTCTGAGCCAGAAAGAGGCTTGGACAGTAGCCATTGGTTCCCCGCGAGCGGCTGGACAAACCACTCTGAAGAGACTCTGCACATCTGTCGGCACCTCACGCCCCCGCCATACATACGACATGCCTGCCGAAACAACCACACCGCTCTCCGAGCACGCAGTACACTTTACAAGACCAAAAGTACCGAAGCAAGGCAGCCCACCCGATTTCTTGCCACCCGTTTGTTTAGGGTTTGGGATTAGACCCTTTCCCTCGCTCCCCTCAAACACTGCACGCCTGGTCATCGACAACGATGTAGTTGCCTTATTTGCACAGCGGCTTTGAGAACAGCTCTTGACCTCTGTGTTGGCTCAGGTTCTCTTACTTTCTACACCTGTTGAGGAATCCACCTGGAAGTTAAGCAGCGAAAGCAATCTGCGCAGTCGACATGCAACATCCTCAACCCTAAACCTCAACCACCCAAAGAGCCCAATACCCAATTAAGGAATATACCTTAAGTCATATTAAGGATCCCTAGATGAATTAAGCTATATTCCTTAATTCAGGAGTATTGGGCTCTTTGGGAACTCACATGAAACCTAGCGGCCGTTGGCCCCCACGGAGTCCACTCGGCCAGGAGCCCAGCCCTGGCACAAGGATGGAGGGGGCTAACCCCAATTACAACTGCACCTATAAGAATTCTAAGTCCCCTGGGTAGGCTATAAGTTAGACTTTTTTATATTGAAAATTTAGGGGTATAGTACCCATGGGTAGAGGAGGGGGAGGGGGTTCTGCTCGTCTTCTTCACTGAGTATATGGTCAGCGTTCTCAACCAAGATCCGCCTTGGTCACGCACGCCACCCCGAACACCCAAAAAATGACCGTAGTATGCGTCAAAACCCCGAGAATCGCGCCTCGGTCGGGTGGTCTTCGATCCATACTCTTCCGCTCGCCTGCCCACCGCCTGCACTCAGCATCTCCATGGCGGCGAAGGCTCCGGTCTCTTTTGATGAGTAAGCGGCTACTACTGCCAATTGCGCAAGAGCCCCCAAAAAAGTGAAAAGACAATAACCCCTATACTACCCTTGTAAGGAAGAGTCTTTTTGTGTTTTTGGGGGGTTCTTAAGCAATTGGTAGACTAGAATCTGGAGCAGCCGCTCTTCGCGCCGCGTGTGTGTTTATGAAGATTTGCATCGAGGTCCGGGACGGGTTGAGCCCGCAAACAAACACACCGAAGTACGTGCCTGCACGAGATATTGAGCCCTGCAAGCCTAGGCCACCAAGCACCGGTCTTTACTGCGTGTTATCGCGTCGACATGTGATAAGCATCTGAGAAGCATCTGATAAGCCCCATGTCGCAGCAAGTTCATGGCACGGCAAGCGAAGACGCCCCTCATCCACGAGACATGAATTCTTCACTTGAGAACCGATCACGAAAAGTGTCTACAGCGCCTGCCTTGTGGGCGATTTCTGGGAGCGTTGGCAAATTTTGGTAGCCTTGGCATGTGGCATTCAGGAGATGGGGTCCGCCTCTCCGGCACAAGGACATTGGCTCTTTTTGACTGGCACACACGCCAGCTCTACATCTACATACTGTAGTTGTTGCCCCTGCGGGCACCTCCCCCCACCGATGCTGTTGCTGGGGCTTTCATGCGGAGCCTTTTTTAGACGAGCCTCCGCGGTCGCCTCGTGCTCTCCTTGTCCAGACTAGCGGGGCAGCAGCCAGCCGTGATGCTTACGCGAAGCATTGTGATAGGTAGCTAACGGCCGGTGCTTTCATGCAGTTCACGCGAAAACGGCGACATGAGCAGCATTGGGCTGGCCATGAGTTGTCGAGCTTTCCAGTCCAACAACCCCTGGTGGAAGAGCGACTTAGGAGGGAAATGGAGGGAACGCATGCCGGCCTTCGGCAACACGTAAACGGTCCGCTTCGCGGAACGACGTCAAGGTCTGAGAACCACTCGACTTGTCTGAAAACTGTCCATGCTTCGGTTTCTGAAGCATGGGTGCCCAGTGAAACGCGCAAATCAGCTCTGATTGTCCGCTCTGAAGCGGAAAACGAGGTTCAGCTGGCTTCAGCATGCTACGGGGATCTTCACTGAGACCGCCAGGTTGTGAGTGGTGAATCCTGCCTGCTGCAGCCTGGCAACGTAACACAAGTGGCATGGGGTTTTTGCACATGTGTCCACTTCAGGCGCATGCTTTTTTCTGCCACCCACCTAGCAGGGTAATTTAGGGTTGAAGCACGGTCATAGGCAGGAGGGAGTGGAATGCTAAACCCGATGAAGCTCATTGCGTTGGGGGTCGGTCAGTGTGGCACCTGGCCTGCTTCTTGTCCCGAGGCAGCTGTCGAAGCTATCTCATATCGACTGCCGAGAGGATGCGCATCCTCGGATGTTTTTCGGGATCGGGCTTCGGCTCAGCCTCGGGATGCAAAGCACCCTAAACCCTAAACCTTTTTGCACCCTAAGCCCTAAAGCCTAAAGCCTGAACTAAACCCTAAAAGCCTGAATTAAACCCTAAACTGGCACTGCCATCCAGGCACCGCGTCAGCCGCGCAAACGAAGGCCTCACAGAGCCGCAACAAGCACATTGGGGATCACCAGACCCGTGCTTAACCTTAAGCCCTGAAACCCTAAACCTTCTTTTGCCCCGTGTGAACCCTTTTGCCCCTAAACCCCAAACCCTAAAGTCTCCGGTCGCTGGCAGCGCGGCACTCTAATTCCTAAACCCGAAACCCTGAACCCTAAACCCTAACCCTAAACGTTGAGGCCCCGGCCATTTCGATGGCGGCATGTTTGCGCTTCAGCTTCTCGAGCTCCAGACTGGCGAGGCCAAGGACGGAGCGGGAAGCGCCCGGGGGAGAACTAAGGTTGAGGGTTTGGAGTCTAGGGTTTTTCCCCCACCCGACTAGCCACAGCAATGCGGGGTCTACAATACGACAACAATAGGTTTAGGGTTGAGGGTTGAGGGTTGAGGGTTGAGGGTTGAGGGTTGAGGGTTGAGGGTTGAGGGTTGAGGGCTAAACCAAACCCCTTAACACATCCCCAAACGGCAGCAGATTGGGGGCTGCACCTGTCGGCAGCCTTTTGCCGTGCCTCCTGGTCGGGACATTGCTCCAACCAGTTTCGAAGACAATCTGGCAACCCTAAACCCTAAACCCTTCCCTTGTTACCCTAAACCCTAAACCCTAAACCCTAAACCCTAAACCCTAAACCCTAAACCCCAGGGCCTGAAGAGTCAAGGCGCGCACCTGCAGCCGGCGACGACGGATGTTCAGGAACCAGGAAGGCTCTTGGGGGTTTGAACTCTCCTACCCAGAACAAAGTCGCGGGTTTAGGTTGCAGGCAATGCTGCACGACAGAGCCGTCGTAACAAAGCAGGGCTTACCTGCGGCATGCTTTTATGGGGGTTTACGTACTACCCATCCAAACCCGTGGGCCCCACCCATCCAGACCTGTGCCCCCAGCTTGCATCCGGCCCGGCCTGTTTCCTCTTTTCTTTGAAAGCCCCAAAACGTTCCTGTTTGGGAAGAAGTTCCTTCAAACAACTCTATAGTCCTTTAGCACTGCAAGCAAAGCACGTCTTCCGCGTTGATGGCCGTCTGCTGCTGCACCCACATCTCGTTCAAACCTGAGAGGCACCGGCGGCCAGCGGCCAATAATAACACTCGACAAGCACCTCATGCAAGAACCACCCCCCCCCCCCCCCAAAACACATGCAGATATCAATAGACCCCCTCAGACTTTTCAGAATCGAAATCTGCAAAAGTAACATTTCTTGAGAGCCACCCCCCGCTTTCTCAAGAGGAGAGAGTCGCCAAGGGCCCCCACTTCGCAAATCACCCCGGGCTGCCTGGAGCCGGACCTCGCCACAAAACGGCTGCTGAAGGAACCCACGGATCTAGGGCTGCAGGTTCAAGGCTTAATCATCCCTAAATAGCCTTAATCATCGGGGTTTTTTCCTTTAAGGTTTAGAGGGGGGGAACCCCAAAAAAAGGGTATAAGAGAGGGGAGTAGTAGGGGAACCCATGATAGGTCTTTCGACTCTCACACTCGCAGGGCTTTAGATCCTTAGGGCACTCTGAGGGTTCTGGGGTCGACCTCGAATTAAAAAATATTAAAAAGGGAAGCTTCGGGGGGGGCTCCGCATCGGAATGAAACAGATTTTCCTCTTTGGGTGGGGTTCTTCACGGAGCTCGCCGGGGACCCCCTCAAGTCGTGATTCTTCCTTGAAATTTCGGGTTTAGGGTTTAGGGTTTCGGGTTTAGGTTTAGGGTTTAGGGTTTAGGGTGCAGGAGAAAAATTCCAGGGTGCCGGGGCAAACCTGTGATGCCTCAACAGAAGTCCTGGAAGTGGCAAGCGGGGTTGCAGCCCGGAATGTTGCCAAGAGCCCCAAGCGTAAACCAAAAACCCGAAACCCTCAACCCTAAACCCTCAACAGGCCTGAAGCAGCTCCGTCTGTTGGATCCGGTCTCGGATCGCATTCTCTGCCGAGTTGATTGAGGCCTGGAGTCTTCCGACTCTACCTGGGGGTGAAGACAGGAGGACGGGAAGGGGGGCATGGACGGGGTTAGGGCGTTTTTGCTCCCCCCCCCCCCCCGGGGCTCAATCTCAGCAGAACAGCCAGGGTGTTTAGGGTTTAGGGTTTGGGGCTTAGGGCTTAGGGCTTAGGGCTTAGGGTTTAGGGTTTAGGGTTTAGGGTTTAGGGTTTAGGGGGCGCTGGGGGTACGGATGAGGGCCATCTGGGCACCCCCGCGGTCGTAGCTGGAGAGCACCTGCTCGGTGTCATCGCACTCGTCCCTAAACCCTAAGCCCTAAACCCGAAACCCGAAACCCTAGACCCTAAACCCTAAACCCTAAATCATCATCAGCATCGGCACCCTTATCATGAATAGCGGTCATGGCCATGGCAATACTGATGGTAGTCGTGGCGAATTAAAGATAGTTAGAAGACGCACGAATCACCAGCATAATCAGCGCAACGAAAACAGTCACAAGTGGCATGAAGCATGACGAGGGCAGTGACAAAACAACCATCACACTCAGCATCGTCATCATCAGCATAGTCACAATCGTAGTTTGGAATGTTCCCCCTTCTCCTAACAGTCCTCAATAGGGATTCTAGTACCCCTCCTCTTTTAATCCCTACTAAGGACTGTTAGCATATGGGGGGGAACATCACAAATCGCAATCATCGTCAGAATTTCAAGTGCAGAAGGCCCCGGGACGCCTGAAGCAGCCCAACGGCGCTGCTCATGGCTTTTGCAGACCTGGTTCATGGTTGGGATCGCATTAAAAATTAAAAAATATGACTTATTGGGTTTGGGATCGCATTAAAAATTTAAAAAATATTACTTATTGGGTTTAAAATGTAAAACCCAACTATGACCAAGAGACGGTGGTCGCGACCTTACGGGCTTGGCGACCTGCGCGGGGGCGACATCAGAAGACCAGACCCATGAAGTCGGCTCAAGAGCCAGGCACTAGGTACAGCTATGTATAGGGTTTAGGGTTGAGGGTTTAGGGCTCAGGGAAGTTTAGGGGAGGAAAAATCAGACCTGCTCGGTAGTTGAAGTCTTTGAAAAGGTCAGCACTTGCCTGTAGCTTGGAAGGTTCGATCTCCAGGCTGGTGCCGGTGCTGAGAGCCAATTCGAGGGACCCGTCCAAGAAGGACTGGGACAAAGACGTTGCCAGCTTGGACCTCAAGCGATCCGACGAGTCCTCCTCGACTGCCGCAGCATTAGCCTCCAGCGCCGCCTCCAGGGATCCATCTTGCAAGGCAGCCAGTAGCTGCGAACCCATCTTCTCCCGAAGATCCTCCGGGTCCCTGGCTGCTTCTCCAGCCTGCTCGGCTAGCACAGCCTCTAAGGAGCCATCCGTCACCGAGGCCTCGAGGCGAAGGGCGAGCTTCTGTCGCAGTGCCTCGACATCATCTTCCAAGCCTGGCTCAGGCGGCAAGGCCGCATTCTGGGCCCCGTGAGGGGCCCCCTGGGCGTTCTTGGGAACAACGCATACCTGCAGAGCCGCTTCCAAGGAGCCGTCGCTAAAAGCCTTCTCCAGCTGGGCAGCAACACGCTCGCGCAGGTCCTCGTCGTGTGTGTGGCCGGATTTCTCTTCGATGCTTAGGGGTTCCTCTGCGGGGCCATCTGCCAGAACGCCCTTGACACTTTGCAAAGCCGCTTCCAAGGAGCCGTCGGTAAAAGCCTTTTCTAGATGCGCAGCAACACGCTCGCGCAGGTCCTCGTCATCTGTCTGCCCCCCATGCCCTTGGCCCACCTGGGCTTCGATTCTCAGGGCGTCCTCTGCAGAGCCATCTGCCAGACGACCCTTAACGCTCTGCAAAGCCGCTTCCAAGGAGCCGTTGGTCAAAGCCTTCTCTAGCTGGGAAGCAACACGCTCCCGCAGGGCCTCGTCATCTGCTTGCCTCGTGTGTTTTTGGCCCGGCTTGGCTCTTTGTGCGGCCTCGATGCTCAGGGCATCCTCTAAGGAGCCATCTGCAAGAGCCCCCTTGAGCTGACGAGCGAGCTTTAGGCGCAGGTCATCTACATCAGGCTTTGCTGGCTTTGCTGGCTTTGCCCACTGAAGCGCCTCAAGCGCACCCTGAAGCGTGCCGTCCAAGCTGGCCATGACCATCTTCTGCGCGACTCGCTCCTTGAGCATCTCGAGCTCGACACTTTCCACATCGCCCAACTCGGCGACGTCAGCCGATGTGCCCGGCTGTTCCGCGACAATTGTCACGGCATCCTGACGCGCACGTGCTCGAGAAGGACGCGGCAACACGTGCGTCATTCCGGGCCGACCCTTGCCTACACCTCGTTCAAGAAATACAGTACCGTCGCTAGGACCCAGCTATCCGAAGGCAAGGACTGGGTGCATGACTCTGCCTGAAAAAGCCCCGTCCTCGTCGTCCGCATGGTCGGCAGCAAAGACCGTTTGCAAGGCCGCCTCTAAGGAACCATCGGACACCGACTTCATCATGGACGCTTGCAGCTGTAGCCTCGGTCCCAGTAGGAGCTCAGCAGTGCCAACACATATATGTTAGTTATGCATATAAATATATATATATATATATATGATTTGTTTCATTTATTCACTTTTATTTTGTATTCATGCATGTATATCTATGTATACATATATGTACGACGGACCTTTGTGTACTATTTGATGGTTCTGTTTCCCCTTTCAAATTTTAAGGGCCTGTAAGGAGTTTAAGAATTTTAGCGCCTGTTAAATTACTTAAAATCCTGAAAATGCTTAAAATTCTTAAAATTCTGAAAGCCCGAGGCCTTTGAAGCCTTTCAAAATTTTAAGGATTTTAACAAAGATTACTTATTTCGGGAAAAGGTCCGGGCCTTTTAAATTTTAAAAAATCCTTAAAAATCCTTAACATTTTGAAAGCCCGAGGCCTTTGCGGCCTTTCAAACTTTTAAGGATTTTAAGGCATTTAAAAGGCTTAAGAATCCTTAAAGCCCTTAACATTTTGAAAGCTCCTTTGAATTTAAGGGTCCTACTACCCAAATCCTTATCACTAAATCCTAGAGCGGGGTCCCTACATCTTGTTCCCTAGCTGTGTTCCCTTAATGCTATTCCAAAAGCCCGAAGGAGGGGCATCCTTACAAATCCTAAAGAGCCGGATCCCCAAATCTTACTCCCTAAACCTTATTTCCTCAATTTCATTACCCAAATGGTGTTCCCTATCCCTAAAGACGGGGGGGTCCTCAATTCCTATAGAGAGCCCCTGAATCCTAAAAACAAATCCTATTCCCGAAGTCCTTTACGCTAAGCCCTAAAACCCAGATTTCCGGAATTTTTCCTGGAATTTCAAGCACAAAGCGCGGGTACGGGGGGGGGGGGGGGGGGGGGGGGGGGCGGGGGGGAAATATGGTACTGGACACCCCCCCCCCATGTACCCACGCCTTTTTCCAGGCTTCTCCAGAAAGGCGTGGGTATTGGGACCGCGTGAGTGCCTTCTAGTATCTATAATTCATCTATAAGCCGACGAGCCTGAGGTGTACTTTGTGTCGCATATGCGTGAGCAGGCAACTTTCACTCCACAAGGTGAAATTGACTCAAATTGATTCAAACCTTATTCAACTTGGAAAAGGCTTATTCAACTTGAATCAGGCGTTGGATTCAAGATTCAAGATTCAAGGTGGCCAGGAGAACTTGCCTGGGCATCTTGGATCTTGAATCGTGAATCCAAAGCCTTATTCAAGTTGAATGAGGTTTGAATAAATTTGAATAAGTTTCATCTTGTGTTTCCAAGCTGTGCTTGTTCAACATTCCTTACGCGTCAGGCCACTGCATTCAGGAAATAAGCTTTCGGGACCGGGATCCAACCCTTATATATGGGCTTAGCGCTTTAGGAATTGAAGGGCATTAAAGAAAAGGGAATAAGGTGGGGAAGCCGGACATCTCACCCCCGCTTGCAAGCGACATGGCAAGAGGCTAAGCTAAACCCTAAACCTTCAAGCCTACACCCCTAAGTAAAACTCTAAACCCTTGTGGTCCCTAAACCCCCAAACCCCCAAACCCTAAACCGGATCTTTATGCATGCTTGGTGAGAGATTGAGGTTGTAGATATAGATTATATTAAGTTTCTATTAGCACGGGCAGGAAACCATCAAATAATACATAAAGGTCCGGGCCACATACATATATACATATATACATATATACATATATACATATATACATATATACATATATACATATATACATATATACATATATACATATATACATATATACATAAAACATATATACATATATACATATATACATATATATACACATATATACATATACTATATACATATATACATATATATACATATATACATATATACATATACATATATACATATATACATATATACATATATACATATATACATATATACATATATACAATAAATACATATATACATATATACACATATACATATATACATATATATACGTATATACGTATATACATATATACATATATACATAAAACATATATACATATATACATATATACATATACACATATACACATATACAGATATACATATATACATATATACATATATACATATATACATATATACATATATACATATATACATATATACATATATTCATATATTCATACATTTATATATTCATATATACATATACATATATTGTAATTGCTTGTTCATTAACTTTTTTTACTTGTGCTTATGTACTTGTATGCGCCTGCGTGATGTATGTATGTGTATCAAGAACCCACACCAGCGCCCGAACTGCAGAGGCCGAGGCCGGATTTCTTCTAGGTCAGCTTCTTCTGCCAGGGCCTGTCAACTCTGTCAGCTGTGTGAAATTGCCTGAGCCCTAATTAAACGCTAAACCCTAAACCCTTTTACAACCAGGTCTGCACCCTAAACCCCTAGACCTTAAACCCTAAACCCTAAACCCTAAACCCTAACCCTGAACCCTGAACCCTGGTGAGTTGCCTTTTGGAGACCTCCTCGTACAAGGCTGGATTCCAGCTGGGCACGCAGGATGTCCTGCCATGTGCAGGAGGATTTGCCGCTCGGCCCAGCCTGTTTAGGGTTTTCTCCCCTCCTGCACAGCTGGGGCGCATGTTTCATGTTTAGGGTTTAGGGTTTAGGGTTTAGGATTTAGGGTTTAGGGTTGCAAGTGGGTTTCCCAGTTTAGGTGTACCGTAGTAGAAGGGAAGCCTGCTGTCCTACTATCTGGGGTCTATATTAGGTGCCCCTTACTTTCGTAGACCCCCAAATATTATGTAAGCACCCTTCTTGGCCCCAGGCCGCTACCGGCTGCTGATCTCGAAACCCGAAACCCAAAGCGTTCTCTGCCTTCTCGTCCTCGGGCATGTCCGGCTTGGCAGATTCCTCCCGTGCTCCACAAATGAGAAATACCAGGGACCCATTCTTTGTGACGTCCATCGACCACAGAAGTAGTACGTGCGAGCGGTTCGAGTTTCTATGCGCGCTCCCACCACTAGCAAGGAAAAACTGAAAGCATCCGAAAGCGGCGATGATTGGACAGCTTCCGCGGCGGGTCGTGCTGGCGGTCGGCAAAAGAGCCAGTTTTGTCCGACAAACCTGGCACTAAGCGAAAACAAATCCAAACTGCTTCTCGTGACAAGAAGCCTCCCTTCCAGTGTAGCCACCACTGCCGAGTTCTATCTTGGGAACGATAGGGGGACACTAAGAGAAATACGAGCAAAATCTCAGACGCGACAAACGAACAAAGTCCTTAGTCTAAACTACGAAGCGGAACCCGCGATTCAGAAGACGCGTCTCAGATGACATACGGCCACTAAACCGCGTCCTCCTGCTCGCATATTCTGCTGGCAGCCAGTGCCTCCTTCACAGCATCTAGCATGGCTCTGTCCGACAGCCAACTGTCCAGCGGGTCTCAAGGGCAACACGGTCTTGTCGGGTGAACAGTGGCTCTCCTGGAGGGTGCCATTTTGCGCAGCCGTGGACAGAACATCCGCCATCCTGTGCAAAAGCCAGGAAGTAAGGTCCTTACAGCCTAGGCCAGGAAGCTGAACCCGCAGATGTGGGGCAGGGACAAGCCCCCAGAATGCGCATGTGCGGTCTGAATCCCACACTCTCCATATGCCCATGCTGTCTCTTCAGGGGTTAACTGCGAAACCATAGACTAGGCAGGAACATTGAAGAATTCAGGTGCTGTTCTGCAAATCCACTGCCGGACTTTGGCGCCTCCTCTCGCAGAAAGTCTCTGCTTCACAAGACTGCCCTCTTCCACCGTGGCAAATGTTATGCTCGACCATGCTCCAAAACTCATTCCATGTTGATGTTCCTGTCTTCCAGCAGGATGGGTGATGAGAAGCCCGTGCTCAAACATCTGCCCGTAATTTCAACAGTGCTGCATTGGGGCAGTATCAGGGTGCCTAGACCCTAACGCTTGCCACACCATTTCACCTGCTTCCATTGCTTAGGATTTAGGGGCCTAAAACCCTCTGAAAAACACTCCTGAATATGATCCTCTTAAACCCAGTAAGGGAAAAATACAAAATGTCCCAAGAACCTACCTGGGTGGCTGTCAAAATTCTGGTCCCTTTTTGGATACCCTAAATAACAGGTGCCGTCTTCTGAGAGGGATCCAAACAGGGACCATAATTTTGACAACCATCCACCTAGTGGCGCTTTGTCTGGCCTGTGCCGCAGGAACTCCTGGTACTCCTGGGATGCAGCTGGCTCTGGCCTGTCAGATGGTTTCCGACAAGTAGGGGGTACCCTGTTTGAGGGTCCTTTTTTGTTATCCCAATTCTATTTTGGGTACTAAAAGGGGTACCCCCTCTTCTGGGAATTCCCGTCACAAGGCACATGGTCCACCAGCCACACTATTCTATAGAAATTGAAGTTCGTCCACAGCAAGCCTGGCCTGATGCTCTGAGGCTCTTCAGGTGATGCCTGGCGAGGGGGCTTCCCGCTGATGCCACACTTGCGTGCTGGACATGAAACAGAAACCTCCCGAAACAAGGGCCCATGCGTCGCGCGAACATGTGAGCGTAGCGTGCTGCGGTGGAGGGCCTCCTTCTCAAGCCGACCTTCTTGTGGAGACTCCAGCTTCTGGAGGTCCTGTGCCAATGCGCAGCCGCCAGGACCCTCAATACAAGCTGTTGAAAAGTTGCCATCTGAACTGCAACCTTTTTCTGGCTTTCTTGAAGCTTGTGCGCCTCTCGAGTCTTCTTGCCACGCTGCACAGCCTGGCAAAAGAAGTTAGGGTGACTTGCCACCGACTCGCCCAGCCCCAAGCCCGAACTTGGCCTGGATTCGTGTCACGGCACCCACTTTCTCCGCCTTCTCCTGCTGCACCTCTTGCCAACAGTGCCAAGTCTCTGAAACGGCCCCCAAGCCAAAGCGGTTTGAGCCGGGGGCGACCGCCCGGGTAGAATTCCCCCTCTGTAGGGCCTTCAGCTTTCAAAGGTGATGTCTTCTTCTCTCCGAGCAGAGCAGCTTTGCTTTCTGCGGGCCTGGATCTTCTTGGCGGCTGCCTCTTGCTTGGAGCCCACATCTCCAGCGAGCACCTTGACCGCCTGCAGATTGGGGACTTGGGAGGCGGAAAAAGCGGAACTTCGCAAGGCCCGCATCAGCCTGCTCCAGCTGTCCTGATTGGGAAGCCACCTCGGAGAATAACACGAACAACAGGGTTTAGGGTTAGTGTTCCTGGTGGTGGAATAATGGACTGCCATGAGAAGTGGGTGGATTCCGCACGTCTTCTGCCAAGCATCGATGATTGCGCCGGCCAGACGCTGCTTCAATTCCAACAACGCCCTGGCACGCATCCGGCAGCCGTACGACTCGACGACGGGGGCTTGGCACCGAAACACCCCCAAGCATCTGCCGGCTCAAGCGAGCACAAAAAGAAACGCCGAACAGTGAGACCCAAAGATGTGGTTCTTCCTCCCGCCGGTGCCTGTCGGCCTGTGCATCTCCTCCTTGGGCCGTCCGTCCATGCTAGAACACGCCAGTCAAGCCAGGTACGACAAAAGTCTCAGCGCCGTGCCCACGACTTCCTTCTCAGCCTGGGCAAATCTTGCCATGTAGAGGTGACGGCTGCAGACCCGCAGAACCACAACAAGGTCCCGACGCCCTCTTGCAAGGCTGTGCTGGACGAGATAACCTGGAAAGAGACCCTCTGTGTCTGCAGCGCACGGAGCTATTCTTCTGACCAGCCGAGCTGCCGCGGTGCTGATCAAGTCTTTGAGGGTATTGCCTGCCCAAGGGCCAGCGACCCACGCATCTACTCTATCCCGAGAAGCCAGAAGCCCTCTCGGTGTGTTTCCTGCATCTTCCGGTCTCCGGTCTCACTGAAGAGGCGTCGGAGCCTAAACCCCTGATCGCAGGGCTAGATGAACTCGAACTATAGAATATCTCTGCATCCCCGATGTGATGTGTTGCGCGTTGCCCAAGATCAGGAGACATCATCCCCAAGCACCACCCCCAGAAAGCGTGTGCCTTCCTGTCAAGCCTGAGCCGCAATCCCAGATTTCCATCGGCTGAAACCCGTAAAAACCCTCCCCTAAACCCTAGGCCGCAAACACCAAGGCGACAGGGCCCATCCGCAGCGCCTGCCGCATCCCATGAACCAGCTTCCAGCTCGTCGATTGGGGTCAGATCTCCTCCTCCGAGGACTGGGGGGAGGAGGAGGGCGGGGGGGGGGGGGCGGTACACTTCAGACCCCAAGAAATTCTCAGGAGAGATCCACGCAACTGCCTTGAAACACAAACTCCCACAGCCAAGGCAGGAACGGCATACCGCAACAAGTTCAGCAGATGACTGCGGGAGTGCCCGATCGGAGCATGTTCCTCTAGCGCGACACACGGTCAGCCCAAAAAAAAGCACTCGGATGCACTCAGAGAAAGGCCTTGACCTCAAGCACAACCCTATGTACACTCCAGGGTTTCGTGTTTAGGGCTCAGGGTTAGCAAGCCTTTTCTACCCTCAGGACATCATGACAAGCTGCGAAATGCAATGGGCGAGCTAGCTTTAACGTTTTTCCTTCCATGCCATCCACTGCTACTGAGGGCAGCGTAACCCCACATCCCACGGCTCCCTCCACTTGCAAGTCAGGAATGATTCTATCACAACCACAGCTGATAATTGCTGACTGCGGCGTCTAGCTTTCGGCAGCATCCACTTATGTGGGGCCCTCTCCGGTTCAGGATCAGGATTGAGGATGTAGTCCCTAAATCCTGCTTGCGACAGGCTTCGCACCTCGCCTGGAGCCCCTGAAACCCTAAACCCTAAACCCTTGTATCTGAAAAACTTAAGCCTTTAGATTTTCTTTGCCACCCGCCATTTGCCGCTTTCAGGTTCCTTGCCTGCGGCAGGGTTTCTGATTTCCGGTTTATAGGCGATAAGTCACCTAATACACACACACACACATATATATATATATGTATACACAAATATCTCTCTCTTATCGTGTTATATATATATATATATAGAGTCTAGTGTTTGTAAAAATGTACGAATTTAGATATGTACATGCGCTACCTTCGGTTTCGGAGAAGCTTGCTGACAATTCTCTTGTTTTGGTTTCGGTTTCTTTGGAGTTTTTGGATTTGGTTTCTTTGGCTTTTGTGGCTGCACTTGTTGTTGGTCTTTTGGGTTATGCTTTTAGGTTTTTGGTTTTGGCTTCCAGAGAATTCTCCTGACAACTTTGATTTTGGTGGTGGTTTCTGTGTTTTCCTTTCTTGGTCGTTTGTTTGGCTTGTTTTGTTTCTCCTGACAATTTTGGTCTCTTTGAAAAAATGGGTTGGTTTCTTGCTTTTTGTTGGCTTTGGTTTCTTTGACGTTTTTGCTTTGTTTGGGCTTTGGTATCCAGAGAGAATTAGTCTAACAAATTCTGACAACTTCTTCAGGGTCGGTATCGGTGACAGCCTGTAATTTGATTTGGATGCAATTTTTCTGAAGTGCACAAAGAGGCAAGTTGACAGTACTGACGAGTACCGCAGCAGCATGGAGGGGTACTTCGTGCCCTCTGTCGATTGGTGCCCTTTGTGCCGAGCTGCCCACACCCAGGCTTGTGAACTTTGCTACATCTGCAACTGACTTCAAAATATGCAAAGCATGTGAAACCATTGTGTTCTGAGGGGACGCCGACGCCCACAAGTCCCTGCTTTTGCATGGATGCGTGGTTTCTTATTCCGCCACATGGATCCTAAACCCTAAACCCTAAACCCTAAGCCCTAAACCCTAAACTCGATTTCGACTTGCTCTTTGTGGGTTGAAAGGCTCCTGCACTGCGGCCCGCGCAGGCCGCTGCCGGCGCTTGCTGCTGGGCCAATGCCTGGAAAACACCGCGGGGGAAGGAACGAAGAGCGCTGGAGCTGTTAGCTTTCGAGCTCAGTAGGGTTTAGGGTTTAGGGTTTAGGGTTGTGTTTAGGGTTTAGGGTTTAGTATTTAGGGTTCAGTACGTAAGAACGCGGCATTTGACTCAGCATGTATCGACTTGCGAGCTGGCCATCGCATGCCCGGGCCTACGGTTTCTTTCGGGGCCTGAGGCCATGAACAAACCTAGTCGGGGATAGGGGAGGCTTCGGGGGGCCCTTGGGAATATAGACCCTCTGAATAAGGTCCCTGTTTAAGAGAGGGTTCTCTTTTTCAGGGCCCCCCCTTGATCTACCTAGGAGCCTAAGCGGCTTGCCTCAACTGCGTCCACGCCCATCTCCAGAAGTCGCTCTGCGCGGACAAGCTGGGCCACCCCTTCCACCAAGACGTTGACCGTCTCCTGCAGAGTGACCCCGTCGAGGGTGGTTCGGGTGAGCATGGCTGCGCTTTGTGTTTAAGGGATTGGCGGAAAGGAAAGCTTACACGCCACTTACCTGTATGCACCACCTATTGACAGGCCTTCGTGTACCTTGCTACTTACCTGGCTTGTGTGCCAGACGCCCTCACAGTAGCCCAAACCCAGGTGCTTGCGCAGACACATATGAGCACAAGCTTGCGCAGCCGCAGGCATGACATACACAAGAACGCTCGACAGACAAGCTATGTGTACAAATGCATAAACTGCCGGGGCAGTGTAAAATATTAACCCCCCTCAGACGAGTCGCATGTGTATTGATACATCTATAGGTCTGTGTATATATATATATATATATGCATGTATATATATATAATTACGTATATGTATACATGCGTGTGTGTGCACATATGTACATATGTATATGTATACACACTGAGACACATGAACGGACATGTTGACAGGCAGCAATGGGGAGACTTCTTGCATCGTACAGACACATGCATACCCATCGGGTGCCTGTAAAATCCGAATACGAGATGCGGGCTCGTGACATCATGCTTTCCAAGACGGCTGATTGCAAGTTTGGATGCTTGTTGGGCGGGGGTCCACCCCAATGGGCAGGACAGCGGGGGCATGTGGCATTTCGGATGCAGCAAGTCAAAAAACTCTTCTGTCCTCTTCGGTGATGTCGATTCGATCACGGCTAGAGACCTCAGTGGATTGTCCCATCTGGGCCCATCAAACGCACCCGAGTCATTGCACAGTGCCGAAGCTGCCAGCCTCGACCAAATCACGCATGCGGTCTCCAGACCTTGCGAAACGTATACTATAACATACTATAATATAATATAATATCATATCATAGAATATGCTATATTATAATATACTATGGTCCTGCTTGCCCTTCTGCAATGGTCAAGTTCCCTGTCTGAGCCAGGCGACTCGCTGATAGCGCCCTTCCCGACCAGCCGGCGGGCAGAGCACCACTGAAGCAGCTCTTCCTGCGCCGAACTTCCGAGCTTCGTGAGAAGTATAATATACGATAATAATATACTACAATATACTAAAATATACCATAATATACGATAATATACTATACGATTATATACTGTTATATACTATCTTATACTATTATATACTGTTATATACTACTATATACTGTTATATACTATTATATACTATTATATACCATTATATACTATTATATACTATTATATACTATTATATACTACTATATACTATTATATACTATTATATACTACTATAACTATATATTATATATTAATACTACTATTATACTATTATAGACTATATACTATTATATACTTTATATACTATCTATTATATACTATATATACTATTATATATACTATTATATACTATTATATACTATTATATACTATTATATACTATTATATACTATTATATACTATTATATACTATTATATACTATTATATACTATTATATACTATTATATACTATTATATACTATTATATACTATTATATACTATTATATACTATAATAAAGAAGTGCTGTTTTGCATTTCAGGTGGCTTTGCTGTCGAAGGCTACGGTGTGTGTGGCCTTCTTCTGCTTCAACAGGGGCAGCTTCACTATCACGCTGACCTGGTACCATATCACATGGCACAAAAGGATGCCAGTCCCAGACAGCTACCAGCACAGGTCTGAGCCGTCTTCCGGACTCTCTCCCATCTTTTGCCCTTTTTTTAGCGCCATTCTCAGCCCCATCCCTCAGCTGGTGCACCAGGTTTCCTGCCCAGGCCGCTGCAATTCTTGCAGGGAGGCCATGCCACGCAGAAAGCGCCCAGTTGCAAAAAAAATCGAGTCAGTTGGAAATTTGGAGCCTGCAGAGTAAAGGAGATGCGAGAGGCAGCGAGGCCGGGTTCAGGGTTTAGGGTTTAGGGTTTAGGGTTGAGGGTTGAGGGTTTAGGGTTTAGGGTTTAGGGTTTAGGGTTTAGGGTTTAGGGTTTAGGGTTTAGGGTTTAGGGTTTAGGGTTTAGGGTTTAATATCCTTATCTGTTACAGGTGATGTATTGGCACGTTTTGGGCTGCAAGTGCCAAAATGCTCTGGCACCTCGCTTCAAATGCTACGGCCCACAATGGACGCACCGCTCGCTGGGCAGTGCCGTCAGCTTTGCAATGCGAATTAGAGGAAAACTCCAGCTTCTCTACTGCCTGCCTGTACAACTACTATTTACTCAAGAACCCCCACCAAAAAAAAACAAAACATTCTTCCCTATAAGGTGGATAGGGGACTGCTGTACTTTACTTTTTTGGGGGTTCTTATGCAAAGAGTAGACAATCACCACAAAGGCAGCCCGGAACTTCTTAGAGCCAAGCTCCATCACAGTTTCCCATCGCCCAATCAAACATTAATCGCTGTACAGGCGCTGAGGTCGAAGGCCGGCTCTATGTCAGGCCTAGTGTTTGCTCAGCGCAATATTTGACACACAGGAAACCGTCTTCTCGGCGATGTTGTTCATACCTGACTCACAGAGTATGCGCACGCACAGGCACACGCGCAGACGCACACCTGCCCGCATGCGCACATGTGCACGCGCACGCGCAAACTCGCACTTGTACACACACACACACTCTCTCTCTCTCTCTCTCTCTCTCTCTCTCTCTCTCTCTCTCTCTCTCCCACTCACACTTACAATATGAATGCAGGTGATCACACTTCAATGCACAAGGCATGAACGACTGCAAGCGAAGAGATGCTCCAAAACCCATTACAGCACGTTACACCACATTCCTCTCACTGACAGCGTTCGACAAACAGCTTGCAGCAGCGGCCGGTGCATTATTCATATTCTTATTAATGTTTTTATTAATGTTTTTAGTAGAATTATTATTTTATTTTTATTGCTATTATCATTATGATTATTATTATTATTATTGTTATTCTTATTGTTTTTCCTTATTAGTATGATAGATGTGTGAAAGAGGCCAGGTTTGAACACCCAACAGAGAGTGATGCTTCGTTAGACGGCTCGAAACACATGAAGAGGTAAAGGTGATGATGCGTATGAAAATAGGCAGGTATCGGACTGAAGCTGTGAAAAATGTTCAAGTTTGGAAGCCACCCTCTCATACTGCCACACATGAGTCGCTTTTGATGCCTCCACAGCACGCACACGCACGCAGACACACACCCCTGCACGCGCGCGTGCGCAATCTTTGTGCAATCGAAGGAGCAGCTCAGCCATGGAAGTACTACATCGCCTGGGCCACGGTCCAAGTCATCAAATGCAGTGCAAGCCGATGCACACAGACACTCTCTTGCGTGGTCGCGATTATTGAGTACGTGCTCAGCACGACATGGATGAGGGAAGCATTACGCAGACACCCGTGACTTTTTGCGGGCCAGGTGCGGGGTCACTCCATTGATGAAGATGTAGATTGTCTGTTCCGGCTGCGAGCCTGCGGATAATTTACGATGCTTGCAGTGAACTTGGGGGTTTCCGAAAACAGGGGGTACCCTTTTGAGGGTTCCTATGATAAGGGTACTATTTGGGGAGTGCTGGCAGGAAACTTAGCCCGCGCCTTCAGCTTCAGGCACTGCTCGTTTGATCTCCTTCTGAACCTGAGCTTGGGAACAACGCCTCTGTGCCATGTCTTCTGAACTGCCTTCTTCCCTGCTTCCGACACGGGGCCAAATACTTGAATTCGCCAGCTCTCATCCCGCCAGGTACAGCGAACTTGCTCCTTCCAAAGACTGCGCTACGTGATCGGAATGACAAGGCAAGATGCAAGCTGAAAGCGCTGCTGCAACACTGCTGAATGAGCTCGGGCACTTGGAAATTTGCGGCAGCGTGGAAAAGGCAGACCGTTCGCCTTGGACGCAACGTCTGCAAACCCCTGGGAAGGCTTCAATTTCACCGAAAGCATCGTGTTCCTTGCATCCCGCTGAGTGGCAAATGATCGGGATTCGATCCTTGGCTCAGTGTCGATGGTCTTGTTTGGGAGAGCTACCCTCACCCTAAACCCTAAACCCTAAAACCTAAACCCTAAACCCTAAACCCTAAACCCTAAACCCTACAGTAAGCCTAAGGTTCCCATTCAAACGAACCCCGTGCTCCCGGTGCAACTCAGCCTCGGGATGCTTTTCCAGGATTTTTCTGGCTTCATCTGGCGCCACACCTTGAGGGCAGTTCGAAGGCGGTTTAGGGTTTAGGGTTGAGGGTTGAGGGTTTAGGGTTGAGGGTTGAGGGTTGAGGGTTGAGGGTTGAGGGTTGAGGATTTAGGGTTTAGGGTTTAGGGTTTAGGGTTTGAGGGCAGTTCGAAGTCAGCACAGCTGGCTTGTTCTGCTTTCAGAGTCGAGCTATCCCCCCCCAAGTGCGAACAACAACGACATCTGGGCGATTCTTTCAGAGCAAGCTGCTGGGTGCTTCCCGCTTGTCACCCGCAAGTTGCTGTAAGCCGGCACGAATTGGAGCCGGAACCGACGAGGATTGGGACAGCCTCTTACAACCTGCGCAGGTTGCAAATCGGTGTGACACATGGGGGCGATGTACGAGATTAGGAGTACCCTTTTTGGGGTCCTTATTAGAAGGGAATCCTACCCATTTGGGGGTCGATATGAGGGGTCCCGCATTTTCGCAAACCCCCAGATCTCAAGCTCCAAGAAGACGAGTGTGAGACCCCGCCTCGATCAATAGCTGCACCTGCTTTCTCAACACCCCGGTCCATTACACGCACTCCTTCATCGCAGGCGCGGTCTGCAACCTGGTCCCGAGAATGGGGATCATGGACCAGAGGGCTGCTGGCATCTGCAAGCAGGCCTTCAAGTACAGAGAACCAGCCTTCCTCGCCACCGAGCCAGACATGTCCTGAAAAGCCGGGTTTTGGGTTTTGGGTTTAGGGTTTAGGGTGGTTGAGGGTTTAGGGTTTAGGGTTTAGGGTTCATGCGTCGATTTGTATCGGAACCTTCTTGGGAATCACTTCTTGTGCCGCGGCTCCTCTCGTGTGGATGCATACAACGCAGCTGCGCCAAGGAGTGCGCCCGACACAGGGCCCCCCAAAAGCATACCTGCATCAACACGCTGCAGGTAGGGAGCTTTAAGAGTTTGAGAGGGGTTTAGGGTTTAGGGTTTAAGGTTTGGGGTTTAGGGTTTAGGGATTAGGGAGTGCGCCTGTTGCGCCACCTATGGTAGCTGCTGCGCCTTGGATCCTTGGACAAGACTCTGCGTAACGGCAGCATTTTTTCTCTAAGATGAGCGCAACTGGGCCGAACGGTCCTTCGGCCAAGGTCACCATTCGCGGGTGCCTCTAGCAGACAGGAGAGGAACAGTGATCAAGCTGGGCCAAAGAGTGGAATCGTACTGCCACAGCATCTTTCCAGCAGATCAAGAACCCACATCTTGCATCCAAGACACAGCGCCCCTGATCTCCTCCTGTAGGCCATCGGTCGACGAAAACCCCTCTGGAATGTCCTGGCAGTTTTGTAGCTTTGGGCCTACCGGGGATGGTTCGTGCGAACAGCAGGAGAAAGATTAGACATGGTCGTCTGTGCATCCTGGTCGTCACATTCGGAGGTTGGTCTGTCCATCTCACTCTCTGCCTCAGCAATATCCTCCTTTCAGGGCTTGCAGCTTGCAGCTTCATGTTTGGCTCCGTGTCTTGGGCATGTGTCTTAGGTCGCCCATGGCACCGGCTGAACCCTTTGAAGTTCGCAGGCACTTCCTCATGCAGCTTCAGAAGGCTGGCTTCTACCAGACAGGCCAGGGAGGTTTCATGACCAGTTGAACCCAGAGTGCTCATCAGGAAACTCATGGGCTGAGCAGGATCATGGGTTGGGCAGGAGGTTTGCTTTGCAGCGTCCAGAAGAAGGCAACCTGTCCTCCTGGCTTTGGCTTTTGACCTCCAAGTGCTTCCTGACATGGCGGCTAGGTGCGCAACAACGCAGACCCGGCACCCACCTGGTTTAGGGTTTAGGGCTTTGGGGTTTAGGGTTTAGGGTTTAGGGTTTAGGGTTTAGGGTTTTGGGGTTTAGGGTTTAGGGTTAGGGTTTAGGGTCCCAAAACAACAGTAGGAGCACAGACGGTTCAAACGACCTCGCTGCAAACCAAAGCGCTGTATAGCATCATCATTGAAAGGGAGTTTTTGCACTCCCTTCCCCTTGCGGCTGGCTTTGGGCGCCATCACTATGCGAAATGGCAGGTGCTGCCGTTATTATGGGCAGACCGCAACTTCCCAACTGCTAGCATAGCGAGTCTTGCTGCTACAGCTACGCCATGTGTCAGTCCAGTGGTGCGTTCGGCATGTCGGTGCTGTTTGATGGTGGGCGCTCTTTGGCCGCGCATAAATCAACAGAGTAAACTGACTAACTGCCGAATAGCCTAGGGCCTAGCTCAGAGGTCACTCGTGGTCACTTCAACTTTCTTGAGCCGCAGTCAACGGAATTCTATCTCAACCAGCCCGCATGTAGCGCGGAGGGGCGAAGGCGATAACATCGATTGCTGCATGTCCTCTTCAGCTGGGTTCGAGGCCCGAAGTGCTGTGCCAATATTCGCGGGGTTGGACGTCAGGTAGCCTCTGGTTTGGTTGGGCTCCCATGCATCCGCCAAAGCTCTTTGGAGCTGCCTTCTCTTTCCAAGGCCCGAGCCCAAGCGATCGCTCCGAGCAAAAGTCGTCCGGCCGGCCAGGTTGCCAGAGATGTGTGCCAGCACCTGGGTCGTGCCCAAACGCCCCACGAAGCCCATTCCATGATTCCAGGAAGCGCTGAGCTCAGCCACCGCTGAGAGCTCACGAAATGCAGCTTGAACCTTGAAAGGCTGGAAATGGCGGGAAGCAATGCGCCACATGAAGAATCTCACTGCTTCTTGCCTGTCCCCTAAGCCTTGGACATCGCCGCCTTGTCTCTGAGAGATTGCCTTCAGGTGCTCCTGCGCTGCACAGAAGGTCATGTCCCCGGACGGGCCACAACTGCCACTGGATCAGACATCCAGAATCCTACCGCCAAGCTAAGACCGCGGCCTCTTCATTGATCCACAGGGTGAGACTCTTGCGCTCATTGACGAAGACGCCTTGCCAATAGCTCTTTGCTGACATGAAACCGATTGGGCAAGGAGAACAGATGCCTCGACCGTGCGGCCAATGCCGCCCGGAACCAGTGCTGAGCACTGCCGGCGCATCTGGGTTGGAAAAAAGGAGGTGGTCGTCAGCCAGCATCTGGAATCAGGCTGAAGCAACTGCGAATATCAGAGGCGCACAGAGGAACCCCTGTGAAAGCCATTTTTCTTCGCCAGCGCCTTTTCCTCCTCCAACGTCATGCCGTCTGGCTTCGACGGGTAAGATGACGAGCCCACGAGGGGGAAGTAGGTGCCCTTAAGGGCGCCTCCGGACTCTCCGACTTTATGGTTTTATACTGCTATTGTCATTAGTGCTAGCATTGTTTAATATATATATATATATACTATTTATATTTATATTTATATTTATATTTATATTTATTTATTTATCTATTAATTATTTATATATGTTGATCTATTTATCATGTATGAATAGAGTTGTTGTATTTGGTGCAGACCGCATGGAAGAAATGCCAGGGCCTTCCATCTGCAGCGCAGCCCCTGTGATCATGTGCTCGACCTGAAGCTGGGCGGTCCTAGCCTAGACCCGAACAAGATGCTCAAGGCACTGAAAAAAAGACCCCTGCAAAACAACCGTGAAAATATGAAAAGCTTGAAAACCCCCTCAAACCCAACAAACTCTTGACGTGGCACCTCTTTTCTCTGGTCTCTTGTAGCAGCCGGTGGGAAAGGCATCCCATCCAGATTCCTGAGAACAGAGCTCTGGCTCTCTACATCTACGGGTATGCATGGATGGACGCTTTCTCCACACATTCTTCCGTCCAGCAGCCTGGAAGCCGCGACTTTGCAAGAGATCACCTCTGCGCAAAGAGGAACGCCTAAACCCTAAACCCTAAACCCTAAACCCTAAACCCTAAACCCGCGAGCTTGAAGCTGCAAGGCTGATCTGCAGGCAAGCGGCATAGCCCTCCAACGGCTCTGCCGATTCTGCTGTGAGGGTTCGGCGCCCGGGGCACTTCGTGTGAGCCACGGGCACCTCCCGAACACTTTCACGTGGGTGTGCTGAAGTCAGAAGGCTGCCGAGAACTTGCCGAAAGTGCTTCGAGCCCTTCGCCGCGCCTTCCCATGCCGCCCTTCAATCAACTTGTCGAAGAAAGGCCTTGGAAACAGCCATCAAAAACAGCTGTGACACCCCTCTTGGCACGAGTTGTCGTCATCCTGCCACGGCACGCAAAGACCTGATAGCACTCCGCATCGGCAGCCACTGCTCCCATTGACTTCAGGCACGGGTGTCCCCGGTTATCTATGCCTTGCACTGCAAGGTCGAAGCACAAAGGATGCGTCTGTGCCAATCAGCGGGTCATCTGCAGGTGTCGTGGGCCTGTCTTGATACACCGTGCCAGTGAGACACCTGGGCCAGGTTGTGACACATTCATTGGTCAGGTGTGGTTAGCCGCTTCTCACCGCCTGTGGAAGTCTGACGGTCTTTCAGCTCCTGGTATATCTCCGGATTGTCCTTACAAGCCAAAGATGAAGCAAACTCTCCAGCACCTCCACTCCCTTCCTGCCTTGAGGACGTCCGCACACAGGCTGCAGTGCCTGATGGTTTGGCAAGGTCGGCAGTTGGCATGTCCAGGAGACTAGGCAGGAAGATGATGGAAGATGCATCTCAGTGGCTTTGAAAGGTCCGGCAACTCCGCAGGACATGCCTGTGCTGGAAACCCGGGATATTCATCGTCACCTGACCGAGAGTGGCGACAGCTGAGGCTGCCAAAATTGAAACATCTGCAAGCCACAGCTCCTGCCTAGTCCAGGAAGCTGGTTGACTGGTATCGCATGTGGCATTGACGTCGCCTCCTCGACGTTGCGAACTGCATGTGTGATTTGGCCGACAGCACACCGGATCCTGACTGGTTTACTCGGTTTTTGGTTTTTGGATCTAGAATCTAGGGTTTAGGGTTTAGGGTTCGGGTTTAGGGAAGTTCGGGCATGTTTCTGGCCATAAAGCCCCCAAACTTTCCCAAACCCCGGGTATCGAAGCGACACCGCACCCATGCCCAAGCACGGCAGCTGCCCACCTCACCACCGGGTTCAGTCCGGCCACTTTGGAGGAAGCTTCGACAAGCATGGGAGTGCCCAACGCAAATTTTGAGCTTAATGGCTCATCTCACACCACGAAACCACTCGAATGCCTTTGACTGCCTCATGCTACAAAGCCCTATGCCTTTCAGAATGGCACCTGCTTATACCCAACAGATATGGTGATTCTGGCAGCAACTCTCTCTTTTTCTGATGGCCTTGCTTCGCAGCTGTTTGGTGCAGGTAAGGCAAGTGGTGCCTTCCGACTCAGCCGCGTGACAAGACTTTTGCTATCGAAGACCCCGCCGCCTCAGGGCGGAAGCATAGATCCGGGAGCAACTACGCATGCACCGGGGGGCACCTAGCTGCAGGCCAGGACACCTCGATTCTTCCGCTCGTCCGCCCACAATCACTACCTTCAGAAGCTCCACAGATTATGCCTAGACAAGAAAGGGGCACCGGACAAGCAAATGCCCTTGTGCAAGCATGATGATAAATGAGAAGCATAGTAATGATAGTACAGGATAGTAATCATACATAGCTAACACCTAAAAAACTCGAGGCACCGGCAATGTCACAGTCTAATCATCATCGCTGTCTTCCTCGTCGCTCCCCATCAGAGCAGAAAACTTGTTCTTCCTCAGCGCAGATCTCCGGCTGCTTCTGCCCGCATGCCCCAAAGTGCCAAAGCATTGTAAATAAGGAAATACAAATACATGTACACGACAGGTTCTGTATGATGTACTAAATGTTATATACTACATACACTATATGTATATACATATACATATACATATATGTATATATATATATACAGTTACCATTTATACTTACGGATTTAAGCTGATTGAATTGATCTATTGGTGTGTTTATATCTTCTACTTGTTTCTCTATTCATTTCGCTCGTTTTTCTTTTTCATGCGAACCCCCCCCCCCCTGGTGTTGCATGGCAAAGGTTCGCGGAGACGGCGGGCTTTGCCTTTTTGTCGCCCTTCTCCTTCTTCTCCTGCTTCTCGGGCTCCTGACATCGGGTAGTTGGTGATTTGTTTAGGGGTCTGGGGTTTAGGGTTTACGGTTTAGGGTCCAGGGTGTTTTGTGCCACGGCAAGAGGCAGCATGAGAGCAAAAACCTTGAGCCCTCCGAGCCCTGGAACCCTACAACCCTAAACTCGAAGCCCCTAAACCCTCTATAAACCCTAAACCCTAAACCCTAAACTATAAAGCCCTAAACCCCTACAACCCTGAAGCCCTAAGGCCCCTTGCGTTCCTTCCCGGTGTCGGGCCTGTCGCCCTTACTGCCCTTACTGCCCTAAACCCTAAAACCTTTTTGCATCCAGGCCTCGTAGCGACTGCCGGGTACTTTTGCCTGGATGACAAAAAAAACCTTAATCCGAAACCCTAAATACTAAACCCTAAACCCTAAACCCTTGTCCTTTTAAACCCTGAAATCCTTCCATTCTCGGTGCCCGGCCTTCTTTGCCGGTTGGGCGGGGGCTTTGGAGGATGGCTTTGAAGCCTCAGCTTTGGAGGGCGAAGAAATGTAAACCCTAAACCCTAAACCCTATTCCCTAAACCCTAAACCTTCCAAAAGCTGAGCCAGGCACCACCGGCGCTGGGGCCTCCGCCGCCGGCGCCGCTGCTGGCGCAGGGGCTGCCTCGGCCTTGCGCTCTTGGGGTTTAGGGTTTAGGGTTTGGGGTTTAGGGTTTAGGGTTTAGGGTTTAGGGGTTTAGGGGTTTAGGGGTTTCGGGCTCCAGTCTTCAGGTTAATTTTAGCGGTCTTAGGGCTTCTTGTTTTGCCACCCGCCTAGCTGACTCAAAGAGACGCACTGCAGGTAATCCACACATACTGTCTACTTTGTTCGAGTTCCCCCTTACCCCAGGCAAAGTCCCACGAGCAGGTAAAAGATCATCACAAAACATACTTCACTTGCCCAGTCTTGGGGGTTCAAGGGTTTAAGGTTTAGGGTTTAGGGTTTAGGGTTCAGGGTTTAGGGTTTAGGGTTTAGGGTGTAGGGTTTAGGGTTTAGAGTTTAGGGTTTAGGGTTAAGCATTCCCTAAGCAGATTCGCATGGCCCCTGCGCAAGGATGACATGCGCAAATCGAGAAGATTCGAGAAGTGCGCCAAGTTTTAGGGTGTTTGGGTTCTCGGGTTCTTCCATGGGTTCTCCAAACTACCCCCCTCTTTTCCCACCCGCCCTCTCCAGATAATTAAGGCCTTTTTTGGGAGTCCTGAGGGTTCACTTCTTTCCGTCGCTTGGAGTTAAAATTCTGTCGGGCGATTACTCATTCGCCTACCGAGTAGATCCGGAATTTCCCCCTACTGTTTGTGAGGAATTTTTGTGCGAATGATTTTAGAACGAGGCGACTGAACACGACGGAAGTGAAAAGATTTTAAGAGGGTTTTTGACTGGCGGACGTTTTGCCAAACAGAACTACCTGCTCAGTCGGAGGTTCGTATCCGGTCGTGCCTTTCCCACGTGCCGGACCTAAAGAGTTCGCCTTCCATTGGCTAGTCAGGACCCCAAGAAGGTACCAGTATCCCCCCTTATTGTCGTAAACCCCCCATTTAGGTTCCGAACCATAGTGATTGCCTCACAAGGGCTCCAAGGCGTGAGCTGCATTGAAGCTAGCATCGAAGATGCTAGCGAGCCGGAGTCGGCACCGGGACTATTTGGGGGGGCTTTCGAAAAAATAGGGGGGGGGGGGGGGGGGGGTACCTTGTTTTGGGGAGGGTCCCTTTAAGGGGGTTCTAGCCTATTTGGGGTACAAAAAGGGGGTAGCCCCCCCTATTTTGGGGAAATAAGCATTTAGAGCCCAGGGTCTCGGGCCTTGCCCTTCTTCTTGCCTTTCTTCTTCGGCTCCTGATCCAGGATCCATCACCCGGCCAACATGTCACTCAACTTGCCGGGCTACTGGTACTCCGGATGCCAAGGGCACTGCAAGCTTGGAGATACCCCCCAAGAAAGGAGCTGTCCGGCTCAAACTCTACGGGAGGTGCTGCTTCGTAGGTCTCTTCAACCTCGGGCTGCTGCTCCTTCTCTTCCTCCTGCAGACTGGCAGGATGAGCATCCCTCATGTGGACAAGAGTCAGATCGCCGGCAGAAGACCCCCCGGCAGTCTCTGCCTCTTCGGAGTCGGAATCTCAGCAAGCAAGATCCCCGGAAAACCCAGCAAGAATAATCAGACTGTCAGACTGTCAGATCGTTCCTAAGTCATGTGGGGTTTGCGAAAATAAGGGGCTACCCCTTGCATGCCCCAAATAGAATGGAATCCCCTTAAAAGGGAACCCCCAAGACAAGGCACCCCCCCAAATTTTCGGACCCTAAACCCTAAACCCTAAACCCTAACCCCCCCTTTTCGGACCCTGGCATGGGCCCCGTGCTGCCGAGAAGTGCAAAGGCGTTCTTGGTGCCAGCAGGCATCTCGCAGCTTCTGGCAGGAGGTGAGGCAAGAGAAGACGGGGGGGAAGAGGCAAGATTAGGGTTTAGGGTTTAGGGTTTAGGGTTTAGGGTTTAGGGTTTAGGGTTTAGGGTTTAGGGCTTCTGCAGCACCATCTCCGAAGAGCGAATGTCGGGTGCCAGCGTGAAACACCAGACAGCACTGCAGGCTTTAGGGTTTGCCCTCCTGCACAGCTGTTAGCTGGGGTGAGGGTGCTTTAGGGGTTTCTTGCCACCTGCCTAGCAGCCTCGCAACCACGGTTCAGGGCTCAGGGTTTAGGACATGAAGGGACCCGCAATTGCAAGCAAGCCAGCGGCTCTTACAACAGCATGGACTCGTGCCCAGTACTCGACGCTTATATGCTCGAGCCAAGAAGGCCCCCAACGAGCATCGATGCTGCCGCTGCACATTCATACCTAACGTTACTTAAGCTACTTGGATGCTTGAAGTCACACAAGTAGTGCATGCCTTTGGCCACAAAGGCCCACCGATCGCTTGCAGATGCTCACAGCAACAGCCAGGTGTCCAGCATCGGTCATGCACATTGCCCAGAACCTCCACATGGATCCGCGTGCCCATCTAGCCGCGTCACACCACACATGTAGGCATCACGCATCCGGCGACACATACTCAACTGCAGAAGCAAGGATGAACTTGTGCACGTGGCACCTTTTCTTGCTGAGCCAGAGGTCTATGGCGCACTGCCAGGCGATCCTAGGCGGCTAGGGACCTGCACAATGAACCGCCCATGCCAGCTGTACCGGAGCAGCACATTGACGGACCACAACTACGGAAAGAGTCAAGCCTCCTTAGGAAGGACTCGAAAAGAAAACCAGTTTGTGTCGACCTGTACTGAACCCATGACCAGACCATGACTACGAGGACTAAAACTGTTGAGTTAAAGACCATCGAAAGATGCAATGCTCTCACGAGGATGAGGACGACTTCTTTTTGGATTTCCTGACATTTCGACCGTGAGAGCTGCGGGAAAGCCGAGGCAAACAAGGACGAAGTCAAGCAGCCTTCTTGCTTTCTCCCGCGAAGCTGAGGTGGATGAAGAGCTGCGTTTTTTCGACTTGCCTCAGGCCCGAAACCAGGAACTCACAAAGAAAAAGCTGCTAAGCACAGGCACATTCACATCCGGGGTGTCGGCTTTTCACTTTCCTGCCATGAAGGCACCCTGACCGCCTCCTATTTTTGTCTACACCCCCTGCACCCTAAGCGTCCCTAGCCCAACTGGTGCTGCGCTCTCGCGCCTGCGCTTCTTGCTCGAGGAAGACGAAGACGAGGCCTTCTTCTTCTTCGATGTCGAAGACTTCCTTGCCAGTCTTCACAGCTAGTGACAGCTAGTGGGGCCTCCCTGGAACAGAGTCACCCAAGGTATGAAACAACACCTCATACTTCCAGCTTGAATCTGCAAACTAGGCTCCGTTTTCGCCTGGCAGAGGACGAGGAGGAGGAAGAGGAAGAGGACTTCTTCGAGGATTTTGTCTGCTCTTTGGGCGCTCCGCCTGGCCTGACGAGCATGTACACAGCCTCTCTGCGGCGATGACTGAAGGTATCTGTCTGAAAGCTCCCATGCACTCAGTGCACTGAAGTTTCAAAAGAGCTACAAGCATCTCAAGCAGGTTTCCTTGCAGTCTTCGTCCCCGGCGTCTTCGCAGTGGTGGCCACCAAAGATTCCAGGGCTGCAAGCGCAGCCTGTTGATCTTCTGGGCTGCCCGGAGGCACTTTCCTCGGCTTCAGGGCTGAAAACATGCTCCCAGCCGTTCAGAAGCCGCATGTCCTGGCCTGGCCTTGAAGCAATCTCCTCCGCCCCAGCCGCGACGGCCTCCGGCGACCTGTGCTTTTGAAGTTGCATTTGCATTCCAAGTCTGTTATATACATCTATACGTTTGCGCACGTCCATGTCTGCTGGTACACGCATACATACATACATACATACATCCATACATACATACATACCGGTCCACCTACGTACGTACATGCATACACACATACACAAGTACACAGGCACAGACACAGACACAGACACAGACACAGACATGTGCGCCTGTCACCTGCACGTGCACATACACATACATATCTGTGCGTGCGTGTTTGCGCTCACATGTGCAGAGACGCGACAAGTAAATAATAAATTCTTGATCCTAAACATATGAATGCGGGCGCATGCGCATACATACGCTCAAGACCTCAAAAAAATGCAAAATTGGTATATACATATGTATTTCCACGTCAAAGTCAAAGCCAACACTCGTATCGATTGGCAGCCCCTTCCCGCCCCAGGCACATGGCGCCAGTGAAGACTAGATACTCCGAAAATCGTGCTACGCAACGAGGGGCCTGATAATCTTGATTGCTGTACGAAGGCGAGAGCACTGTCACAACATGTTGCCATTCATGGAAATCCGCCGCGAGGTCCATCCAGTCCCCTGGTTTTCGCAAAGGCTTCAAGTGACCCACTACGAGACCGGCCAGGGGTGTTGCTATAATACTACTTCGCCCCCGCAAACTAAAACTATTTCATGGGACCTGGGACCCTGAGTACTTTCTTCATAATAGGCTCAGAGAGCTCGTTCTGATTTTTATTCATGCAAAGTCTTTTCTTTGGCACGGGCGAAAAGAATCCCCCAAAAAAAGTACTTGAGGGCTTCTTTTGGTGCAGTAATGGACTAATACCCATTAAAGCATCCATTAAAAGCAGCTCCTGGTGGGGTCTTTGCATGAGTCCTTCATAGGCTAAACTGTCCATGGTAAATTTCCTGTTCATCTGTTCACTTGCTGTATTAATTCTGTTATACGCTCGCGCATGAATAATCCAACTCCAAGCGGGTTGACCCAGCCGTTGGAGGGAAGACGTCCGACATGATGAGCGAACTTCCAACATTGCCAGAGACATTCATCCGACCCGCATCGGTATAAGCATTGTACAGTACGCATACAGCTTTCAAGCATCTTGAATCCTGAGCATTTATGTGGGAATGCTGAAAGCAGACCAATAGAAGGTGGCATAAACACATGCACACACGCACATGCAGAAAACACACCGCAAAACAACAGCTTGTTCGTAGAGAAGGCACGAGAGACAAGCAAAACCGACACATGGTCGCGAACAGACGCACACACGGCGGCAGCCCGATTTGGTTAGTCAAATGTTGTGGGCAAGCTCCTAAAGAAAACCATGCACTCACGCCCACCATAAGAACACACAAACTCTCACGCCTCAAAAAACATGCTTGGAGTAAGATTCAACCCTTTAGTTTCGAGAAAGAAACGAACAACATACTTCGGAAGCCATGCGGCGATATTCAACATCTACCCGCAACTGCGGATTAAAGGTTGAAGGGGTTCTCAGAGGTGATTTCGTAAATCGTTACTTCTGCCCTGGGAATGGATATCGAAAACAACGAATGCGTTCACATTCAAAACACTCGACAGGGAAGAACGAACTCAGAGAACTTCTCTGTGAGCGTTCGATCTTCAATCTTCGCTCGGGGGGTTCGATAAGTACAACCGCTAACACCCAACTTTTCAGAAACTCTCGTTGGCTTTGAGAGGCTTGATTATTGTTCAACACTCGAAGAGATTCAAGACCCGAGATTCTGGGAAGATGCATTCTGGCTGTGTATCAAAGTTCAGCACCACGGCTTCAGCCTTGACAACTTTTGGAAGTTAAAACCAAGCATGAGAGCTTTAGTGGTACCCCATACAATTTACAAGCACCCATAACATATACACAAAGTGCCAGCGTGGACCCCAAACAGTGGAAAGATCATGTAGAAACGCAAACGTGCACAAAGAGAGGGCAGTTTCGCACGTCGCGAACCCCGACGGCCAAAAGCGACGACAGTTTTACACGTCGCGAACGGGAGACGTCAAAAAACCACGACAGTTGCGAGGAAGGCGACCGTCGATGAGAACGGCGCCCAGGCGGGAGCGCGATTTCCGGAAACATCCACTTTAGTCCGGCCGCATCCAACGGCCTAAAGCACAGAAATCCACGCGCCTGCCACGTTTTCAGGACGCGGAGCGATGCAAGCCTCAAAAAGTGTACGGGACCTAGGCGGAGTGCACGATTTCCACCTGCCAACACCACAAAACACGCACGTGCGATTCGACATCATGCAATATCATGCATGAATCCAAAAGCATGCAATTGGCGATGTTTCAAGTTACCGCTCGGGGAACAGCATCCGCGTTTCGAGGGCGTTTCGCTTTTGGCGGGCATTTTCGCAGGCGCTTCACAGGCGTTTCGTGGCCATTTCGCGGGTGTTTCGCGTGCGCGTGCCGTGCGTGCACAGCGATCTAACCCCATCTTACCCTGAACGTAAGAACCCCTAGTGATGGCACACAGTTTGGGGAATATAGATATTTAACATACACACACACACACACACATATATACATATATATACATGTATCTACATGTAAATATGCACAGCGGTGGTGATGGCTACTCTTGCTGTTTCCACAATCTCTGCTTGAGTCGATCAAGAAAATTGCCGTCTGATCTTTCGTCCTGGGGTCCCCAGCTCTTCCGGCACGAGCTCTACCTCTGCAACTTGCGGCTTCGCATTGCCCAAGTTGATGTTGATCTGCGGACTTGGCTTTCCTGCAAAGGGGAAGTTCGCTTGCGGCTGCACGCTAACCTGCAGGAGGCACACCGAAGGGCCTGGCAGCAGCTTAGGCGAGTCCAGCGGAGGTTCTGGCAGCTCCTGAAAGCTGACAACAATTGGGTTTAGGGTTTAGGGCTTGGGGCTTAGGGCTTAGGGTTTAGGGTTTAGGGTTTAGGGTTTAGGGTTTAGGGTTTAGGGTTTAGGGTTTAGGGTTTAGGGCTTAGGGTTTAGGGTTTAGGGTTAGGGGTTAGGGTTTAGGGTTTAGGGCTTAGGGTTTAGGGTTTAGGGGTCACGTGGTCAACTTCCCTGCTGCCCACCTGCTCGGAAAGCCCAGGCGTCTTGAGACGGACACCTGGACGATATTGCATTCTGCACTCACGTTGTCCGCAATCGCGCGGCCAAGGCTGGAAAATGATGATTTTGCGGCCTCGGGTGTTGATCTGGATGGCCTGCTGAGCCCATGGTCAGCAGGTAGCTGCTGAATATGGAGAAACTGTTTTCCCAACTGCCACATACGGGGAAGAGGCGGATTCCCCAAAATTGGAATCGAGTATTCTGTAACCGTCTAGAGATCTTAGGGTCGTGGCCGTGGACGGTTCTCGATAGACCTGGCAGCAGGGAGCAGCGTAGGGCTTCGCATGCTTTCATTTGGACAAACATGATGGTTTAGAAGGGCTGTTACACGAAATTTCTATGATTTCAAATGACGTTAATGTGGATTCATATGAGCGACGGACAACATTACTTGTCACGGTGGGAGGTCGAGGGATACCATGCTATCGCTTTACGCGGGGCCCATATCGCTTTACATACTATGGGACTACGGGACCCCATGAAGCAAAACAGATTAGAATGTGCAAACTAACGTTATCGCTTTAGGTGGGGCCCATATCGCTCCATGGTTTACTGATGTTCGCAACAACTCGTGTCCGCCGTAGTGCTGGCTTCAAGAACCCTAATTCTGACAGGCGCTCATATGGTTGAACATGATTCTTGTATGAGTTCAATCGGGTTGAGGAATGGCTCAGTTCATATGTGGCTTACGCTTGCTACGGCTTGGGGGTCAAACAAACAACCCTAAACCCTTTTGCAGCAGGCTTGCAGAACGTCCTCGCCTGGATGGAGCCGTCACCCCAACATCTCGTGTGTCGGGCAATCTGGCCCCCTTACCCTAAACCCTAAACCCTAACCCCTAACCCCTAAACCCTAAACCCTAAACCCTAGGGGTTCTCTCTGCAAGCGCCAATGCCGAGCCAGGTGGGCGTAGGTCCGTGCCGAGCCCCCAAGCCGAAGGTTGTCACCAGAGCAAAGTCTCTCCATCCTTGGCGTTCGGGAAAAAGGGTTTAATAGTTTAGGGTTTAGGGTTTAGGGTTTAGGGTTTAGGGTTTAGGGTTTAGGGGCTTTTTGTTGGCCACCCGCCATGCAGAACCAGCCACACTGCCGGGCAAGACTTCGGGGCGAGTGCAGTCGGTCAAATGTCGCAGGGTTGGGTGCTCTTCTGCTTAGGGTTGATGAACTCCCCGCTGGGACTGGTAAGGCAGAGGTATGCCAAAGAAGATGGCAGCAGTCGTTTTTGTGAAGCGCAGGCTCGCTCATGGTCGGAAGCATCTCTCACCGGCACTTTGTCCGGCAGTCAAACTCTGGCTGCTCATTTGCTAGTCGTCCTTTGCGCACTTCCCATCGGCATCCTTAGCACATGCTCGTGACATGGCGCAAGGTCTGCAGTGCTGAGAGCCCAACGTCGATCAAGCTCAAGATGAACACATCACGTTTGTCAACGCTTGAGGACTCAAAAAGTCAAGCACCCTGGAGCAAAAGCATGAAAGCTCGAAATGTGCGCAAAGTTGTTGGGCCCAAGCATGGAAACCGCAAAGGAAAACTCAACACATGTACGTCAAGCCCACGCGCTACATCTATGCAGCCTGCGGGCCGTTGCTCAGGGTGGGGAATGTACAGGCTTGTGAGTCCCGTGTTGGCGGCGATAAAACTCTCTACTAGTATCTTACGCACGCCTGTGTGCACGTGTATGTGAGACAGTACATGCCTTGAAAGCAAAGAGTGAGAAAAGCCTGAGAGGCACCACGTGCGACGCTATGCTCGCGACTATGAGCTGCGAGAAAAAAATGAAGGATAGAGTTGCACTTGCGGAAAAAACAGCAGAGCAACAACTTTCGCAACAAAATCCGGTGGGCTGTCAAGCTTGAAAAACTCCTGGCAAGTTTCGTGGGCAAAGCAGTCAATTGAAGACTGGTAGTTGCCCAGCTGGCATTGTTTTGGCATGATGGCAATCAACCGCAGCAACATGTGAAGGATGCCCCAAACCAGCACTGAAGCGTGCGATTTGCACCGTATACGTTGACACCGTCACTGTGAAGATGTCACGCCTAACATGCCATCCACATGATGCTACCACATTCTACCATACTGTATGGACATATACGATGGAACGACGTAGAACGACGTTGATCAGGTGTGTGGGCTCAAGCCTAAACACACGGAGAGAGGGGGAGAGACACAGAGTGCGAGAGAGAGAGAGAGAAGCAAAAATGGAAAGGGAGAAAGAAAAAGAAAAAGCGAAAGAGAGAGAGAGAGAGAGAGAGAGCCACATGTTTGCGCGACCTGCGACGTGTAAAAGCCTGCTGGCTGAAATACGCTTGTCCAGCTTGCCTGCGTGCGCCAACGAAAACAGCCCAGAGCATAGATATCAAGTTATCAAGCGTACCCATGACATCGCCGACGTTCCTGAGGCCGCTGCTGCTGACAAGTCTGCCGGGACAAACTTGACAAAGGTGTTCACATACCTCGCCAGTTGACAGCTGCCCACTGAGCAGGCACCCGTAGCACTTCAAGGTCCAGGGCCCAGGCGCATAGTGCGAGAAGATCGTGAACAAGACCCGGTACCAAAGAAGCTGCGACCAGTGCATCGCCAAGGCCTCGGCTTGCTCCAGCGAACTGAGACCTTCCATGTGCGCACTTCGATGTGGGGGTTTACGAAAAGAGGGTTTGGGGTTTAGGGTTTAGGGTTTAGGTTTTAGGGTTTAGGGTTCCTTAAATAGACGTGGGAGTCCCTTAAGACAGGGAGCCCCATAAGATGCCCTCGGATTTCGGAAAACCCCCATGTGCCCACCGAGGGCGCCGCGGTCAGGCAAGCCGATGCGCTGCACGAAACGGCGCCCTCCAGAGTGGAGCAGCGCAGCTGCGCAATGCGACAAGAGCAAATGCAGAGCCACAACTTGTGCCGCTCATTGTTTTGCTCAAGTGCCCCTAGCCAGGATGAACTGTGAATCCTTTTTTTCCAACGACACCCCTCCCATTGCGAAACACCCCTGCCACTCCCTGGCTGCTTCTGAGCAGCAGCATCAGCTGCGGACTCCTGCCTCAGTAAGGGACTGCATGACCGAAATAGCTTCCAGAACCGCGTTCGCACGAGGCCTCTGCAGATCGCACCTATCGTCGAAACTTGGTGCCCAAACCAAAACGCCAACGGTTGAGATGTTGGGAATCATGTTCTCCATTTTCATTCGAGGTCAGCGACATGCAACCCTAAGCTGCCGGCCCCAGAAGCAAGCAAAGTGGGCCCAGGTACTTCTGCTGGATCCCCACCTGAAAACTTAAAGGGCTCGCCGAGTTGGCAGTGTACTCCAAGCACCGGGGGATGTAATGCAGCCGTGGCTCACTCTTCAAGAGGAGCACCTCGAAATGAGGAACTTCGGCATCCCCTTCGGAGGCTCGCTCTAGGGCGCGCTGAGCGCCTGCAAGTGTCATCCGACAATCTGGGACATTCCAGGTTGGGGGAGCTTGCTGCAAAGGGTACACCGATCATTTCGGACAGCCAGCAGAGATTGTGCCTGCACTGGTGGATACATGGTTCGGATGACCTCACATGCCAGCGATGCCACACCCCTCCCTCATTGGCCGAGTCACATCCTACTGCACTGACTTCCAAAGTGGACATGGGCCTGATACACCGTGGTTGTCGAAAGTGAGAACTGCGTGGGCACCGCGCTCCTTTAAGAAGCCGACGACCTACACAGGATCTACGAACATATTCGCGCAGAGTCTGTGCAAACATGTTGGCGCCTTGTCAGCAACAACATCGGCAGGCCACTGATGCCAGCCATCCTATGGGAGGGGTGTCCTATGGTGTCATGGTCGACTTTCCTGCTGGACGCACCCCAAAAACTCGCACAGGAAAAACAGCACGTGGGTGCCGGTGTGTTGGATCTGTCTCCTTCCTGCCAGTTCTATGACCCTAAACCCTAAACCCTAAACCCTAAACCCTAAACCCCAAACCCTAAACCCTAAACCCAGGTGTCCTGCAGCTCAGGCTCGTCCAGGACTTTCAAAGCCTCACCGTGCACGCCTGGAGAGCACGGTTTCACATGCGGAGGGCTCTTTGGACGCATGTGGCCTGTATGGCAAGAAACTCGCATTGCAGCCTGGGCACCGATCCGTCCGCACGAGCGTCGCATTTCCTTGAATAGCAACCAAAAAGCAACAGCAGAAGAAGCTAACAGAACAGAGAACAATGGAGCGACTACGAATAGGAATCAGATCCAGTTGATCCAAGAGCACCTCTTGCCGGATGTGGCCAAGCCCGTCGAAGTTCCCAGTTGACAGGCACAGCACGCTCAGGTTGATGCCTGACGTCCAACCCAAGCAGGCTATGCTTGCACAAGCAGGGCATGGCACATGTAACCTGCGGCATCAGCTTGCCACGAAGCAGACAGGGCTCCCGGTACCGATGATCCTCTTATTCTTATGATTCGTTTAAATCAACTCTTGTTATTATGATTATAGGTTATTTTTAAATCACCTATTGTTCTGATCATTGGTTACTTTTAAATCAACTCTAGGTTGTTTTTTTTGTATCATTGCTCCCAATTCCGGGCCGAGCCTGCAGCATATAGCTGCGAGAGCGCCGGCCAGAAAAACATGGCCTCGGGCTGGCAACCTGTTACATCAAAGGCGTCCGGTCTATATTCTCCACATAATCGCTCGATTGATTCATAGATTTAGGTGCTGAGATGGTGCTTCGTCATCCGGGTGGGCTACAACCTCAGAAGGATCAACAGCAAGACTGGAATAACACAATCTCTGGCTAGCCTGAGGCCTTCATCATTAGGCTAATCAGGTCGGATGCCGCCAGGTCGCCAAGGCAACGTGCTTGTATCTCTGCAGAAGGCCGAAGAGTCCGGGACCCCGCAGAAAAGGCAGACACCTGGAGGACGCCCCGCCATCAAAGCACTGCGCCCTCGCACACATGAGGACCCGAAACCCTAAACCCTAAACCCTAAACCACACTCATCGACCCGAGCCCCGGGCAGAAAAGCGCAGACTACGGATACAGCTCCCGCCACCTGGGTGCACAGAAAGCTTGCCCGGGCATGGCGGAGGCGAGCGGCGGCGAACTAAGCCCCATGCCCAGAACCTGGGCATCCACGGAAGATAAGAGTAGTAGTATTATGAACTTTTCTTGGATTATGCTGTTGTATGGTGATATGATTATATTGGTACCTTATTGTATATGCATAATTTGTGGTACTAGTGAGCAACTGGGTAGGAAGCATGGCTCATCCCTCGACGCCGCCCACACTGCCTTTGAGTTGACGGGCTCCAGAAGTCCGCATGTGCGGGCGAGTGGGGGTGCAGAGGTGATCTAATTGATGTGCCCACTTTGACGACACCATGAACGAAAAAGTAGAGTCCGTAATGCAACGTGTTCAGGGTACGATGCCCCTACTGCACTTCAGAACCGTACCGGGCTGCAGCATATCCGTCATGTTTTTCCTTTGACCCATGCGGCGCGGCGATGCAGCAGTACCACGCCGCAGGACGCTGTGACTGTTGAGGTGTGGACTGGCCGGGCCATCTACAAGTCAATTCTTATTGTCAGGCGAACGGCAAAGGCAAAACCACATGCGTGCAATCATGGTGACATCCGTGGGAAGCACGGACCATTTCTTAGCCTCGCCACGCAGCTGTCGAAGTCTATCGGACGTTGCGGCGTTGTGCTAAAGATCTTGCCGCATGACCTGGTGTGTCATGGGCGGCGGGCCGCGTCCTGCACGTTCTGGAACTTGTCTTGGAGGCCTCGGCTGTCCGGCCACAAGCCTGAACATCTACATCTATGCACAAAAATGTATCCCTAAACTTTGGTTCGTTTGTCCGCGAGTGCTTGGCCAAGTTGCTCAAAACTGAAACCGCTCTACTCGTCGCTGTCCTCGTCATCACTCCCCAAGAGAGCAGAAAACTTGTTCTTCCTCAGCTGGGCGATTCGAACAAGCGGCTCCGTGCACTACCAGCTGAACCTGCCAGTGGTCTCGCCCATTGGCCCCGATAGAAATGGTCCGATCACATGACAAAGAGACAGATCGGCACCCTGACCCGAGCCCTCAGCAACTTGTCATGGGCAGAGTCTATCAAGCCAACCCAGGAAGGGTTCCCAGTTTGAAGCCGAAAGCACCGATTCTCCCAACTTGCCCTAGAAACTCGAGACTGCTACAGGAGAAGGATCGAGGACACAGCCGCCTTGGCCTTCTTGTCCTTAGTTGTCCAGTAACCCGGGGGAACTAAAGGTTAAACCCTGAACCCGAATCCCTAAACCCCAAACCCTAAACCCTAAACTCTAAACCCTAAACCCTAAACCCGTCTCTGACCTTTTCCCCGGAAAAAAAAAAAAAAAAAAACCTAAACCCTAAACCCTAAACCCCAACAAAAAAGGTCAAAGGTTTCATACTCTACAGCTAAGTGTCACCCTTCTCCTTCGGCTCTTTTCTCTCCGCCACCTGTGGCTCCTCGGCTTCGGCGAAGCTTGCCACGCAAGGACCAACCTAAACTCCATAAACTCCAAACCCTAAACCCTAAACCCCATACCCTATAAACCCTTAACCCTTTTGAGCACGGACTGGGAAACCCTTAACCCTAAACCCCAAACCCTAAACCCTCAACCCTAAGGACCCCGAACCGCAACAAGGTCCCCGGCCTTCTGTGTCGCCACGACTTTGGGCGCTGTTTTGGATGCCTCAGCGCCAGGATACTGAGAGGTTTCAACTCGTGACAGGGCTTGCGTGAAGACAAAACTTCCCGAATGAGGCGGGGGTTTAGGGTATAGGGTTTAGGGTAAAGGGTTTAGGGCTTGGGGCTTAGGGCTTAGGGTTTAGGGATTATTTTTGCCGCCCGCCTAGCAGACCCCCTCTGGGTTTAGGGTTTAGGGTTTAGGGTTTAGGAAGGCTGGGGTTAACTAAAATAGCTGAGCAACGGCCACGGGCACTTCCGGCGCCGCAGCAACCGGAGCAGGGGCAGCGGCCTCAGCCTCGCAGAATTTCACCGACTGTGAGCGATTGCTTCTCGGCTGAAGGACATCTGGATACCTGGAGTTTCGGAGAACCTTCGGGTTCCGAATCTTGATTCACGTACCACCGCAGTAGCAAACACCGTCGTTTGGTGAGGGCGCGTGGCGACTAGCAGTGCTACAGTAGACGTTGGTGCAGCTACCCTATCTACGTCACCGAGAAGTTCGTCGCAAAACAGGAGAACAAGGTGAAGAGCAGCATCTCAGAGTCGTCACAGTCGAAATTCTGTGGATCATAACCGCTATCGGTCGTCGTCATCGCAGCAGAAGAACTGCAAGCAGTACGTCGAGTTGTAGTGGGGGAGTACTTCCGGGTCTCTCCGTTCGGGCCCGACAAGAACTCAATGCACTAATTACTAATGCCAGCGCTTCTGGCCTTTCCTTTCTTCTTGCCCTTCTTCTTCGGCTCCTGCTCAAAGCCAAAATTCGGCGCACAAATTTTGCTTCTGCCACTGTCGCACCCTGCGGCTCGTTGGCACAGTGGAGACCCTTTGCAAGTGACTTCATGGTAGCCCTTGCGCTCCAAAACCATCACCATCCCCTCCTCTTAGTTTTCAAACCTGCCCGAATGGCCTCATGTACCCAGAAGTGGAGAAACGGGGACGGGGGGGGTTTGGTTTCCGACATTCGGGGTACCTTATCGGGGTTCTTACGGGCACCCTACTCTTTGGGGTCTACTTTAGGGGCCCCTAAATTTTCGTAAACCCCCCCCCCAAAAAAAAGAATCGGGAAAAAAAGTCGCCCGAAAAATTCCGTCCGGCTCCACTTCCGCAGGCGCCGCTTCGTAGGCCTCTTCGACCACCGGCTCCTCAGGTACCTCCTCCTGGAGTCAGGGGGGGGTTCTTACTTCGGGCAGAAATTTTCTGGGTACCTGTTAAGGCTGTTAAGGTCAGAGTCCTCAGAGACAGGGACCCTCTACGAAATTGAAGCATCAGAGGTTGTACTGCTGCACAGGGCAACGCTCAGGAATCAGGGATCCGAAGCCTCCTCCGAATCGGAATCTCAGCGCAGGACACGGAAGGCTGAGATGGGACTGTTGACGCATTCCAAATTGCAACTGACTGACCGAACATCTCCAGAAACGCTGTCTTGAGCTCCGCGCTGCCGAGCGCGGCGAACGCGTTTTTCACGCCAGCAGGCATTGCGCAGGTCCTGAACAGCAGCATTCTGCACCGGGGGGGCCTTGCAGCTTCTGATGCATCAGAAGTTGAAACTTGCCAGCGGCACGGCGCGGGTTCCGATATCCCAGCGCTGGGCGGCAGGCTTGAACCAAACCAGCAGCAGAGACAAAGACTGCTTCAACAACGGTTACTTAGCTTCGTGGCTCCCACACGACATGCAAGCGCACAAGCTCTTGGGCAACCACGTGTTCTTCGTCAGCCTTGCACAGCGCGATCTGCAAACTATCGTCGGGAGTGCATCCGCTGACTTTGACCATGAAAAGAAGTCGGGGTGAAAGGTGCCATGTAAACCCCAAATCCTAGACTCCAAGCCCTAAACCCTTGTTCCATCTGGGCCAGAAAAAAATCGGTCTCCGAACAGATCAAGATGCGTGCTCAAAGTTCAGGGCCCTCACCCCTAACCCTATGCACCCAATCCCGAATTCCCAAATCCAAGACCCCCAAACCGACAACATTGGAATTAGAGAATAAGCCAAGGTGCTTCTGCCCGTTGAGCGACGTGCCGTGAGCTGATCCCAGGTCTTGCAGAAACGTAAAGCAACCTTGCCGATTGACCTGCCCACCGCAGAATCTGTGACATACCAGAACCCCTGATGCGACGCACGCTGCAATATGAACACATAGATTTATGTATGTGATTCTGCAATACTACATATTCATACTAGCATAAATATAAATATATATATATATATATATATATATTATGTGGTAGTGCAAAGACCTGGGCGTGCTTCCGCGAAATGGTCTCGTGGCCTCAGGCCACAGCACCCTGAGACGAATGCATCACCGGGGCTTCTTAGCTGAACTACGGCGGTCCAGATAAAGGCCATGATAACTGCCAGTTGCAGCAGCTGCAAGAACTGCAGTGGCTGGCAAAGAAGGCCCTTCTCAGCTTCGGGCCAAGTTGGAAGTCGATCCCCACAGGGGAGCGACCCATCAGCCACGCCTTTTGCTGGGGCTTCAAGAGGAAGCGTCCTGCAGCGCCACCAAGCAAGCCAACTGCTAGAACACTCAAGGGGCTTTCTGTCGCTTGCACTGCCTACTTCAATCAGACCCTGGCTCTCAAAAGCTGAGGGTCCAATGCGGTTGCCACCCTTGAAGACGTCAAAGCAAGGCATCGCAATCTCATCAGAAGGCTCCTGCCAAATCCCACATGCCACAGGATGAAGACCACCGAAACCCGTACCATGTTGCCACGGCAGCTGCAGCTGTTGCAAGAACAGCTACTGCAAATCTGCAAAGCACGAGGCATCGGGGGCGCACCGGAATCTGCAGAACCTTCTGATGCTTGGCTTCGATCTCCTTCTTCAACCTCTCAGCCTCGGCCTTAGAGGGCCGGGAGGAGAAGGCAAAACGGCAAAAAGTCTCAAGGCCAAGAAACAAGGCAACGGATTTTAAAAACGGCTACTGCACTACTTTGTGCTGCTAGAGACACAAGCACACAAGCACACCCCTTCCGAAAGATCATCAACAGCTCTCGCTTCCCCCTCCCCACCCCCCACGGAGACACGTGGCCTTTCGACGCAGGTCGGCTTCGGCCTTCTTCTTCTCCTCCTGCCGGCATCAAGCAACTTGCTGCTGCTTCTGAGTAAGGGAGTAAGGGGAGTAAGGGGAGTAAGGGAAGTAAGGGAAGTAAGGGAAGTAAGGGAAGTAAGGGAAGTAAGGGAAGTAAGGGAAGTAAGGGAAGTAAGGGAAGTAAGGGAGGTAAGGGAGGTAAGGGAAGTAAGGGAAGTAAGGGAAGTAAGGGAAGTAAGGGAAGTAAGGGAAGTAAGGGAAGTAAGGGAAATAAGGGAAGTAAGGGAAGTAAGGCCCCACCCCCTTAAGGGGCAGCCTCCGCTTCTTGCTTCTTGCGCTCCAGCAGAGCCTGTCGCAGCTTCTCGGCCTGCCGGGGCCACAAGGGGTTCGATTAGGGTTTAGGGTTTAGGGTTTAGGGTTTAGGGTTTAGGGTTTAGGGTTTAGGGTTTAGGGTTTAGGGTTTAGGGTTTAGGGTTTAGGGTTTAGGGTTTAGGGTTTAGGGTTTAGGGTTCGATGACAACGACTCGTAAGGAGCTGCAAGAAGTTCTGCAAGAAGGCTGCACGTTTGCTAGCAACCATAGAGTCTTCCCTAGAGAAGCGAGATGGAGCGAGCCCTGTCTACACACCTTTCTGCTCCAGAAGCTTGCAACTGACAGCGGCAAAGAAACTCGAGCCTCCAGTTGCTTTGCCACTTCCTTGTCCGCTTCAGCCTCAAGCGTGACGCAAGCGACCATGTGGGGGGGCCTGACGCCGAATCCTCCAAGCACTTGAAACCTTCTTCTGGCGCTCTTTCGCCATCGAAAGCTCGAACTCGGCCTCCTCGCCAAAGGCACTCCGCTCACATGCAGCACATGGTGTAGGTTCATGTGGGTGTTTTTCAGGTGCAAGCCATGTCATTTTCCACTCGCAACCACCACTCGAAGATGGTCAGGGCTGCAACTACACAGAAAACACACAAGCCCCCTGTAGTCTCGACATACTCTCCGCAAAACAGACACCATAATCCAGACGATGCGCGGGCGATGAGCTTTTGTTTCCACGAGTTCGGGCGTTCTTGAAAGTCACGACTGGATTGGGTGTGAAAATGTGCAGGACCGAAGCCAAGTTCCATCAGAAGTTCCCTATTGTACCCCGCTATACCAACAGTGCTTAGTAGGGATGATAGTACCCCCTAATATGATCCCTATCTTAGGATTGTTAGGGCACTGGAGCGAGACTTGCTGGCTACAGCTGCTTGTTGATGACTGGGAACCTGTCTGCCGCAGAGCCTCGCAAGCTTGAGCCATCTTTCAGCAGGGTCCAAGTAAGGGTCAGCGTGAGGTTGATGGGTTAGGGTCGTTGCTTGACCTGCAAGCCCCGTGCCGGCACATCTGGGATCGGATTGCCAATTCTGGGCTCAGCGGGGAGGGCGGGGGGGGGGGGGGGAACGCAAGAAAGTCACGAAACCCAGGGCTCGACAAACACATGAGCTTCATGTCATTTCAGCTGTTGGTGGCAAATCCTATGCTTCACTGGCAGAGGGGCACTTGGGCGGGAGGGGGCGTCCAGGCTTTTCCGCTAGAGACTGCGAAGGCACACCTTTTCCGTAGACTGCAGTCGACGAGTAGACTCGCCCATGGGGTATTACATGGAGGTTTACGAAAAGAAGGGATCCCCATAGAGACCCTTATGACAAGGACCCCAAGAGGGTCCCCCCTAATTTCGGAACCTCCCACATATTCAGGAACAACCCTAAACCCTAAACCCTAAACCCTAAACCCTCAACCCTCAACCCTAAACCCTAGACCCTAAACCCTAAACCCTTTACCCTAAACCCGAAACCTTGGGGCTTTTTAAAGTGTTCCAATCCTTCCGCGCCATCTCGACGCGATGCTTCCACAGGGCGATCTTCTCCTCCCGGAACCCAGGAGTACATTACAACCTTGAGGGGCACAACCCTAAACTCTAAATCCCTACATCCCGGGCTCATTGCTGCCGGGACCTGGCTTCGTACGCTCTTAGAGCTGTAGAAGCTCACATCCCGAAATCCCTAAACCCTAAACCCTTGGACGAAGCCTTCTGTTCCTCCTCCTTTCGTCTTTCCTCTTCCTCTCTTTGCCTCTCCTGCACGAAAGGTCCACACTAAGTTGACATCATGGGAGGGCGGACGTGGGGGGGGGGGGGGGGGGGGGGCTTTAACAGTAGAACCACTATACTAATAGGTAGAGAATTACGAATACCAATAGTCATAACAAGTGTTCCTATCACTTTCATACTCCTCATAAAAAGGCACGAGTCGTGCGGCAATAGACATAGCGAATGAAATAAGCGATCGCGTGAATTGTAAGAGCGAAGTGAGCAAAAACCCGAAATCACTATTGACTTCGTGCTCTCTCTGGATGCAAATTCTATCAATAAAGGCATGAAGTCAACAGTCATCATATGTTGAGACTAGAATGAGAACACAATGAGTTTACAAGGAACGAAGTGTACGCGTGAAACTCATTATATTGTGTGAAAGAAGCCGAAAGGAAGCGTGCTTGCCATACTTTGAAATTTCTGCGCCGCTGACTTTGAATGTCGGCCCCCGCCGCTTCGGCTTGTCGTTTCTACGAAAGCCGCGAGCTAAACCCCAAAAAGCGCCCCTCACGTTTCAAAGCGACCTGGGTGTTCCGGGGGGGCGTGGCTTCAAAAAGGACACCCGGGCTTCACCCGAGCTAGCAGGCCACCTCCTCCTCGAGCCGCCTGCGTTCCGCCTCCTCCGCTTCTCTCTTTCTGCGCTCCTGAGGCAGTGCAATGACGTGCGATGTGTGGAATTTTAAGGTCAAAACTGCCCGGGCCTAAGCTTTCCAAGTGCGACTCTCAGCTTCTGGCACCGGGATGACATGCAAAGGGCGCATGAGGCTGCGCCATAGGATACATCTACGAAGACTCCTCTGCCACCCAAAGGATGCCTAAACTTAGAACGCCCCCAGGGCCATACGATGCCCCACACCTCCAGCCACCCAGTACGGGCGACCTTCTTTGAAGGCCTTGGGGCCTTGGGGATCGGCAAAAGCTCCGCAGGCGCAGGCGCCAGGCGCAGGGTTCTCTCCGTTGATCCCATGGATTCACGTTAGCCGTTAGCTGCATTTCGTAGTACAACGCTTCGCTCCAGGCTTGCTTGGGAAAGGCTGTCCTCCTCTTCCTTTCTTCGCCTTTCTGCTTCAGCCTTTCATCAGAGGCGCTGGTCAACACTTGCAACAGTCAAGACGAGCCCCGGTAAATAGCCAGCCAGCAGGATCCAAGGAGCAGTGAAGGCACGGTGTTCTGGGGTTTGGGGGGGTTTTGGTGGGGTGTTGGTTTGAGGGATTTTGGGAGGGGTTTTGGGGGGGTTTGGTGTGGTTTTGGGGGGGTCTTGGGGGGTTTTTTGGGGGTGTTTTGGGGTTTTGGGGTTTTGGGGGGGGTTCAATTGCTGAAAATGGCAACTGTGCTGTTTCAAGACAATGCCGCAGCCATGTGCACTCTGTCTCGGGAGGTTGATTGTGCCTCCTCCCTTTCCCGTTGCTCCTCCGTCTCTTTCCTGACGATCAAGACGTGGAAATTTCCGTAGCATGGCAACACATGCACTCCCTGACCTGTAGATAAAGAAGTTTACGAAATGTAAGGAAGACTACCCAAAACAGAACAAGGCACCATCGTGCAAGTTCTTCTTTGGAGACGAGCTCATTGTCTTCGTCTGCAGCGGGGCAGAAGCAACCAGGACACCAGAAGAAACACCACATTTTGAATGCTTGGCCTGAGCCTGACTCGTCCTCTTTCTTGTCTTCTGGTGCCTTGCGGGAAAAGCAAACACCCCCTCATGCGGTTCTACCTTGGACCCCTAAGGTAGTACTTTGGGGTTTGGGGACCCTTCTTACAGGATCTAAGGGAAGATAAAGGCCATTTTTCGGAATATATTCAGGGAACCTCTTCGAACTACGTCCTTATAATGGGGTCCGAGTATGACTCCCTTCAGACCCTCCCTCACATGGGCCAAAAACCACGCCATGAGTTGGGAAAGCGGTCAGAGGCCGGCGCGTCTCTCAGCAAGGCTCGCTTCGCCGCGCGCTGGTGCCGCACCATCTCCTGCCGCTCCGCTTCCGCGGCCTCTGCCTCCTGGTCAGTTCGTCAGGGGTGCTCTGGGGAGGTTCACGGAGGTGGTTCTGAAGCATCCGAAATAAGGCTTATAGTAGAGTATGGCTACCATACCTATAAACCCTACTTATAACTACCCGTGAGAGTACAGCTACCATTCTCATTAAACCCTACTTTTAACGACCCAGGAAAGGCTATTATTCTTATAACCCCTACTTCTAACTACCCAAGGAGGCTACCATTCTTATAACCCCGACTTCTAGCTACCCATGAACCTCCAGGTAGGGTTTAGGGTTTAGGGTTTAGGGTTTAGGGTTTAGGGTTTAGGGTTTAGGGTTTAGGGTTTAGGGTTTAGGTTTTAGGGTTTAGGGTTTAGGGTTTAGGGTTTAGGGCATCCTCCGCACCACCCTCCGCGGCCTCGGCCTCCTGGCGCAGCCGCTCCGCCTTCTCCGCGGGATCCTTCTCAGGAGGGAAGCAAGGGAAGCAGGTGCCTCATAGAAGGCTTTCAGTATAGTGCTATACCTTAAGAATAAATATGTTCGACGATCCTAGCACGGTGATACACTCTGCTATACTCTTGTACGATTATGTGCCATCACACTGTTGCGAAATTTTTTTGTCCTCTGATCATATTCTTATATTGTTTCCTTAAAGTGCCCCAATCCATCCCAGCGCATCCCAGCGCTGCCTCGAACTCTTCCACATCCATAGCCTCGGGGTCGCCTGCAAAACATCAGGACACTTTAGGGTTTAGAGTGTAGGGTTTAGGGTTTAGGGTTAGGGTTCAGGGTTTAGGGTTTAGGGCCTTGGGTTTAGGGTTTAGGCTTTAGGGTTTGGGGTCACACTTTAGGAACGGCATACAGCAACACAGCACTGCACATCATATGAACCTTGCCGCTTCTGTAATCTTAGGAGTTCATTATTGTTCAACCCGAACCTCGAAACTCGAAACCGTAAACCCTGAACCCAAAACCCAAGACCCTATACCCTAAACCCTACAAACCCTAAATCTATAAACCCACCAAAACCCTAAACGCACGCCCCGGCTTCCAGCTCCCCCATGGGCTCTGGCCTTCATCGACAGCTGCCTTCCTCCTAGGCCCTGCCGCTCTTTTGGATGTCTGCCTTTGGAGAACAGATCGTGGGCTCAAACTCACAAAAAAAACGGGGAGCCATATGAGAGATAAGGGCTTAGGAGTTTTTTTGGCTCAGGGCTTCAGGGTTTAGGCTTTTTTGGTTCAGGGTTTTTGTTGGTTTAGAGTCTAGGGTTTTAGGGTTTTTTAGGGTTTAGGGTTTAGGGTGTAGAGTTTGTTGGCTCAAGGCTTTCGGCTCGGGGGCATGAGCCCAGGGAGGTTTTTGTTGGGGTTTTGGGCTCCCTTGTGGAGCTTTTTGGTCTACAGGACCTGTCTACGGAGCGACCCAGCATGCCGCAGGATTGGAGTTGGTCCGGGCATTACGGGCGGCGACCCTATGTGTGGTGCCTCAGGGGATGCGGCTGGTTGTACGAGGATCGTATCCAGGGACATGGCGGGTGCAAGAAATGCGCTACTCCTTGGCTGGCCTCGTGGCGTACTGCAACCGGCTGCTGGAGCGAGGAGGACAAGCCGCAGGGTTGGAAGGGCAAAGCTCCCAGTTTGCCACGTTCATCGCCTTCACGCTCCCTGTCATCCTCGCGAAGACGAGGAGGAAAGGCAGGGGGAAGGGGTCGTGACCTTGCAGCAGGCAACTTTTCCACGCATGTGTCTGAGGGTTTCGGCGGAGACCGAAGGTGGCCTGAGAAGTCGGAAGGGGAACTGGTTGATACGGGAAACCAGCTACCTAATCCAATTTTGGCGGAGGCCATCAGAAGTGAATGGGATAGGTTGCCTGACTCCATCAAGGAGGCATTGCCCGAGGGTTGGGCGTTGCCACCAACTCCACCAGCCCCGCCTACGGCCCCATCCAGGCTGGATGCCCCGAAGGCGGCAGCGGAACAGTACAAGGACGCATCGGCAAAACTCAGAGACTTGGGCTATCGGAAGGTTCGACAGGAAGCGCGGGTGGCGGAGACCAAGATGGTGTATGAGAGCGCCCTGGAGAAGCTTCATGAACTGCAAGCCGAGTTTGAAACCGCTCAAGCCGAGGCGGCAGCTACGGGTCAAGATTTCGCAACAATGGTCCTCTCCATGCAGTTGGGCAGCGCAGGTACCGAAGAATCTCAGGATCGGGCTTTCATGGATGGTCTCCAGGGCGTCCTGTCTCAAGCGGGCGTGGCGCTCACTGAGGCACAGGCGGATGCCTTGGCAAGTCTGCCTAGGGGTCAGCGGGGACAAAAGCGGCCGGCGGAGCCCGTGCCAACTGCAGAAGGCGGAGACCATAAGAAGCGAACCGAGGGAATCCCGGACGCGCAGATGTCTGAGATACCTGAGCCTCAATCTGCGGCTGCGGAAAAGCATGATGGGTAGCACGGGAACGGAAATGGGAGGAGACCCAAACGGGCGGGGACCTGCTGAGCAAATGGCTGGTGCAAACTCCATTCAGCAACGCAATGGAGGGCGCACTGGTGGCGATGTAGGCTTTCTTGGGGCGGAACATGGAGATGCTGAGGGCCGTGGTACGCGGACCCAATGTTTTGGGGCTGGCGATGACCACCGTGGCGAGACCGGGACGGGTCAGGCCGGACCGGCAGGGCCCGGTGCAGCCAATAACCCTGCCATTGTTTCAGCATCACACCTCGGCCTTTTGCGCAAACAGGCGGAGACCAAGCAGACCCCGGGAGTAGTGTTTCACACAAGAGCGGAGACCTTTGAAAGCAATGCTGAAGAAATGAAACCAGCTCGTGAGAGCACCAAACATAGTACTGTTACAACCTCAGCGAGAGGAGTCTCACAGGAGGGTGATGGCAGTGCGATGGATGGGAAAAGTGACGTTTCTGCGCTCTTGATGGTTTCAGCCAACGTAACCAGTTGGAATTCTGGTTGTAGAGATTGGCTGTTAAGTGAGGCTGGGACCTTAGGGCTTTTTCAGGAGTGTAAACTTGCTGGCAGCAAAAAACAAGAGGAAAGGCACACTCTTTGCCAGCTTGGCTACCAGGCCTACATTGCAGATTCGGGGCGGGGACCCAAGGGGGGTGATAGTGGAGGTACTATGGTTCTCGGGCCTTTGCACCGAAACCTTCGGGACTCTGGTACTTTCGTGCTGGGTGGCGCGGGGTGGCAGGCTGTGACTATGCGTTGCAAAGGTTTCGACCTTCTTTTAGTCTCGTTGTATCTTCGCGACACTGAGAGCCCCGCGGGTAACACCAATAAGGAAGTGCTTCAGGAGCTGTGGGCGCTTCTTGCTGCTTCTTGCACGCCTTACATTGCCCTTGGTGATTGGAATATCGCGCCCAGCGAGCTGGCCGCCCTACCAGGGGTCACCAAAAGCAAAGGCGTTGTTCTGGCGCCAGATGAGGACACTATCACGACAGGCGGGGTCCTGGATATGGCTCTGGTATCCAATTGCCTAGCTGGGCTGGTGTCCATTAGAGTCGATTGGCTTGTGCCTTGGAAGCCTCATGGGGCCTTGCTTGTCAAAGTTGATCTTGCCGATGGATGCGTCCCCCTGCCTCAAATGCCGAAATTCCCGGCACTCACTGTCGCAGCTTTCACTGATGAGGATTGGGTTGCGTCGGCTACTAGGCCTCAGCCTGACGACAGAAGTTTTCAAATAGGCGGAGACCGGCTTACGGTCGAGTATGCTGCTTGGGCGGCGCAGGCCGAGTTGGCGTACAACCGTGCCAATGGGGGCAAAGTTGTTGGCCGGGGCTGGAGGCTCCGTACCGTTGTGAAGCCTTTAGTGCCAACAAACTCACCTCACAGGGTATGGAAAGGGCGGGCGGGGTCCTTCTGGAGCCAAATGCTCACTGGCCTTCGTACTAAGGCCCACGCGCTTTGTGAGGGCCTCCGCGTTGATTGGCAGCAGCACTGGCAAAAAGGCACTGACGCCGACGCCGATTGGGATGTCATCCACACTGCGCTCCAAACTCCTAGTCGCGCCTGGGATGATGCCGACCGTGAGTTTCTTGTAGCTGTCGCCGAGGTTCAGGCGCGCGCCGCCTTCGGCGCTGCTAGAGACGCTGGCCGAGCGGCATACCAGGAATGGCTGGAGAGTGCAAAGGAGCGTGGCCTCAAAGGCTTGTACAAAGCCCTCCGCAAACATGAGGTGCCAGCCCAGAGGCCTTTCAGACATTTGGACCAAGCCAGCAGGGTTAAAGCCCGAACCACCCAGTGGACGTCCATTTGGACATCCACCAGTGGCAGCAGAAATTGGGCGGAGGCCAAGCAACTGCTGGAAGAGGCTGTGACTATGACCCCTGTGCCAGACCGTGCCAGCAGCCTTGCCCTTATTAAAGCGGTCAGGGCGGCGACCCCAAAGGCTGCAGGAAGGGATGGGATCTCTTATGAGCTCCTCGCTTCCCTCTCCCCAAAGGCGGTGTCCTGTCTTGTTTGGATACTTCAGCAAGTGGACTTGCAGCGCAAATGGCCAGCGCAACTACTTATCCACAGAGTGGTTTTGCTGGATAAAGACACGGACATTGAGCGTCCGATCGCGCTTACAGGGGTCGTTTACCGAATATGGTGTGCTTCAAAACAACCCGAAGTTGAGGCTTGGTTGGCGGGGGCCTTGGAGTGCGCACCGTGGGACCGTGCCCGGACGGGCGGCCACTGTATCGACATTGCTGCGTGCAGGGGAGAAGTCGCGAGACGCACGGGCCGGCACATGGTGAGCGTCACGGTGGACCTCGCAAACTTCTTCGACCGAATCGAGTACGCTGACCTAATCCTGGCTGGTCTCAAGCGTGGTTTTCCTGCGCGTGTACTGGAATTGGTTGTGCAGGTGCACAAAGGTCCCCGGATATTGGAAGGGGAGGGGGTGGCCACTGAGCCAATCCTTCCACAGCGCGGCATCCTGCCAGGATGCAAGTACGCGCCAATATTGGGGAAGCTTGCCCTTTGGCAGGTTCTTGAAGAAATGACGGGCCAGCGGGGACTGGATAGGATAGACACTTGGTACAACGATATCACCCTGGACTTTCAAGACACCTCGGCTTCCCTGGTCGCGTACAGAGCCGTGATGGGATACCGGGCCATTGTTGCCAAACTTGAGTCCCAGGGACACCAAGTCTCTACCAAAAAGTCCGGATTCCTGTGCTCTTCGGCGGAGGCCAAAAGGGAGGTTGAGCGACTGAGATTGCAACAGGAACCCAAGGCTGCTGACGTGCTTAAGGACCTGGGTGTCGACACGTCCCTGGGGCGGCAGCGGAGACTGCATACTCAGGACCAGCGGACTGCCAAGGCAAACAAACGGAACGCTCGTTTGAAACAACTTCGGGGAGTTCCTCTTGCCTTAAGGCGGCGTTTGGCGAAAGGCGGAGTCCTTACTGTCGCCGCTTTCGGCCACGCCGGGATGGGAGCGGCGCCCCGCTACAGAGCTCTACTCCGCACCTACCTCGCTAGGGCCACTGGGCTGCGGAAAACGGGTTCCATCGAGGCGCATCTCGCCATGGAGGCCCCGGGATTGCGGGACCCTGGCGCCTGGGTTCCCACGCAGGCTGTTCGCGTGTGGTGGCGCATTGTCAGGAACTGGCCCTCCGAGCGGAGGAAACAGCTGGAAGCTGCATGGGCGCATGCTTGGCGCGAGCATGACCGCAAACGCAAGCCATGGCGCACCGTGTGTGGGCCTTTGACGGCCACCGTTGCCTACTTGAAAGAGGTTGACATCCACTCTGAGGGCCTATACCATTGGCAAACAGCTGTTTGCACCCACCACTGGACTTTTCAGAACTCGGTGGAAGAGGCCACCATGGCGGAGACCTTCTTTGAAGCTTGGCAGAGGAAAAGGCGCCAGCTCATTGCGAGTTCACCAGGCGCTGCTGGCGCGGAGGCCGGAATTGACTGGACGCAGGCCAGACGAACTCTCAAAGGGGTTGACGATGCCTTGCAGCGCAATGCCCTCCGTGCCTTATGGCAGGGAACTATGGGAATTGCCGCCAACGCGGGATGCGCCAGATGTGGAGCCAGGGGTGGCCTCCAGCACGTTCTGCGTGACTGTCCGAAGCTTGGGACTTGGCGATGGAGGGACGAAAACCAGTTTACTTACCCCTCCCCCTGTTTTTGGTACAGGGGCATGGTGCCAACTGCATGGACCCCGGCGGAGCCCTACGCGCCAATCTACGAGGAAACCGGTCTCTGGAGAGAAGCCGGTGTGCTTGCCGGTGAGCACTACGTCTTCGCCACGGACCGCCATAGGCAAAGACCCGCGAGCACGCCGGGTGTTCTGGGCGGCGGTCGCCTGTCGATGGGATGGAGAGCAGCTTGTGCAGGTCGCCACTTTGCGGGGAAGTCTTGTTGGTGAGCAAACTGTCCCACGTGGTGAGGCTTGGGCCATAAAAGAGCTCCTTGCCCGGGTCACTGGTATAGTTGACCTCACCATGGATGCTCAGGCTGTTCATAAGAAACTCAAGCGGCCGAGGCCGGGCCAGGATTCCCTGTGGAACGCCATTTGGGACTCCAAGGAGGCGGTGACCTTGGAAGCTACCTGGATTCGGTCGCACCAGTCAGTTGAAGCTTTCCGCGCACGGTTTGGGCAGTGCCTTTGGCGACGTGAGGTGAACGCAATGGCTGATGCTTGCTGCACGGAGCTCCGGCTGCGGTGCCGGGAGAAAGTCCGGGCACACGAGGCCAGACTCAAGCTGCTGGACTCGGACACCCACAGGGCGCTGATTGGACAAGCCGCTATATTGGCGGAGCTCATCAGTAACCTGCCGAGTGGGAAAGACCCGCCTGTCGCTGGGATGTCAGACAGGAAGAAACACCTCAAGGGTGCTGAAGCAAGGAAAAGGGGGCCCGTTGAAGCGCGAGACGCCACTAGTAAACGCGACTACTTGGCAAAACTTGCGAGCGGAGACTTGAAGGGCGGAGACCACGTCTGGGTTGCCATGAAAAGCGGAGTGAGGTGTAAGGAGTGTGGAATCACCATGAGCTCTGGACGCCCCTATAAGCTGCTCGCACGGATAGCTGCGCTCCCATGCCAGGAGGGCGAGGATGCCGCGACTCCGTACGGAGTCCACCCAAGCCATAAGCTGCGGAGACAGGGTGCAAAGCTCAAGTGTGCCGGGTGCGGAGGCACGTACTTCCTAACCAAAGCTCGGGCGGGGACCCTCCTCGGGAAACGGTGTCACTAGTTAGAGCTCTCCGAGCGCTGTCGCATGCCAACAAAAAGGGTGTAGGGTGTAGAGTTTAGGGTTTAGGGTTTTGGGTTTAGGGTTTAGGGTTCAGAGGAATGCGCCTGGTCTTCCCAGGGTGCTCGAGCTGTGTCCGCTTGGTGGCGGGATGAGCATAGAAGTATGCCCCGGGCTTCGAGCGTGACTCGACCTCACGAAGAGGAAGGAATACGGCATAATACATGCTAAAAACATAAATAAATAAATAAATAAATATATATATATATATGTGTGTGTGTGTGTGTATATATATATATGTATATACATGTGTATATATATATGTATATATATATATATATCTATAAACAAAGAAGTAAGTACACATATAGATTTGTAGCTATTTGTTTGTGTTTTGTTCCTTCCTTTTTTACTTAGATAGTGAGTGTATATACATGCAAGTAAATACCCAAACCCGAAACGCTTAGCCTGAAAAGCCCTAAACTACTATTTGTTTCAGAACCCCACCCCCCCTCCACCCCCAAGCAATGAAGAATCATAATCCCTATATGGCCCTCATAAGGAAGAATATTTTACATTTTTGGCGGGGCTTCCTGAGCAATTCGTAGCGCAAGGCAGGAGAGCTTTTGGGAGTGTGCAGCTTTGGGCCTTTTGAGAGAGAGTCTAGACATATACATATATATATATATATATCTGCACATATATATATATATATATATTTGCATGTATCATGTATACATAGAAGCTGACTTCCTGATTGCCACGTCGGCCAAAATCTGGGGTCCTTGGCTCGAATCCAGCCCGGAGGCAAATCTTTCGAGTCTGCTGACCGATGGGCCGGTGCGGCACGCTTCTTGTGCTTGGCCATGGCTAGGCCAAGGAGTACATCGACCACGGCTGGGGGCTACTGGCGTATGGCTGAAGTAGGCTACGGTGAAGGTCCTAAGGTCGGTGGTTGGGTTAGGTGGAGGCTGAAGAAGGATGATAGATGCTACTGCAACCTCCTGGCTTTAGACCTGAAGTCCACCATGCAGGCTCCTACCTGTTCAAGAGCAGGCCTTGTGAACTTGTGAACCCACGTCGCGGTTATCTAGGAGCTGCTCGACTGAAGCTGCCGAGGTGGGCGAAATCAGGACAGTCGGCACCTTGACAACCTGTTGCTCCGAGGGACCACCATACAAAAGACTCCCAACACATCAGCCCTTCGCAGGGCCCTATGTAAATCTACAGAAAAGCCATTGCATCTTGCCTGGTAGATGCCCCTCGGGTCCCCATGCACGGCGGCCTGGCAGAAGGCTGAGGCTGGTGGCACGATTGACTCACAAATCATCACGAGCGTCACGCTCTACGACGATCATTCACCGAAATTGTTGCGACATGCGCAGATACAAAAAGATGCAGACCCCCTAGCACCGACAATCAGAACCGCGACCTCTACACGATGCATCCTGGTTCTATGCCAGTAGTGTTTCGCCAAAAGTGATGGCTGAAGAAGAAGGGTCTTGCCAAACCCTCACGAAACCTTCCTGATGTGTTCAGCTCTTCAAAACCCCTGGCCCTCTCTGAGTTCACAACTCTAACCTCTGACCGTTTGGTGCTTCGGCCTTCAGGAAGCTTCACAGAAGGCGACCCAGGCCGTGAAGCCGACCAGCCGGACCAGCAGGACAAAGAGGGGCAAGGCACCAAGATCCTGTCAAGGTGTCTGCTTTGTCTGTCTGTCAATCTGTTTATCCATCTATCCGTCGATCCTTGCATGCACCGCGCAGATACTGCTGGAACCGTGGGCAGCGCAGCCGAACATCGAGGCACTAGACATATTGACAACCAAATCCGAGCACCTATGTGATGCGGCAGGAGACCGCGATCCGGTTCATGCCACGGACCACGATGACACCTCTGCCTAGTTTTGCTACGCCACACGGCTGTTCCGAAGCCACGAGACGAGCCGGCATGCTGCACGAACTGGCCAATTAGTCAAAGTGAGTCGGTTCGGCAAGGGAGCAGAAGTAGTGAATCCCAGTACGAGCTGAAACTGAAACTCTCGGACTCCTTCACATCAACGGCGGCATTCGGGACCAGATCTGCGGCCTAGCACCCGCCTCCTCCATTTTGTGGGGCTCCCGCATTGCAAGCACAGCAGTTGCTTTTTCTCTCCATCCTAAAGGGGGTTTACTTCAAGCAGTAGCTTCGCTGCTTGTGACGACGGTCTCAGCACGGTCGGTCTCCAAATCCTAAGTAACTAGTGCCTTCCAATCAAGGCAGACAGCTTGGCCAGTGTATTGGGTACAAGCTGGTCACAGTATATCTGGACAAAAAAGGCCCTGCCCGTTTGAAGCGACATCAACACATCTTGCGACTGTGTCAGGCCTAGTCTAGAGTCCAGTCGGCTGCTAGTAAGCACACACCCTCCGAACACCCCGTCGCTCATCTTGGGCAGGTACAGTTCAAGCTTGCAGCTCTCCACCAACTTCTTTCGAAGTTAGCGCTGCAAGACTACAAGAAAGATGAATGAGGCAAAAGCTGAAGCCTTCCTGTGCAAAGCATAGCTTATGTCTGACTCTCCCGTGACCGGACTCGTCACCGTCGTAGTCATGGACATTGTCATGGTGCCTGTCACTGTCACGGTCGCCGTGGCAGTGGCAGTGGCGGTGGCACTCACCGTGACGGTCGTCCCCGTGATGGTCGTCCCCGTGACGGTCGTGACGGTCCCCGTGACGGTCGTGACGGTCCCCGTGACGACGGTCACGGTGTTGGTCGTCATGGTGTTTGTGTGCGTAATCACCGTTGTGGTCGTCGTCGTATCAATGCTGAACACCAAGAAGGAGTCGGAATCGTGTCCGGTCACATAAGCATATGCACCGGCGATCGCAATGCCACGGGAATCGCGCAGTGCGGGGTGCTGCCAATTGCCCACGATGGTCAGGTTGCTTGGGTCGCTGATGTCGATCATTGTCACGGAGTGGTGATCCTCTGACGTCACAAAAGCGAAGTTGCCATCAACCGCGACCCCCCAGGACTCCTTGAGGAGGGTCGAGTTCTGGACGTAGCCTCTGGGGTCTTGCTAAGGAATTCAACTTCAAGCTACCCTAGCAAAGAGGTAAGCATAGTTTACAAGATGTCCCTCTTAAGTCTAAAGGCAACTTGCATTCACCAGGCCTACGATGGTGGGGTTGCTCGGGTCCGTGATGTTGATGGCTGCGAAGCCGTCAGTGTTGTGGCAAGCCACATAGGCGTAGTCCCCGACAACCGCCAGGCCTCTTGCTTGATCAAGTCTGCTGTCCCTGACGGTGCCCGCGACATTCATGTTGTACGGATCGGTGATATCCACTATGGTCAGCGAGTCCTCTGCGTAGGCCGTCACATAGGCAAAGTTCCCGCCGATCACGATATTCTCCGCGCCATCGAGGGCGCCGTCTGTGAAGTGGCTGGCGACCGTCAGGTTGTTGGGGTCGCTGATGTCGACCGCTGTCACGCCGTCATCGCTATAGGCGGTCACAAACGCGTAGCTGCCGGCGATCGCCACGTCCGTGGCACCGTCGAAGAGGGCGCCGTCTTGGAGAAAGCCCGCGATGGTCAAGTTGGCCTTGTCGGCGATGTGGACCGCGACCAAGCCGTCGTAGTCGTTCGAAGCCACATAAGCATAGTCTCCAGCCATTGCAAGCCCTTCGGCACCGTCCAGCCTCTGGTCCCAGATACTGCTTACGACGCTTGGCCTGTGCGGGTTGCTGACGTCGACCACGGTAAGAGAACCTTCGTCGCCGACCACGTAGGCAAAGTTCCCGTCGACTTTCACACCCGCGGCCTCCTCGAAGCTACTGTGGGGGTTTTCACCGAAGAAGGCCACTTCGCTGAGGTTGGTTGGAGTGCTGATGTCGATCACGGCCACGCCACGGTGCTTGAAGCCAGTGTTGCAGGCCACGTAGGCACGGTTCCCGACAACGGCAAAGGTCCTGCCGTGTGCGAAAGTAGTTGAGTCTGACAAGTCGTCAGTAATTTGGACATTGCCGACGAGAGCGAGGCTGCTTGGGTCGCTGATATCAACCGTCACAACGCCATGCAGAGTAGAGACGTAAGCATAGTTCCCCACGATCTCGAGGCCCATGGGTTGGTCAAGCAGGGTGACATTCGAGAGCATACTGTGGATAGTGATATTGGACAGGTCGGCGATGTCGAGCACCACCAATGCCTTGGGTCCTTGCGCTGTCACGTAGGCGTGGCTCCCGACCACAGCGATGCGAGAAGCTCCGTCCACTTGACCTCCCGAGTTGAAGAGGCCGACAGGGGTGGGGCTGCTCGGGTCGGAGATGTTGAACACAGCAAGGTCAAGGTTGCTGTTGGAAGTGACCATATAGGCAAGGTCACCGACGATGTCAATGCCCCTGCCGGAATACAGCAAGGTGGAGTCTTTGATGGATCCTGCGACGGTGAGATTGGTCGGGTCAGTGATGTCGAACACCACAAAGCTGCTCTGCCACGAAGAGGAAACATAGGCGTAGTTCCCATCGAGAACAACATCATGAAGCCCCTGAAGCAGCGCAGAATCTCGCACTGAGCTCACGATCGTCACGTTGCTGGGATCGGCGATGTTGAATGACACAAAGTCATAGTACCCACTCACGTAAGCGTAGTCTCCTCTGATCGCGATGCCTTGGGGATAGTCCAAGATATCGTTGTCCTTGATGGACCAAGACCCTACCACAGCTGGGCTAGTGGGATCCGCGATGTTGAGCACCGACACCCCATCATCAAACTGCCCTGTGACGTAGGCGTAGTCGCCCGCGACGGCAATCCCGTAGGCTCCACTGAGCTGAACCTGGTCTTGCAGGACAGCTACGACGTCCACCTTATCGACTCTCGCCGCTTCACTCCACATCATACCAACTTGCAGCAGAACACCCAGACCGACGATCATGGTCATGGCGTCAACGCAGAGGCGAGCGGAAGAAGCTGATTTGGCTCTCTTTGCTCGGGATGCAGCGTGTTGGGTCAAGCTGCGGGAGACCAGGGAGACATGTCGACTCGCACAACAGATGACTTCGAAGCAAAGCTACCTTTTTCAGGGAGTGACCTCGCTCGCCCGCCTGCCCCCGTAGCCGGTGGGCGCCACTCCAGAGCCGGGAAGAGGTCAGAGAACGGCTTGCGCAGCTTGAGTCGCAGGCTTCAAGTCTGGAGATGACCTGCAAGAAAGTCATGCTTGAAGCCCTTCAAGATTCCCTCAGCAGACATGAACTCGAGACAAACCATTAAAGCTATTGGTGCATTCGCGACGGTTAATGGTGAAGGTAGTCCTGTTGATTGCTGTGTGTTGCGACGGCTTAAAAGAAGCGGGGGGGCGCAGCCCCCCCCCCCCCCCCCAATTTGCAACCACAGTGCTCACACGATGGGTGTCAACAAGATTCACAGGCTTTGAAGCACGCCTTGCACGGCTTTAAAAAGCGGGGGGTGGGGGGGCGGCGCAGCCCCCCCCCCCCCCCCCCATGTGCAACACAATGGTTACATGATGGGTTTCTACAAGCTTCACAGGCTTTCAAGCACGCTTTGCACGGCTTGGGGCCTTTCTTTCTTTGGTTCGTTACTTCTTTACTTCTTTACTTCTTTACTTCTTTACTTCTTTGCTTCTTTGCTTCTTTGCTTCTTTGCTTCTTTGCTTCTTTGCTTCTTTGCTTCTTTGCTTCTGTACTTCTGTACTTCTGTACTTCTGTACTTCTGTACTTCTTTACTTCTTTACTTCTTTACTTCTTTACTTCTTTACTTCTTTACTTCTTTACTTCTTTACTTCTTTACTTCTTTACTTCTTTACTTCTTTACTTCTTTACTTCTTTACTTCTTTATTTCTTTACTTCTTTACTTCTTTACTTCTTTACTTCTTTACTTCTTTACTTCTTTACTTCTTTCCTTCCTTCTTTCTGTCTTTCTGTCTTTCTGTCTTTCTGTCTTTCTGTCTTTCTGTCTTTCTGCCTTTCTGTCTTTCAGGCGTTCCATTTTTCATCTTCCAAAGCCTCTGTCGTCCTTCCTTACGCGGGCACAGTATCACTGGACCAGAGAGGATGTAGAGCTGTTAGCATACTGTCGCATCCCTGTTTTCGAACCACGGATGGCATGCGACACCCCGAAGATCAATCCAGAAAAGGTAGGCATGCACGAAATGCCTGAGGCCTGTCCCCGCCAAAGCAAGATGAAAGCATGGACCCTTCATGGAGGGACTCCACTCTGGATTTTCCTTGCCGACGTTAGCATGCTCTCTCCGCGGCCGCCACATCGGGCATTGGTATTGGTCATTGGTCGGCGCCACGCAATTGGGATTGCAACGGTCAACGCGCCGAGCCCAACATGCGCATAGGACATGCCAAGCCTCCCAAGGCTTATACACTACGAAGACCTCTAGAAAATCCTTTATTTTCGTAACAAAAAACCATACAGTACGAAGACCTCGGTGCCATAATGATTCGGCGGCCATCAGCCGCCATCATCAGCCGCACTCACGTCTGGATCGCATCCGGATCAGACAAGCCGAACTGCCAGGCGCAGAGCGCCGGGATGGCCAGCCTCACAAGGAGGGACTTTTTGGGACTTCTTGGGACTTTCTGGGACTTTTTGGGCCTTTTTTGTGACTTTTTGGGACTTTTTGGGCTAATAGGGCTGCAAGGCTCCTGCACACATCTACGCAACGGGGCGCAAGGCCGCTTACTTTGCAACGAGCTACAGGATCTCGAGACCCGAAGGTTTGCAGCTCTTCCTTAAGCCCATTTGGGTCATTTGGGTGTTTACGATATTCGGGGTACTTTTCTCGGACCTTTTTATAAGGGAATCCTACTACTATTTGGGGGGTCTATTGCAGGGGCCCCCTGTTTTCGTAAACCCCCCATTTGTCTGGGGTGCATGGCTTTGAGGTGGGTGAAAAAAAACGCGTGCCATGGCCAACCGGCAAGACAAGATTTGCATGGCCCCTGATGCCCTGGTCCAGAAGACACTCGGCTATCTTCCGGGCCGTTGTGGGCTCTCTACGGGTGCGGGTGGTAGCCTCACAACCGAGTGCTAGTGATCATTAGGGTCCTTCGGCTTGCAGTGTGAGCCACCCCCATGCTGAGCTCGAGAAGCCTGAACCTGAAACGCCTTACGGCAAGGGAGCAGGCACATCAGCTGCAGGGGCAGCCCGAACCGGAGGTAATCCAGGAAGTCATACGGTCCCAGGCCTCCAGACGAAAACAGTAGGGACTAGCTGATGTTTCAGGGCTGTTGGGCTTTCAAATTGCCAAGTGAAGTCGATTCGATCGACAGGCCGCCCTTCCTGCCGGGCGAGGATGCCCGGATTGCAGGCATCATGTTCTAAGAACACATGCGCCCCCAACAAAGTCTAGGGTTTAGGCTTTAGGGTTTAGGGTTTAAGGTTTAGGGTTTAGGGTTTAGGGTTTAGGGTTTAGGGTTTAAGGTTTAGGGTTTAGGGTTTGGGGTTTAGGGTTTAGGGTTTAGGGTTTAGGGTTTAGGGTATGGTCTTCTAGATGCTATAGGTATACTACTGATACATTCGGGGCTATGTAAAGAGGGAGCTGGGGACCGGGCCCTTGATCATGATGTTGGAAGCAGTGGCGAAGGGCATGGCAAATGCTGCATTTGCCGAGAAGACTAGAACCAGCGCCGTCGTCTTCAAGTTCCTGCCGATGCTTCGCGAGGCACGGCGGAGAAGAGGCGTCACCCCTTCATCTAGCTGAATCCCTACTAAGGCATACTAAAGTCCCTAAACCCTAAACCCTAAACCCCCTAAACCCTCCCAAAGCAGGGACTGTCTTGAAACCCCCACAACTCTGGCCAGGCAACATGCCCTCTGAAGTGCAAACCCGCATCGCAATGGGCGCCATCAGCGCAGCGGTGGCAGTATGCGACATGAGATTTGCCAGGAGCGAGGTGATGAAGGACAGTGCTACCAGAATGCCCAGTGGATGCCCAAGGGCTGCATGGCGCCCAGCAGATATGACCAGCTTCGCCCAGGCATTGCCCAGCCCGCTCTCCTTGATGGCCTCAGGACACCGGCTCTCAAAGTTACAAGAAATGATACATACTGGTAACCCTGGTACAGAACCTTAAACTTTAAGTTGAACATACTGGTAAGCCTGGTAATGAACCCCTTAAACTAAACATACTGGGTAACCCTGGTAATGCCTAAACCCTAAACCCTAAACCCTAAACCCTAAACCCTAAACCCTAAAGTTTTAAACTCAACCAGAGGTTGCAGCCCGGGCCTGTCCCACGCCCAGGCCTCCAGCAATGGTCAAGAAAATCGGAAGGTTCAGGCGCTGCAGGACCTCGTCACACTGGCACCCACAATAGGCTATTTCGGGTTTAGGGTTTAGGGTTTAGGTTTAGGGTTTAGGGTTTAGGGTTGAGGGTTTAGGGTTTAGGGTTTGAGGGTTTAGGGTTTAGGGTTTAAGGGTTTAGGGTTCGGGGGCTGGAGAAGCTTCACCAACACGAAACAGAAGCTTCGTAGGACATCCGCATCCTTGCACGCAAACGGGAGACTATGGGTGGGTTTCGCAAAAGGGAGACTATGGGGGGGTTTCCGAAATTAGGGGTACCTTTTTGGGGTCCTCTGATCAGGGAATCTTACTATTTGGGGTCTGATTTTCGTAAACCCCCAAATCAAGAAAGCCCCGGCACACACTTAAGGTGGTGAGGCGAGTCTTTTGTTTCCGAGCAGCTGCTTCCCGGTGGACGATGTTCAGGAGAATGCACAGGCCGACTGCTGATAGACCCAAAAACACCAGGTCGCAGAAGTTCCTGACGCTCTTACGATGACAGCAGGATGATGTAGGAGGATGATGTAGGAGGATGATGCAGAAGGCTGCTCGACGGGTGATGGAGGAAGCTCAACCCTCAAGTGTTGCAAAAATCCGGATGCTGGGATATGCAGCTCGGTGCAAAGCAGCCCTCGGCTCCTCCCAAGTGCTCTAGACTCTCAGGTGAGCAAGGGGGGGGTCGCATGGGGTGCGAGTTGCTGTCCTGCCATCTAAAGAACGGGCCTCAAGCCCTTCCGTTTTGCCGCCCTTTTGCCTGCCAGCATTTTCCTCCACATTTCACCCTTGCAGCCTGGGCCCTAGAAGTGGAGTGTAAGTCAGCCTTCCATTTGCAGTCCATTCTTCATGAGCTGCCCTCATTACTGTTTGCTGTCATCATCTGACCCCTTCAAACTTAGCCTTATGAATACTGATTTCGTCTCCCTGAACTGACTCTGGCACTGGCACTCTGTCTCTCCTGATCATGAAAGCTTCGCGTCTGTGCTTTCACCTCTGTTCCTACCCTCGACTAGTAATGTATGGCATACGCAACACCAAAACGTTGAGAAACTCTACGAGGGACAGCACAGAGCAGACGATGACGAATGCCAGCAGCAGCAGACCCAGCCAACCTCTGATTCATGATTGGGATAGTACTAAAATTTTAATTGTTTATTCCTTATTGGGTTTAAGTACCCTTAAACATGCAAAACGCTACCCAACTATGACAAAGAGACCTCTGCCCTGATCCACCCGGCGTCCGTGTCGCGGAGGTGCCGACTCCGGAACCACCGCTACGAAACTGAAATTCCGCTCGACCTTGGCAGAGACCTATGGGGAATTTTTCGACATTAGGGGGTGCCTTGTTGGGGTCCTTGTTACAAGGGAATCCTACTATTTGGAGGTCTATTTTCGGGTTCCCCTTTTTGTCGGAAACCCCCACATGTGGCCAGGCATAGGGTGGCACAGACAAGATTTCCGACGTGCTGCTTCAGGTAAGTCGGCAAACTCCAGGAAGGCCTCCACCAACAGTATGTCTCCAGCCTGTAAATGCAGAGAAACATGTGAAGCTACACGCAGCCAAGATGACAGAACATGCTCAACCACACGCAATACTGCTGTCTAGGTGCGCACAGACTCTCCCTGAACTCCCCGAGCTCGATGCTGCTGATGTCTGCATTGGGGGAATCACCGGAATCACCTTAGGAGTCTGCTGCAACCATGAGATGATGTCCGCAATCCCATCAGTCCAAAGACCAGTCCATGTGACCTGAAATTGAAATCCCGACGCCTTATGCCCATCTCGAATGTGAACTTTTTCTTGGGCCTGTTAAGGAGTCTGACATGTTTCACAGACACTTCAAAAGCAGCTGTCAAGTCACATGTCTGCTGTTCCCAAGTTTAGCTTGCAGAATAGAGAAATGTTCTGGATGTTGAGTAGTCAGGTTGTGAGTTTGACGTGGAACCTCTGTACCTTAGATCAACCCCCCGCTCGCTAGACATCATTGATCATGGGCATGGCCTGGGGAGCGGAATGGACGTCGCTGTGGGTAAGGGCTTGCCATCGTCATGGATGCTTGAGGGCGGCGCGCCGCAATGCACGTGGCCTGAAGGCCAGGGAACACGTCAACGATCCGACCATCGAGCTGCCAATTGAAGCATTGCATTCCTTCCTTCGAGTTCCTGTCTCACATCGACAGAAGAATCATGTTTTCAAGCTTTCCTGGCACATCCTTCCACCTCCCAGACCTGCCCAGGCCTGGTTGAGACTGATGGGCAACTTGCCTCAGGGGCTTCTGAGAAGATGGGATTGCAGTTTGCACTCCAGGGACGGATGACCAGTAAGACTCGTCCCCACAGAGAGGAGGAATGATACGGAAGGTTCTTGCAGTCCACTATCAACCCCCTGAGACAAATCCAGAAGCTTTGTGTCGGTGCGCCTCCAAAAAGTACTACGACTCAAAGTACATGTATATATATATATATATGGTTCAGCGTCGAGCGTCCTGGGCCCCCCCCCCCCCCCCATGGTATCCCCCCCCCCCCCAAGCCTACTCTACGGTCCCTAAACCCTAAACCCCCTAACCCTAAACCCTAAACCCTAAAAACCCTAAAACCTAAACCCTAACCCTAAACCCTAACCACACCAACCAGGGGGGGGGGGATCATCTTAGTACCCCATCCGCGGGCAAACCCTAAACCCTAAACCCTAAACCCTAAAACCCTAAACCGTAAACCCTAAACCCTAAACCCTAAAACCCTAAACCCTAAACCCTAAACCCTAAACCCTAAAACCCTAAAACCAACCCCCAACCACACCACAGGGGGGGGGGGGGGTACCATTGGGGGGGGGGGGGGGGGGGGGGGGGGGGGCCCGCCGGGGCTGAATCATATATATACATTTATTCCCTTTAAGGGACTATACCAGGGCACCTTTCATTCCCCCGTTCCCTACTAAGAAACGGGGGGGGGGGCAAGCTCAGCTGCAGCCCAGGCCACAACCCACCAGCGCCGAGCCGGGAGCAATCCCGACCTCGAAGAGCCGCCGACGATGGCGCTGGGCGCCCAGAACCTTTAATATCCTTTAACAATCAAAAAGGAGACCCATACAACCGCATAAAATATAACAGAATACAACCCTCATGTAAGAATACTTAGAGTCATGGTAAGAAAGTAGGAGCATGCTAGCATAACGAGAGTACTGATGTTGATTCTCGAGCTCTTTCCAAGCCCACCATCCTTTTGGTGCACTTCTTGAACCCCCTCGAGAGGCTCGGAAGTGGACCCTTTTAAAGCCCTGCAACAAAACTCAACGTCCGGCGCGCGACCGCCAGGGGGTCGACGCCTTTCATCATCAGCCCCGGGCTCCGGTTGCGGATCTGGGCCTCGGATGGGAAACCAACACCAAAACACCGCGGTTTGGGGTTTGGATGGGTTTGGGGCTTAGTTTCCCTCCTGCACAGCCGGGGCAAGTCCACATCGCAGGGCGATTTCGAGTCTGACTTTGGTTCGTGGTGTAGGGCTTAGGGTTTTAGTTTATACCGAGTCTTGCGCGATGCACCATGCAAACGACCAACCCACATCCACACACACACACACACACCTTTCAAAAACGGAGCGCATTTGATTTTGCGGAACCCTGAAGCCACAAGATGACAAGGTTCGGGAGCGTGTGGCGGGGTTGTTGTTTTTCCCTAACTGTGACGGCTTTATTCTGATTCTCCTAGGTGTGGCGGGGACCCTTCTCCCGTCCTACACACGACATCTAGCATGGCCTTAGCAGAAGCACATTCAACCGGATGTAAAACCAACACGCATGCCGCAACCATGTAAACATGACCATGCATACATTTAAAAGAAGGTATCCTCCGAGGTGCAACTCCCGCCGCCGTGGCGGCGAAGTGGAGGAAGTTCCCAGCTTCCATCTTCTTGTCCATTTCAAAGTCGGTATCAACCAGGATAACCCCGGGTTGAGAGATCAGCCCCGCTTGAGCAACAGTAGAGCCAATCAAGAAGGAGCCCTTAGCGACTTCAAAGGACAGGTAGTAGCGGTTGCTGCACTGGTGCCGGAGCTGCTCAATCTTGCTCGGAGGTCCCACGGTCGCAGAGCCCAGAAGTGGTTTGGTGGCGAGGGTGCAGTACCTGCCCAGAATCCCTCGCACATCCTCCTGTGTCCCCCCCTTGCCGTTTGGGGAGAGGCTCCCACCCCCCGCTTCCTAGCTAGTAAACATACAGAGCTGTGCAGGACTGCTGGAACACGTTGGAAAACACATGTCTTTCATGGGGGTCCCAGGTACACGCACGTGAGGGCGGTCAGCACGATGCAGCCAAGGGCTGGGTCGAGCATCTGCAGCTCTGCTTCAGGCATGGTCTGGTAGATGGTCAAGGCCACAGTGGAGGTGACGATCATAAAGTTTTGGCTCATGCCGGCTACGCTGGCAGTGGGCAGCAAGATCTCACGTGACGTGAAGCCCGCTTGTGGCGCCCACCGCTGCAGAGCAGGTGCGGCTGCCACCACAACCGTCATCTGCTGGACAAAAGCAGCTAGGAAGGCAGTGACCAACTGAGCCCGTATGAGGGCTCTGAGGTTCTTTTGCTCGGTCCCTAAGAGCCTCGAGAAGATGTGATCCAACACCCCAGAATCCTGGATGCCGCCGACAAGGACCAGCACAGCCTGAAAGGCAATATTGCCGGGGCTCGAGAAACCGGCCAGAGCCTGGTTTGTGGAGATGATGCCACAAGTCCCAAACAGGGTGACCACACCCAGAAAGACGAAGTGAGGCCGATAGCCCTGCATCATCATGGCCGTAGCAGCCAGAAGCACGTTCCCCACGAAGAGTGCCGTCCAGGGGTTCGAGTGACAGGTTCGCGTGCGCCCAGTTCCCGTGCAGACTTCGAAAATGCGACGCAGGTCAGGTTCATCTTCTGCCCAAAAACCGACCATCAGGCTGAAACACGCAGAAAGGACGCAGAGGACAACAACTTGCGGGCTGCAGGTTTCCGTCAGATAGCTGCGCCCAGATCTAAAACTTCGGACTGGCTCGACCGGCATGTTGAGCCTGGCGGGTCACGCTACCAAGCCCGCTTTTCCAGGCCGCCAAGGCGGCGCATGCGCAAGCTGGTCCGGTGGGATCTGAGGCTTGCACCCCATTGCGTTGAGCCAACGACTGCAAGGAGATGCAAGGAGCGCATAGGAGCTGTGGCAGCAAGTTTCGACCATGTGCTGAGCATGCATGCATCAGGCAGTGCGCACAACGATCTATCACAGTCGCATACAGCTGTTCACAGGTCCCGCCCTTCTCATCTGCCGGCCTCCACTCGAACTCACCCGGACCGCCTGGCCGAAGGAACATGCTGGGAACCCAAACTCCCACACAAAATGCAAAGGGCCGGGGCAGCAAGCAATTTGGTTCATGCGGCGCGCACTGCGGTACTCAATCCAGCAGGCGCATCTACTCAAATGACACTGGCGCGCACTTGAAGTGGGAGAGATGAGAAAAGCGTCAGCGGCATGGCCCATTTTGGGTCGATCCGCTGGCAACGGCGCTTCCGCCGGCTATTGAAACATTAGCTGTAGCTGCCAGTGACTGGCTGCTAGCTCAGCGGCGGGTGCAAGGTGGAGGGCATTTGCCAGGCGTGGCCTGCAGCAAGTCACTGAGGAAGAGAGTTTTTTTGCTAGTGGCTGGTCCCGGGCCGGATCCTCTGACTTTCAGGCCGCCCCGCCTTGTGCACCCGCGCCTGGAGATGCCAAGGAACACACACGCGAAGGAGCATGCGCAGCGCGCGGCGTCGGGGCGCGGCAACGAGCACGCAAGAACGCACACAGTGACCCGGAGCCTGGAAGTCGGCAAAACTCGACGAGGATGTCAGGCCAGGGTACCAATTCGGATGTTCTCGAATTCCTCGGTTTTTAGGATTGGGGCGATTCCATGCGGAATGTAGAAAGACTCCTCGGTCCGAAGTCCAAGGATGTCCAAGGCACCATGGCGCATGGCCCATCGAACGGCTGAGTAGCAAGACTGCCCCGGGTGAGCATCCTTAGATCTTAGCTCTTCATGCACGCTATGGCCGGACCTGCTCGAGAGAGGCCTTGCGACCACAGAGTTCTTACACGCTCTCACTTACTCTGACTGCTTCTGGCATGCGATGACCCCGGGCACTAAATCAAGGGAAACACCAAGCGGCTTGGCAGCCTGCAGGGGCCACCGGAGGTGGGGTGGTTGTCTCAGCTGCTGCCGGTTCTGCCGTGGGCGCTGCCGCGGGCGCTTCGGGGGTGGGCGCTTCCGCGGGCGCTTCCGTGGGCGCGTCCGCGGGAGCTTCTGCAGGCGCTGCTGGAGTCGCTGGTTTAGCTGGCTTTGCGTTGCCGATGCAGGGGATGGGGCAAACATCCGGTGTGGCCTCAGCATTGCAGCCGCCCCCCTCTAGGCAACAATCAATGGTACATCAAACCGAAGGCACGTGACATCACTTTCTATGCCGCGTTTGCTTTTTTGTCTTCTGGAAATAAAGGCCCTGGCTTTGTGGACCTGCGCCTAAGCAAGGCGATGGTGGGAACACAACTGTCACAAGGGCCTCCATGGTTCTTCAAGTGTTGTGGCCGGTTCCGGAGCCTGAAAGTCTCCGAAGCTGGAGGAAGGCGTCAGGCCAGGGTACCACTCTGGATGAGCATGAATGCCTGGGCCATGCGAATTCCACGCGACACTTCGGCCCAGCACTGTGGCCACTGAGGCGTTTGCCATGCTGCATGGCCCAGCGCACAGCGCTGAAGCACTTGTCGCCAGGTGCCGCATCCTTGCGATAGGGCCGCAGAAACCAGAGACGTTTCGTTGCTAACGGACATGGCACCACTTTAGCCTGGTAGAGGTGGAAATTCTGAGGGGAGGTCTGTGCAAGGTGGTGGTAGGGTGGTGGTCGTGGTTGTAGTGGTCGTGGTTGTAGTACCTGTGTAGAACCTCAGGCCGCCAGGCCAATACACACACACTCTCTCTCGGTCTCTCTCCCTCTCTCTCTCTTCCTCTTCTTCTTCTTCTTCTTCTTCTTCTTCTTCTTCTTCTTCTTCTTCTTCTTCTTCTTCTTCTTCTGCTGGGCTTAGGGGTGCCCCGCCGCGCTCGAAGCGCGCCCGAGGGTGAGTCAGGTCCATTGAGACCACAGCGACCGGCTCTCTGTCTCCCTTCCTCTCTCTCTCCCTCTCTCTCCCTCTCTCTCCCTCTCTCTCTCTCTCTCTCTCTCTCTCTCTGTCTCTCTCTGTCTCTCTCTCTCTCTCTCTCTCTCTCTCATGTACGTAGCCATGCTTGACTCTGCGCTTTGAAGAGCTCTAACATGTCTCTGCAGAGAAACGGGGCCATCTTGAAATCGCATGCGGGCGATGGCAAGTCAGCATCGCCTCAGTGACTCCGTGTCTGTCGCATCGTGGAGCTAAAAATCGCCGCAGTCGGCCCTTGTGGCGCGATTTGCGAGAGAAGCGGCTGGCCATGTCAGGGTACTTCTCTTTGAAGAGTTTGTCCACCTCGACCCGGGGCAAGCGGCTAACAACCCTAAACCCTAAACCCTAAACCCTAAACCCCAAACCCTAAACCCTAAACCGAGGCAACAAAAAAACGGAGCCTTGGCCATCCTTTTGTTATTGGCTTCGGTGTCGTTCATGTTGTTCCTGCAACCACGCCGAGATCTTGACTCATGGGGAGTAGGATTCAGGGTTTAGGGTTTAGGGTCTAGGGTTCAGGGAATAAAAATCGCAAAACAACCGGGAAACAACCGCCTGAGATGCAAAAATAGATGCAGCAGAAAGGCCAGAAGTCTAGACCGACTCCCTTGTCTGCCGTCTTGTTGAACTCCTCGTACCTGTCTGACCGAAACATAGACTAACAATGACAGCTTGGCTTGACAAAGCTTGTATTGAAAATGAACATGGGGCACCCTTCTTTGACAAATGCTGCATAGTTCTTGATTCCTTCGATCTCGTCAATAGAAATCTCCTTGGCTTGCACGTGCCACCGCGCGCGAGCAAACTGCAGCATGGATCTCAGCAGCTATTGCTAGCAAAGATTCACCCGCATGCTCAATGCTGTACGTGCAGTTTCCTTCACCTGTTGGCGTGCCTTCCTCAGATGGGACGGATGCTGATGAATGTTGGACTGAAAGGACCAGACTGGCCTGAACCCACACCTGATCAAGGCCCCCACACAGCGGCCGCCTGGCTGATCATGAATGCAGGTTGCATCCTTCTCCTGACACAGAGCACACGCATGTGCTTGCACTGCCTCTGGTTGACCCCTGACCCTTGATGGTCCTTCCACGTGTTTGCTGGGCATGGCCCCGGAAGGGCGTACCACCTGCAGTGCCCGGCGGAACAATTGGACTGGCCAGACGTGCTCGGGTGACTGAGCCCATGCCGCACTTAGGCTGCCACTTGGCTCCCTCGTAATAGATCTTGTATGTGGGAAACGGAAACTCGCCCAGATTGTTGCACCCGACAAAGTAGCCATACCTGCTCAAACTTCTCAGCTCGTGCAGACGCGATGATCTGCAACACATACGATGGGCTTGGCCTTCCGTAGTTGAGGTCGCAGTTCCATGGCCCAGTGCACTGCGCCGCATCATAAGCGTAGCGCACCTTGGTTCAATCTACTGCAAGGGTTCGCCCCAAGCGGTCACCCGGCCACCGGCAGCCCCCAGTGTCCACACAGAGACATCCAGTTCGATGGAGTGCTGACACGTGGCTCCGAAGTTCATGCCCAGGTTGAAAAGAGGCTGTGTGGCTCGACTCGAGACTTTGTAGCGCTGCAGCCTCGCAGGCACAAGTTCGGGGCGCATCCATGCATAGACATGAGCTGTGGGTTTACGAAAATAGGGGTACCTTAATGGGGTCCTTATAATGGAATCCAACTTTCTCGGGTCTCTATTAGGGGTCCCTCATGTTCGTAACCCCCCCAACTGTGACGGCGCAGGAGCGTTGTAATGTTGAACTTTCGGGGCGTCATCCACACCACCTGCGGGCATTGGTAGCTTGCCGTGACATCAGCACGGACGCAGCAACGACAGGCCTCGTTGTGCAGGTACCACATGGTGCCAGCCAGATTTCCAACCTGCTGTCTGAATCTCACGTGGCGTGAAAGCGCGGCTCCCCTGCGTAGCACCAGCAGTGACACAACATCCGTACTAAGCTGCGCGCGTTGACGTTGTCAGTGTAGTCCTAGCAAGCTCATGATAGCTAGCCGGCCATGACCATGCTCCACAAGCTGTCAAAGTAGCACCAGGTCGCCATGCACTCTTCTTGCCGTTGGGCGACAGCGCCAGCTGCTTCGGCCCTGTAGACGTAGTATGTAAAAAGAGGCGCCTTGCTTGGCTCCCTTGGATGCCAGGTTCGAGGCACAACACTCAAGACGTCCGGAAGTTTTACCAGCGTAGGCTTCCGGTGCGTGCAAGTTGCTTTAGCTCTGCCGTTGGCTTGTACCTGGGGACGTGTACACATTCAGGGTCAGCTTTGCTGCTCTGGCTCCTGGCCACTCTTCGAAGTGATTTCTGGGCTCGGTACACAAAATGCGGACCACCAGCCTTGGTGGGGTCGCACTGCAACCAGTTTGTGTTGACCTGCTGGCAAGCACTGTAGCAAGAATGCCGCGAACATACACCGAGTGATCAGATCACAAGCGCATGCAATTTTGCAGCGGCAGGCCTCGGTGCAATAATAGCCACCGTGGCAGCAGGTTTCACCAGAATAGGGGACGCCTTACTCTCCCATGTGCTGTGAGATGGGTGATTTTCGCTCCCGCAAAGCTCCGCGAACTGCACTGTAGGGATTTCGTTAAGGACTAGAACCACCTCATTCTGCCACAGAGAGGGAGCTTCTTTGAACCGCTATTCCGGCAACATGGTGCCATGACTATGGTGGAACTAAGAGAGGGCTTAGGGTTGAGATGGTTAAGGGCTTAAGCCCAGAAAAGATTGAGCTGTGAAGACGTGGTCCAATGCAGCTCCAGGGTGCCATTCGTTCTGATGCCACCACATTGCTGATAAGGATTCAGACAGTGCCTTCGCTTGACGTGCTGACGTGAACTGGTCTTGCCGGCCCTGCCCTCCCATGCCGCAGAATGACACAGATGACACAGGGTAAGGTGGAGCCAAGCAGCTGAGGATCAGCATTGGTTGTCGTCGTGGTCCTCAATCTACGAGGCTGCCCAGCTACCATCATATGCATGACCCATGACAAGGCATGCAAGATGCGTTGTGGTGGTGTTCTCCCTGACGATCTCCTGCGCAGGGTGATCTGCAGAAGACTGACAGCCACCCTATCAAGGGCAGCCTGCCTATGCACAAGTAAAGCTTCGCCGCTAAAGGGCCTCCATCGTCTTGCACTGTGAGAAGTAAGGGTTGACCTGCATATCAATCAATCACCGTGGCTCTTGATCCAAACCAAAAGATTTGTCGTCACTGGTGAAGTACGTGCCTCGTGGCAGACATACTTGCCCTTGCAGCATTTTGGCCCTTTCCAGGTTTCACCTCAAATCGTGGTCAACACGGAATTGCACAGGCGCCCAGGCGGCATGCTGAAACCACTTCTTCAGCCCAGTGCCGCCACATTGAAGAAATGGCTCTGCACAGTTTTCGTCCGTCTGAGGCGGTCAATCAGTGAATGTCGCGCAGCATGCACTGCTTATGAGGATGCAATGGCTTCAGCCCGCCTCAATTTTGACTGTCTCGTTCGTGGTAGTGTTGGCGGTGGTGTCCGTGGTGTTCTCTGCAGACGTGATGTTGTCTGCAGATGTGGAGTTGTCTGCAGGCGTGTTGATGTCTGCAGGCGTGGTGATGCCTGCAGGACTGTCCACATCTGTCGGCGCCTGATCGCGCAAGATAGCTCACAGACTCTGCCTTCAGTGTGTGCAGGCGGCCTCTGTCCCATCGTCGCTGGTAGTGTTGCCTGCGACGCTTGGCGCAACGTCCGTCACCTGGACAGAGCTCAAGACGGCCAGAAAAGTTCCAGGCAGTTCTGGCGGTTTAGGGTTTAGGGTTTAGGGGTTGGGGTTTAGGGTTCAGGGTTTAGGGTTTAGGGTTTTGGGTTTGGGGTTTAGGGTTTAGGGTTTGGGGTTTGGGGTTTTTTTTTTCCCACCCGTTTCGCAAGCGTATACGGGGAAGAGGTCAGGCCTAGTTACCGCCAAAATTCAGGTTGAAAAGGTTGCTAGTCCGTTTGGGGTTTAGGGTTTAGGGTTCAGGGTTCAGGGTTGAGGGGTAGGTCTTGGCCAAGCCTTCTCCGCCGTCTCGCTGTCAGGCATGTCCACGGTCTCGCTTCCAGGTGTGCTGCTGTCCACCGCTTCAGCTTTTGGTAGCGGTTCCACCCGATGCCTAGGCCCAACCGCTCAGCGCCATGAGGCAGCACTGTGAACAGCTCTCCAGCTCACCTCGCAAAAATCTTAGTCCAGCACTCTACCACCACACCTCGCTTCTGGAGCGCATGCAAAAGGCACCTCGGAGAAGAAGCCAAGCTGAACTCACAGGCATGCTCGGAGAGTTTTGGCTGCTATGGCTGCTGGTGCAAGCCAGGGGGCTCAGAACCCTCAGCATGGCATTCATCATCCGCCAGCAGCGCGCTCTGGTCTTCTGTGCCGTGGACGGTCCAAAGTACCTCTGCTCAACTCTTGGGCTCAGCCACGGTTTCCCCCCCTCCAGCTTCTGCCAAGGGAGGTGCCGCGACCCAGAAGACTCCAAATAGTCGAAGTGAATGGATCACGTGGCTAGAAGGGCGGACCTTACTGCAGCGAGTAGTGCAAGGGGCAGTCAACAGGCACATCTGCTGATGGCGCGAGGCTCAAGGCGCAGGCGTTTGTCATCCCCTCTGCAATACGATTTTTGCGGGTTTGAAGAGGAACAGAGAAGGACACAGCGAAGCAATGTCCCTACGAGCCGAAACGGCTTGGCATGGGCAGCTGAAAGTGCTGCAGGCACGGCGCCCATGAAAATTCAGGCAACTGCATCCGAGACCCATGCTGCCAAGAGTCAACAACTATCCTTCAGCCTCTAGCATTCATTCCTCCCCATGCCTGCTGGAGACACCGCAAGAGTTCTTGCGACCAGGACATGGCAGCAAGGCATCCCAAGGTGTCATGCTGGAGTGGTGGTCATGAGCTCAGCACGCATGAATCTAGCCTGAAGCCCGCAAGATCTATGAACCTGACCCCTCGAGTGGTCCGGCCTACGCATGCGAAGTTCTTGAGGGAAGCTGGGGGTCGCTCACGTCTTGAAGCTACCACTGTGCCATAGAAAGCGCTGCGCGGTGTGTGACCAAAAAAGGGTAGTGCTGCACAGCACAAACCCGGCACATATGGTCAGTTCTCTACATAATGGTCCCTTTTTGGGTACCCTACATAATAGGGGCCGCCTAACAATCAGGACCCCAAAGAGGATCATATTTTGGAGAAGTGACCATGTATGGCGTGACAGAACGCAAGCAGTTTTGGTTCCCTGACAACTCAAGGGGGCACCAACCACCCGCATTCGGGTCTGCACCATCGAGCTTGGGAGCAACAACTAAGAACAAGACATCCCTTACCAGCCGGGTGTATACGGCCGTATCCACATGCTCCATAGTGCCTGATCCAATCGCGGGGTAGTCATTCACCTCCAGCAACCAGGCTTTTCCACTTCCGTCCAAAATAATATCCAGACCAAAGACTTGACAAAGCTCCGATTCTTTCGGTGTGTAGGGTCCCCTTGGCGCGTGTTCCAGGACGGCTCCGAACGCCTGCTCCGCCAATCGACGAACTTGCTTCACAACCTCCTGATCCTCCACCAGCGTAGGTTTGGGCAAGTGTTTAATCTTTGCGACATTGCTTATGTGAGCGGCTCGCAAACCTAGCTCCTCTGTGTAAGGCTGGCCATACTCCAGCGCCAGTATGTCATCATGGCAGTAAAGATCCAACGCACCGTTTGCTCGCCCATGCAGGAGGGCATGTGCTCTCATTACCCACTTCCGGCCGTTCTGCAAAGCAGGTGGCCACACATACCGCTGGACGATGAACTGCTGACATCCTTTGTGCCCGAGCTCACGTAGTCGTAGCAGGAGGCTGGAATAGTCAAACAAGTGTACCCCTGTGCCCTTCACACCCAAGCTGTGCTTCAGGAAAAAGAGCCCCTGCTCCCGCGGCGGGCTGGCAAGGAAGTCTTGCGCATCCCATGTTTCGGGATGCACGTCGCGGCAGCCAGCAGCCTGAAGATGCCTGGCCAGCTGTGCCTTGGCAGGCTTATCTAGAAGTATGGAAATGATGTAGAATATATATATATATACATATATATATATATATGCAGAAACACTTATCATGCAGAATATTTCATTATGTATATGTATGTATTGTGTTCTATTGTATTTTATTCCTACATGCATTCTACTTTGTTCTATGTTGTTCTCTTCTGTTCTGTTCTATTCTGTTTTAGTCTATTCTATTCCATTCTATTCTATTTTATTCTATATAGATATTCTTTTGCCGAAGATATACACCAGTGAAGATAGCGACACGAGTTCAAGCAGCCTTGTTGTCCAGTCGCCCAGTGAAGTCCTGCCCACAGATCCCACACTTAGATCCGAAATTGCTACTGCGATTGATGACGAAGAAGCGGGACCTGGGGAAAAGGCCGGATGAGCGGCAGAACATCCGCCGAAGATCCAGTTGCTGGAAACTTTCCAGCTTGTCCTCGACACCAATGCATGCCCTACACCATCAGGGTCATGGCCCAGACTTCCTACCAGACATGACAAGATGAGCGTCGCGTTGGCCAGCAGAATGCCGGGACGACGCTGTCGTCGCTCTCCCCGACAGCCTGCCAACAGGGATGCTCAGTGGACCCTTTGGCGAGTTGCAACGGTTCTGGGCCACAGCCTGCCAACCATTCGACTGGAAAAGCTGTAGACCTTGTCGGTGCAATTTGCCCAGAGGACTTCCCCAGCCCCACCTCGGCTCTCTTTCAAGCGACTCAATAGCTGGTCGCAGCTAAATGCATGTGTTCAAACCATCGTTCACGTGCTACTTCTAGGCGCAGGCTGCAAGGTTCAGCGGTCTAGCAAGAATAGCAAGTCAATCAGAACGAAACGTCTTGGAACAACACTTGCGATGTCTGCCGGGCCAGTACACCTGCTGGCAGCTAGCGTAGCACAGCTCACGAAAAGATGCGCGCCCCTTGAAGCCCACTGCCAGGCCTTGCCATATGGAACCTGAGCACGTCAAAGTCTTGCAGAACGTGCACCCGAACTTGCATATCAACGAAGACCCACCATTGCAAAGATCAGGCACTTCACTCTCGATGGCAATGGTGTGAATGGTCTTGGGCTGCTGTCTGACTGCTGAGGGCACCTTGGCCACCACAAAGAAGCATCAGCATCCCCAGCAGCTCAGAGCTTAGGCAGCTTGGGCTCCCCGCTCTTCGCGTGCACGCGTCAGCTCGCGGAAGCAGCTCGGACAACTCCTACTCTGAGCAAGAGGTCTCCTACGTTTTTAGTGAGGAGGACTCGGCCTCTCGGCTTCTCTACTCCAGTACAGCCACCGCCTGCACTGTCAGCACGTCACCCTGCTCCAGCACGCTCGCAAACGTCCAGGCCATTGCCGAGGCCTGTTCTGCCTGTCCACGGCGGCTTCGCTAACTGGGGGGGGACACCATGCACGCCCGCGTCAGGTACCTCCTGCCACATGCCTGCAGCTGAGGGTTGCACCTGTCTCTGTCGAACCTCAGCGTCCTCCTCTGCCTGCCACACTGGTAGGATCTCCCTCTTGGAGCAATGTGGGCGTTTACGAAAATAAGGGACTCCTAATGGAGACCCCAAAGTAGTAGGATTCCCTTGGAATACGGGCCCCAATAAAGTACCCCTAATTTCGGAAACCTCCATTTAAGCAGGGGAATCTCTCAGATCATGGCGGCCTCAGCAGCAAAGTCCCACTCATCAAGGCGACATAGCCTCCCCACCTCGACCTCAGTGAGACCGCAGCTGGAGCGACCCTCTTCGCATGGCATCCCGCATGTCCCGCATGACGACTCACAGCCCTAGCAGACGAGGCTCGGGCCCCGGTCAAAGCCGGCTTGGTCGGGTCCGCCTCCATCCACACGAACGCTGGGTCCTGAAAACAGCCGCTGCCGTCACTGCCTCCGCCTCTCACGCTGTCTCAGGCGCTCGCCTTCATGAACCACTGCCTCGCGCAAGGAGCGCAGAAGCTATGTGAATCAACGCAAACGTGTCAGAAGCCAAAACCACAATTCCGTCAAGGGGCATCTGTGATCTGGCATAGTTCCTGCTTTACAAAGGCTAGGGCTAGGGTCCAGGTCACAGGCACACATGCAAGCTTTTGTCCTTGACACGGCACCGAACCTTGTTGCATGCCAGCACAAACCCGGCTCTACACGAACAGTCGTCATTCTCGCAACACGTCAATCCCAGGTTGCCGGCTTGCGCACAAACTCCGACAAACTCGCGGCATCGTCATGTTTCGGCTCTGGCCTGGCACATTTATCCCTTGAGTAGAGCAGATCCACAGCACTCGAACTCGCAAAGAGACACGAAGAGCACATCCACGCAAGGCGAAAAAGCGCCAACAAGCGCAGGGCATATACATACATAAACACATACATACATACATACATACATACATACATCCATCCATCCATGCATGCATGCATACATACATACATATATAATGTACATATATATATATATATACATATATACAAACACACACACACACACACACACACACACACACACACACACACACACACACACACACACACACACTGGGACGACCCTCGAGAGGTTAGTAGGTGTTCACACATGCCAATCATGTTCCCCATGTCGCGGTGGAGCCCTATGTGAGGGTTCAGAATCACTGCGAGGGAAGTCCAGTTTCCGTCTGGGAAGCGATCTTGCAAGAAATGATTGACTGCGACACATGCTTCTTTCATGGCGGATGCTTTCGACATGCAAGGGGCGTTGCCACCAAAAGCATACAGTCCTAGGGTGCAGTCAATGTCAATGCTGCGGAGCTGTATTTCTGCGAGCTCGGCAAATTGCAATCAGCGAGTGAAACTGCCGGTACGTCTGGCTTATCAGGCCAGATTTCAGCACGAACACTTGACTCTCTTCGTTGGGTCACCAGTCAAGGTCGTGGGTGACCCCCCTGCTTTTGCACCAGAGACTCCTGATGAAGTTGCCTCTTCAACACACACACACACTTACTTGTTTGTTGAGTTTGTTGACTTTGGTTGATGTTTGTAGATACACTGGCATTTCGACAAGCCTCAAGTGAAATGACTCCAGGAAGGGCGGGGCCTTGTGAGATAGTCAATCACCTGACGATAACCTGAGCACAGGAGACCCCTGCCACCCCACCATCCAGCTCGGCCGAGGAAACTGCCAATGGCATCAGCCGCCGGAGTGTCCAAGGTTACGACACCTCGTCAATCCAGAGGGAGTCACGACATCAAAGGATAGACGCGGAGATGTCAAGCGGGCCTGTCTCGAGGAGATCAGCCTTGGTGGAGCCGAGTTCATCCCTCAGCCAAAAATGGAATCGGCCACTGTGGGCCACCTTGGGCTCCCTGCAACTTCCTCAAGGAGGCCTTTCTGCAGCATGGCCACGCACCGCCTGAAAACAGCCACGGCATGTCACATGCGAATCTAGACATTCGAAAACAGCGAGCCTGCCTGTCCTTGGCTGCCCGCCATGCTCCCCCCAACAGCTTCTGCAACACCCACACAGCTCAAAATAGCTCTTGCAGCAAGAGTCTATTCTGTGAAACAGCGCTGGCCGATCTTGTGGGCTGAGAAAGAAGGCCCGCACGTCGTAGCCTGAGGCTGCGGACTGAAGAGCAGTCTAAGGGCTGTCTGCAACGGGGCGTCTCTTCCAGCTCTAGGCCACCAAACGTCCGATCACGGATCGCTTTTCAAAGGGCTCCAAGTCTGGATGCCGCCCGTCCCACAGAGGAATACAAACAGGAGGATCTCGCCAAGTGGCGGTGCCGCGATCCTCTCCCAGTCGGCTTGGGAGGAGTTCGGGCCACCTGGCTGTCCAAAAAAAACGCCAACCCAAAATCCTGACGCTTCCCGCTGGCTGCCTCCAGCTGCCTCGACAACTGGCGCCTAGGTCGCAGACAACACCGGCTAAGTAAAACTCGTCGAAAGCTTCACAAAGGCGCCGGCCAGTTGTTGGGCATGATCCTTTCAGCCTCGCAGACAACGGGCGGTCAAACCAGCCCTGCGCCCCAGCGCTAGATGCTTGCCTTATGCTTGCCTTCGTCGGATCAACCGACGCCAGCAAAGACAGTGCACCGTCCCAGTCCATTGCATCCTCCAGGGCGACGTACCGTGGCCCTGTTGCTTCCAAAGAGGGAAACCGCAAACTGAATTGCTGGCGCCTGGAAGGGGCGCAGCTCTTCAGAAATCTGTGCCTGCACAGCCGGGTCCTCAGCAGGCACATTTCATGTGATGGTGGTTAGATGATGGGCTGCCGTACCAGACTCAGAGGCCCTGGCCGACTTCGCCGCGTCGGGCTCACCTTTCACCAGCCAGTCCAGGTACATGCCTTATAGGGTCCAAGGGCCAGCCACTGGCTACCAGGCGTCAATGGGCAGCAAACCGGGCGTCAGAGCTATCTTGCAGCTGAGTCACAGGAGCCACCTTCACGCGGAACGCTGAATGCTGCAATTCCACTCAGCACAGCCGCTCTAGAAATGCTTGCAGACAAGCTGCCGACAACGATGGGCACAGAACCGTTGCCCAAGGCATCGTCGATGCATCCTTCAAGGTGGGCCGCAACTCCCCCCAATGCTGTCCTCATAGCACAGCGTCAGCGAGGGCGATGCGGAGGGCTTCTCTCGTCCATGTGCCGGCTGTGCAGGGCCTGGGACTCTCATGTTGGAAGAGCGCCCAAAGAGACGAAGAGACGAAGAACGAAGAGGCATGTCCTGCCTGTTGGGTTCCAAGAGGTCCTTAGTGAAAGCAGGGCCCCTCCCGGGAAGCTGTTAAAATTCGCAGCGGAAGCTGACACGAAGCACGCCGAGCTTCTATCAACTCGATCGGCCACCTCTCCTGCGCAAACGTCCGAAGATTCGCCCAATTTTCCTAGAAGGGGGGGCCACCAAACACCGGTGCCAGCCATCTGCGCCCACATGCGCCCACCCACAACCGCACGATCCCTCCGACAAAAACGTTCTTGTCAACATATGGTTTCGGCTCACCAGATCTCACCAGGCTCCTTTCATTTACGAAGCAGACCACGTATGTAGTGTTGTCATTGTTAGCAAGCCCATCGCTTCTCATGCAGCGCGCGTGAGCGAAATCATGGGCACAGCCTACGACGCTTGACGACAAAGCCCAGCATCTACCAAAGGTGGGATCTTTGTGCTGCAAATGCCAATGCAGACAACAACAACGAGAAAACAAACTTATTGCACCAGGAGAAGGGGACGAAAGCTCTGCCCCGAAAGGGACTGCAAGTGAGGGAATGGAGCTTTCCATGCTTCAAGCCATCCCCATTCCAGGGCCCCAAAACGGTAGTGCGTGCAGAAACCGTCACCAAGGTCTAACTCTCTGGAATATGTTGAGCTGATAGGCAGACCCAACGCCGGCCATGGGCCGACGCTTCCTGGACTCCCCGCGCAGCAGGAGCATCAGCAGACCTTCGTTTCTGCCAGGCCGCCAGCTAGCGGGCAAGGCCCTCGAAATCTGGACCATTTTTGCCCTCCAATGCCCTAAATTGGGGTCCCCTCAAGGAGCTTTCGAAAAGTAAAAGAACTCCGAAATCATACTGTGGACTATTTTGGATTCCCTCAATAACCCTGAGGCACAACAGCTTGTCGCCTGCTCTTCCTTCGATGGCTTGTTGGAACCGATGTCAAGACCTGATGCCAAATACATGTTCAACCCACCAGCCACGGATTAAGGCAAGGCCCATTCTCATCGGCCTTTGTATACTTGGACTGAATCTGCACTGATGAGGCAAGCCTGTCCATCAGCAATGGCAATACCCACATCACGATACAGCTCAGGTGAAAACAAACACTGGCCTTCTGCCCCGATTCATGGAGATTGTCCATCAGTGCCCCCGCAGCATCTGATTTGCCAACCGCCGTTGGTCCTACCACGCGGTTGTTTAAGCCTACCACGCGGTGGTTTAAGCATGACCTCCAACCTCACGTTTCTGGAAACCGGCCTGCAATCACCACCACAAGGTTTTTGGGCATTGGCCTCCATCCAGCCTCCAGTGAACATGTGCGCTCGCAACATCTGCCAACTGCATCATAAGCATTCATAAACAACAACGCTTTGCGGAATGTGTCGTTTTTGTTTTTGTTTCCGCGTGTGACCTGCACGCTGAAACACTGTTCCACTGCTATCGCTGCTACGGTAAACGAAAAGTGCAGGGGAATGCATGGTGCACATGCTGCTAGTGCCTTGAGCTTCCTGACCCTGCGCTGAAACCAGCGCAGCCATCGACCCAGGCCCGCGCAGCAAATGACCTTCACCAAGCTGCCACACTTTCGTTCAATTGGCCTTGCTTACAGCAATGTGGGTCGGGGTCGAGGCCATGGTCCGAGAATGTCGAGGACCTGCTCATGGGCGTGTAAACACACACACACACACACACAAACCTAGAAACGGCAAAGTCGAGGGTCTCACGTTGCTGGCGTTTTTGGGAAAGGTACCTGGACAAAATCGCAAATACAAAACACAAACAAACACGCCTGAATGGCGCACAGGCCTGCCAGTAAACGCTGCCTTCACATACACCTGGCATCAACACGGTGTCGGTCCTCACGCACAATCTGGGCACGGGCCTTCTGCGGGCGCTGTCCAACCAATGAATGAAGTCGATGCACCACAGGTGGGACACACAAAGACATGCACGTGCAGGGATTGTGGATTTGTTTTGCTATGGCGTAAAGTATGCCGTGTGATGACAAGCTCGCAAAAGAATGAGTAGTTTGCCCCTGCGCATGTCCGGGGCTCAAGACTCAAGTTTGTACCAAAGCTGAACCATCGCAACATCCACACCCTGAAAATGCAAGCCCTACATAGGCGACTTGGGCCAAAATGCATGAAGGAAAGCACATTGCACATGCAGTTATCTTTTCAGTTATTGTCTCGTGACAGTTGTTTTTTCGACATTCCTTTTTGCAGATCCCATGCAAGAGTTCGTTTTTTCATCGCGCCTGTTTGCGCCTGAAGGAGTCTTATACTAGCATTGCACCATTATTGTGGTTATTGTGGTTCTGATTCTCATTATCCTGTTCTTGTGTCATTGTTGTTGTGGTCTTTGTTGCTATATGTTACTATTGTTCTTATTTTGGTTGGCGCGGGGCGACGCGCTGAACAGGAGCAACAACCAGGCGGAGGTGTGGGAGGTGAGATAGCTCGTCCAGCAAGCGGCGTTCCTTCCTGGAGCCACGCGTCAGCCCATGCTTGGACGAAATCGGCGTGCCCAACACCACGATCCCGCGCTGGGGCGACAGCTTGTCTGTCGCCCTGCCAGACATCCTCGCCCAACTTGGTGATCCCGGGCGACGGCGGGGCTTCATGGGCGGCCATGACCCGTCTCTTTTTTTTTTTCTTCGCACCTTTTTCAGCCCGCAGGAAGTGCCGGGGGTCCACCTCTCAGCGCAGCCTACTGAGCCTACTGTCGGGGATGGGCTCCACCCCGCGTGCGTCCGTGTCTTGCCGAGGTTGGACCCGATGCCGCAATCGGTGTGCGCGTCGGCAGAGTTGTTTTTTATTCCCTTTGCGCTTTTTTGCAACTACAGACGTCGGTCAGAGGGTCGTGGCGACCTACGAACCTACGGGAGGCGCTCGCCCGGGGGCTGCCTAGTATTAGGGCAGCGGCAGGGTGGCTGAGGACCTTTCGCGAGGGGCTCGACGGTGTGTGCACGGCTTGCCGCGGACAACTCGCCAAGTTGGACGACAGACTCAGCCCGGTCTGCACGGGCCTCGTCAGTGGTGGCCCGCGCGCACGGTACAGCAGCATACGGGGTGCAAGCAAGAGAAGCTTCCAGCCCCGCATGCGCTTGTGCAGCCACGGCCGGGGGGGGGGGCCAACCCCCGGCCGTGGCGAGGCGCAGGCCAGTTCGCAGCGCAGTCCGCAGTGCGCCACGCAGACGTTGAAGCGCAGCTTGCAGCGTCAACGCGCGACAGCGCGAAGTCCGGCCTCAGCAGCGACGACCCTGTGGCCGAACTCACAGACCCCAACCGCTGGCCGCCCGCGGCTCGCTCGATCTTCGTACGTCGTGCCAACAACCCCGCGCGGGGGCAGGCCAGGGCGTGGTCCCCACTTGGAGGTTCATGGTACTTATTAACCAATTATAAATTATAACTGTACTTACGACTGTACTTATAACCATATTAGGACACCTAAGGGGCTTTTTAGTCTGAGTATGTCTGAGTGGGCTGCGCGGCAGGGGCAAACGCAACCGTCGCTGCAACGCCGAATGCGGGGTGCTGCGCGAGGGCATACAGCGCTGGCATCAAAGGGTCGCCTTGGTCACCGCCTTCGGATGCGATGACCGTGCCCGGCATCGTCATACCAAGCGTAGGAACTACTCTCGGCGTAGAATTGGCGCGCGTAGGGAGAGAAAAAAATAAGGCCACAGCACCGGGCGCTGAAGCAGCCCCCTCAGCATGGTTTGACGGGAAACGTGGTCGAATGCCCCAACAGAGTCAACCGGATTGTTTCCCGTGCACTGGCCGCAGTGGAGGCAGACGACGGCTTCAGTCCCAGCAAACGTGTTAAGACCGAATTGGAAGGGCAGGCACGCCTCTTGGATCCGTTTCTGATATGAAGCGGCCGTACACTGGGGCGAAACTTTTGATTAAGGCGTCGCTTTTTTGGCGTTTACATGGGATTCAGTGGTTCGCTGTATCTGACATATTGATTTGTAATACAAGATAATACAAGTTTTTTTGTCCCGCGCGCCTTTTTCCGCAGGATGTCCTCGTGGGGGTCGGGGGTCGGGGGGGACGGGCTTCACCTCCACGGCGGCACGCGGCGGTCCCAGCGGGCATGTGCAGGTCAGGCACGGCAGCATCGCCGTTTCATCCGTTGCTCTCGCCCGCAAGGGGGATGAGCTAGTTGTTGTACTAGTTGTTGAATTGCACTCCCCGTTGTGAAATTCGCAAGGCGACCCAGGGTGGATTCGAACCACGTGCTACTCACGATACTCTGCCCTGCAGAGCCGTTACAGTCTCCACCTGCGCAACCCGGTTCAACTCCGGGATAGTGCTTTGGTATATCGCTCCGTGGCACCGGGGCCAAGGGGTGATGCAGCAACACTTGCTGCTTGGATGCAGAGGAACACCTCTCTGCATCCCCTTCACCGCCAGCACCTAGCGGTTTGAACCACCCCACGGTTTGAACCACCCGGTTCCACACCACGAAACGAGTCGCACCTACGTGCGCAACCCCATAAGGACTGGGTTACTCCACTGGAGGCCGAGTCCGAACAGGGCGGGTGGGTGGGCAAAATCAACAGCTGCCTGCCGTTTTGGGTCACACTCGAACCAAAATGTCACGCAGCAGCAAATAAGGAATGATACATGCACACCCATGCCTGCCAAACACGATGCATGGTTAACATTCCTACTTGCATCACTACACTCTGCCCTGCAGAGCCCTCGGTCTCTCTTTTTCAAACACCGCGCACACCGTTACAGTCTCCACCTGTGCAACCCGGTTCAACTCCGGGATAGTGCTTTGGTATATCGCTCCGTGGCACCGGGGCCGAGGGGTGATGCAGCAACACTTGCTGCTTGGATGCAGAGGAACACCTCTCTGCATCCCCTTCACCGCCAGCACCTAGCGGTTTGAACCACCCAAGGCACTCCCACACTCCCATCCCCAAAGCACTCTCACAGGAAAAGGAAGACTGTCGACACTGCGCTGAATGGTAGAGACCAAAGAATTGTGGGAAAGGTAGCCACACTAGGGGAAAAACCCCTCCGGTGTAACCATGGATCGCAGAGTCCTACACGGCTCACCGCGTCCGCCCAGCTACTCTTGGAGGGAACATATTCCCAGAAAATGGATGTTCGAAGAGTGAACAAGGCCACATGTATGAGGTGGGCTAGGCGTTCAAGGTCCGGCGAGCTTGAGCGCCCTCGGATAAGCGCCATAAGCGCTGCCACGTTGTCAATGTACCAATAGCCGCGCCTTCCCCGGAAAGATTCGGCACGCACCACCAGCCCGTAGAAAACCATGGCCAATTCCAACTGGGCGATCTTATGCTCGCCTGGTGCGAACAAGGCGTAGAGCTCTGAGTTAACTACAGCTGCGAAGCTCTCGCGCTTCTCTGGCTCGTCCAACCAAACGATGTGGAAGCCTCCAGTCCCTTGCCCCGGCACGTCTTCGGCTGCGTCGCTCGCAGCAAGAAACCTTGGAAGTGGCCGAGGGAAGAGATCAAATTCGCGCTCTGGTCGCACTGCCAACACCGCTAAGATCATCTGCAGACTGGATTCATGGGGTCAACTCCCGACCTGTCCCATCTGCTCTCTCGCGGATAGAGCGCAGGCCTCCGGCTCCCACTCTCCCGCACATGCCCTGCTCCAAGAAGTTGCACGTACCATACAGCTTGGATGCCTGGCCTGCAGAGAGCAACCCGGACGAGAGGCTAGTTGCTACCATATCCTGTACCTTCTGCAGCAGACGCTCACGCACAAAGAACTTGACGCGCCCACTTTGCAAGGCCTGGGAAAAGTCAAAATCGAGGCCTAGAAATGTGCCTGTTGGTGCCATCGCTTGCCGCTTATCTAGTGCAAAGGGGGAGCCCAACATAGAGTTCAGCTCGGAAAAGGCCGCTTGCCCCGATCCTCTGGATAACTGCCAATCTGTCAAGTGGGAATCGTCGAAATAGAGGGAGACGAGGATGCCGAGCAATCTACGCCCCAATGCTTCGACGGCACGGCTGTAGCGATTGACGCTAGTGACAGCTAACGGGAGGCCAAACAGCAATCCAGAGTAGAGCTGGTAAGCGGGTTGGCACCATTCCTGATGCCACCAGACCACCACACATGCCAAACTCGCCCGATGGGACATGGGGCAGCGGCGATAAGCGTCGGGCCAATCCTCACCCCCGCCCTCCAGCGCATCAACTCGCTGGGCTTCCTCCAACTCGGAGGTAGACAACTGACGCAAGAGAACGGCTGCATGCTGAGCGGACCTCAACGGTGAGCACAGGACCAACTTATTAGGATCTGAGCTAAGCTCCGACTGGCCTCCAGCATCGGCGTTGTCAATCACCCTTTGTTTGCCACTGCTTTGCGTAATAGCGCATCTGGGGATTAGACGAAACTGCTCTCCCCTGACCGCTCTCAGTAGCTCCGGATACTGCAGCGGCTTAGAACAGAAGCCGTTCTCAGCATCCTTCAAGCTTTGAGCTAAAAGGAAGGTGTCGTCCTTTCCTGGTCGCAGACTGGCTTGGATACGGCTGTTGCGGGCCTCCACATCTTGAAAGATCTCGTCCGGGCCTATCGGCCTGGAACCCTGCCACGGGAAAACTCCATAGTATGGGGCCGTCCCACGGCTGCCATGCCTTCGATGAAAGCCTGGGGTAACGACAAGTCCCCCCACGACACCAAGAGCAACAGTAGGGCGAGAAGTCTCCAAGCGCACTCACAGCGACCCGCCGCGACTGTCGGAGAGTCACCTCCGCAGCAAACTGCAGATCGAGATCGAGAACGGGTTCGGCCTCAAATGGGGTAGGGTAGTGGGCCAGGTCCCTGGCCAAATCAAAATGCTCGTCAGGGCGCAGGCCGAAAGGCAGCACTGGGGGCAGGGCAGCTCTGTGCGCCATACCACCTGCTTGCTGATGCTGCGCATTCCGCTGCCACTGCCTCTGCTGGGCACTGACCATCTGCGGCAGCAGGGGGCCGTCCCACGGCAGATCCTGCGCTCGACACCACTGCGGAAAAGAGGTGAAGAGCGGACTGTTGATGAGGTCCTCAACCAAAGACAAGCGGAAATCTTGAAGGAGGTTTGGCGAGAAGAGGGACTTGAATGCGCTGGTCACTGCATCTTGGTGCAAGTACGGGACCACGGCCCCCCACTAGAGTAGACAACGCTCCAGCTGCTGCCGCGAGGACGACTCTCCGTCGCAATCCCCGATGCCTGCGCCCCGGCCGTCCCGGCATCCTGCGCTCGCTGCCAACACATCCGCTTCGCAGGCTTGGGACAGGGGACAGTCGCAGGCCAACACTCGACCCTCGAGAGACCTGAGTTCATTGCGCATGTGGCTCATGACGTGTTCCGTGAAGAGCGGGAGCCAGTCGTCTACCCCGCAGTTGAATCCTGGAACAAACGGACAAGCCCACTGCGTGACTGGCAGCCCACATACACGTGGTCCGCCGGCAGGGTCTTGTCGGGCTGCAGGACCGACTGTACCTCTGTTCGGCGCGGTACGCGCGCCGCCTCCCCCGGGTCGAGTGGCTTGAGCCCTAAGGAGATGGCCAGCGGCGCCATGGCCCACTCGCGCAACGCTCGCAGATCCAACTGCAGCCAATGTTCGCGGCGGCCGACCGTCTGCACCGCTGGTCCGTGGGGCACATGGAGTTTAGCCCAGCCGGTTCTGCACGCCCACCAACTTGCTGAAACTGCAACGTGGAATGCTAGAGGGGCTGTATGATGCTGCCCATTTCCCAAGGTTCCCACTCTGCTGGGTCGTGGGTATGGTGGCACTTCAGCGACGGCCCCTGGGTCAACTCCCAGAGATTGTGCCGCAGGCGCTGCGCCTTACGGCGCGCCCCCATGAAGCAGCATGCGTGGTAATCGGTGTCGAACCATTGTCCCGACGCCAACATCGCCTTTTCCTGCGGCAAATGCCACTGCAAGCTGTTGCGGGGATTCTCGCGCAAGGCTCCACCCCCACGATCCACCACCTGCTGCTGCACAAACTTATAGGCCACGTTGTCTCGCCCAGCCCTGGAAGCCCCATCGGATGTTCTTCACTCCGGAGCGGTCTCAGCGCTTCTGGATGTGGCCCTATATCTCGAGCAATCTCCCTTGCTCTAGACTTGGTGCTGCAATCGATGGCTGCCAACACCAGGCATGCCTGATCCACAGCCTGCTGCACCAAAGGCTGGCATTCAGCCGACGCCAGATCGTGGCTAGGGTCGAGCACCAAATCCACCGGGGCGCACTTCCAGCCACAATACAGCAATGCCTTCGTCAACGGCGCGTTGCCACCGCACATGAGGTCCACTGCTACTGGCTGGCCGTCCTCTGACTCCTCATGGGGGCCGTCTGTCTCCCCTAATGCCCCCTCACCCCCCTCAGGGCCCCCTCATGGCTTCGCGGGAACCCGGCATGAAGCCGCACCATGGCCTGGCGATGGAAGTCAGTGCATAGGCGTGTCCCGTCTTTCAACACGGCTGCTGTCTTCTTCCCTGCTACCATGGGTCCCTCGCGAAACTTGGACTGGCCTGGGATCACCAGCTGCTCCTTGTTTGCTGCGCTTGCCGCGGGCTGCTCCAGGACAGCATGGCCTGGGGTTGGACTAGACACTGTCCAGCGGGCGTCTCTCGCCTCCATGACTTGCTTGATGACCAACCCCAGAGAGTCTGTGCTTTCACGAAATCTTGTAACCCACTCGCTACGCTCTTCGGTGTCCTTGGCCTGCAACCACGCCAGCCTACGACCTGCTGGCAATGGCAAAGTGCACTTCTTGGCTCGATAGTAATATGCCAGCACTGTGTCCAAAGGCACACCAACAAATTCAACCGACGCTGCTCCCACTTGGTTAGATCCACGCCAGGCAGTGCCTCCACTCCGGCCATGGCATATGCCAGCAAAAGCGTATGCAGCTTGTCGAGGTAGGTGTTCTCGTCATGCACTCCTGTATCTTCTGCTTCCACCTCCTCGGTCCAGAGGTTGTCTCCCACTTTGCGCTTCTTTTGCACGGTGGTGAGCTGGAACTGTAGATTACGCACCTTCCAGATAGGGTACACGCACAACATGCGCTTGGCGATCTCCCGCGAGACTCTGGACAGCAGCGAGTCTGCTGGAAGAAGGAAATCGCAAACGATACCGCTTCCAAAAGGATTGTTTGTCATTGCGAAGCTCCCCATCTTCGAGTAGCGAATCAAGGTCGGCAAGTGTGACTTTGGACCTGTCCTGTTCGGCTTGGGTAAAATAAAGGCGCACCGCTTGCCATGCACGACGCATGCGGGCTGTCTGAATGATCGTGGCGTCACCCAAACCCAACTTAGTGATCCACCGACCCACATGCTCCTCACTGTCGAAAAAGATAACGCAACTCCTCCAAGCGGGTCACTCCCTCGGACTCATTACGCTTTGTGACTTCAGACGCGAGACTAAAGTTAGCAGCTAAAGTGGCAAGGGCAGCCTTGAAATCCCCCCCGTCACGCGGGACCCACGGCTGAGCCAGCACCAAGTCACTCTTGGAGGCCTACGCCCTCTGAGCTTCTCTCCAGGTCCCACCTGGAGCACGCTCGCCAGGTCCCTCCTGGCTTGCTTGAATGTACCTCATCCAAGCCAAAATGCCACATTTAAGAACAGCACTGGTGCCTGCCACACACTTGCTCATGCAAGGAATCTCTCATGCGCAATGCTCACATGGAATCAACAAGCAGGCAACCCTCAGCAGCGCATTCACTGTATGGCGTCATGCAACGCTACTGATCTGGCAGGCACTCACAGAGGCTGTCTAAATGCAACGGCCTTTTCTCATCTATGCTCGCGTGACACTGGGACTCAAGTACGAAAAGCTGACCAGGCGGCGACGAGCCGATCCGAAGACTTATGCCCGACGCAAAACTGAAGCACACATGTGCAGGCCCGCAAGCTCTGATTCGTAGGTCACGCTAGCTCGTTGGGGCAATACACTTTGGGCCATTCACCCGATCATGGAGACTGCCATCGGGCCAGACTGAAACAACGTCTGCGCTGCTCTTTCTGCCACGCAAAGGCTTCGAACTTGTCCAAAGCGCGCATCGGGGATACTAAGCTGCGAGCGCCCGCAACTTGGCGACGCTGACAGAGGGTCACTCCCCCTTCAGTCTCTAGGTGGAGCAACGAGTTCCTGGACGCAATGTAGGCTACCGGCACCGGAGGCTCCCAAATTGGTCTTCCGCACCGCCTTTTCCTCCGCAATGGAACGATTCTGTCAGCGAACCTTGTCCAGCTCCACGTCGCGGAGGGCCTTGACGTGCTCCTCAGCCTCTCGAAGGGACTCTCCCATCAAGATTGCTCTGCATGTCACGGCTACCAAGACGTGCCGCCCCTCCCACAGCGTATGCTTGATGAGGGGGAAGAGCTCTGCGAAGGCTTCGTCGCGCCCATAGGACGGGGTCACATTGAACTGGCGCACCAGCGCGTTGGGCAAGTTGATGCCTTGCCTCGCCGGCGCCGACCTGAAGGTCCACCTCCGGAAAGTTGGCCCGGTTGTCCTGTGTTGGGAGGGCGGACAGCAGCAAGCGACCTCCCGCACGACTCTGCTAGACGGTGGTTGGGATCTGCAAGGCCTCCCTCGTGCCAGCTAAAGCCAGGCTGCGCTCCTCACCGATGCAGGTCGGCTCTTTGGCTTAGCTCCTGCGACCCCAGGCCCCGACTTGGAACGAGGCATGGCCTTGGCGGCCGCGCCGGCTGCGCCGACTTAGCTGCGAAGCCCACCGGCGCCTTCTTGACCCTGATCTCCGCCTTGGGCACCCGAGGCATAGGCTTAACCTTCACCTCTCCTAGGCCCTCCATGGCTGCTGCATTGCGCTTCCTGGCAGCCGAAGACGGCGGATACCGCGGCTCCGGAACTTTACTGGAGCTCGCCGAGGGACTCTCGCGCCTGTCGCTCGAGCCCGGCTCTTCGCGCCGCACCTCACTGGCCGGCATCAAGTTGTAGGCGCCTTGGCGGGCGGTGGGACTGGACGCGGAACATCCTCTGGCTTCATGGTTGTCGCGGCAGTCCTTCCCCGCGTGTCTGCCGCCGCACACACGACTCGACCGCAGGACAGCGGCGCATGGAAGGCCTTCTTTCGAGCAGGACCTGGGAAGCTCGCCGGCGCCTGCCAGACGGCGTCTCCATCCAGGCGCACTTTCTCCACCACCATGTTGCGCAGCACCGGATCATCTTGGGCAAGAAAGCTGCGGGGAGACTGCGTCCCATGATGCAAAGAGTGACAGCATGGACTGCTCATCCAGCTGCAACAGCAGCCCCACTGTTGGAGCTACCCTCCTCCAGCTGTAAGTTGGACGGGGGGTTCGACACCAAGGAATTCGTCCTGGGCCATCCTGGTGACTTCGTGGATTGCCCACGGGTTCCCATAAACATCGAAGCTCACGCCACACCTGAGCTGCTTACTCGGCGGCAGCTCTTTGAAGGCATCCAACCAGTGCTCGCGGCCCAGGGCCAGCCCGACATGAAGTGCGATGGCACCGCCCAGGTAAAGCCGTTTCGGTTGTGAGCCTGCTTCCCTTCTGACACCAGAAGTGGACCGTAGATCCGGTGACTGAAAGCGGTATGGATCTCTCCAAGTGCTTGTGACGCACACAACCAGCGAAGATGATCCAGTTGCCCAGGAGGCAGTTCCACCGTGGATCACCAAATTGCCATAGATCCACCACCCGAGCCTCCAGCTTGCTCAGCATGATAGGCTTTGCCACAGCTGCCTGGGAAGGTCCCTCCTTCCCGGCCTGTGCCGGCCTCGAGGGCTGCAAATCTGCCAGCTCCCATTCGAGGGACGCGTGCTTGCTGAACCAGCCATTCAACGCACGCACAGGGGCCTTAGTTCTTTGTTCCAAGAAGGCAAAGAGGTCGATCTTGTCCACATCTGCCAGACCACCAGCTCGACCTCGGAGCAACTGAAAGTGGAGGAGCTCACGCAGGGACCTCAGGCATCCATCCACTGTCGCACGCTCTGCCTCCTTCACTTTGCGCTCCGCCAACGACGAGAGGAGAGCTTTTTTTTTTTTTGACCTAGGAGATTCTTCCCGTCGGCTATGCGCCTCGGTTCGATCTCCAGGCTCGTGCGCCCCTGCTGCCTCCATGAACTGCGCCAGCTCATTCGCGGCCTCGCTTTCCGGCAACGCAACTCGGGAGCCCTTTGCCCCTCACAGACTTGGCCAGGCGACCCAGCTGGAGCTTCTTGACCACGACCGCGCGCATGGCAGGTCGAGCTGCCGCCGCGTCAATTGCCTGGTGCACGAAGCCGAGGACTGCACCATCTTCGAGGTCATTGCAGACTTCAGCCCACGCGTCCGCGACCGCGTTCCCACCGGCGTCCCGGATGCTTGATGATGCTCGCTAAGCGTGGTCAGCATCCTTTCATGGATGGACGTGCTCGGACCCGTGGTCTACGTCACCTTTGCCTTTGCGGCACAGCAGATTGGAGCTTCAGTTCTTGCTCCATGTTTCTGCATGTCTTGTCACGCCGCCTGCCGTTGACCGCTTCTCGGATGACGCCCTGTTGCGCTTCTTGCTCTCTCTCCTCTCTCTTTCTTTCCAAATAGTAGGGGCAACACTCGTGCATCAACTGCGAGCTTCTTGGCCAAGCATTTGCCAAACTCAAAGGTCGCTGCTTGAGGGTTTGGAACCCCGGAGTAGAACTTGACGCGTCTTGTGCCCCTTTGTATAGTCATGTGAGTTGGGGCACCTTATTGTCCTCATTGTTTCACGTGCAAATGCATGCAAATGCTGACCGCTGGACGGTTGTTTGGGCGCCGCCCCCACCCGCCGAGGAGGTCGGCCTCGAGGTTGGCAGCGTGAAGCCTTTAGGGCGGTTGATGACTTTTGTCGCAGGGCCGTGCTCAGCGAGCTCGATGAGGCGTCGTTCGCGCTGCTGGAGTCGCAGTCTAGCCTGTACGTTGCTCGCGTTTTCTTTGCCCGGCCCACCTCGTCTGAGCTACAGCTTGGGTCATCGTTCTTCCGTGTTTTGCTTCTGCGCCGGTTTCGCCTGCCGCTTCCGCTAGCTGCAGCTGCTTGCAGATGCCGCCGGCATCTAGATGACCTTGGGGATCACATCGCAGCATGCCTTCGGTCTGGCATCCTCCGCTCCCGCGGCGTTGCGCTCGAGCACGCGGCAGCCCGCGTCTTTCGGCAGGCCGGGGCAACACTGTGGCAGCACGTGCTGGTCCGTGATCTCAACGTTGTGCCTGCTCGGTGTGACGAGCGTCATATCGAAGTCATCGCCAATGGCCTCCCGCTTTGGAACGGGGCGCAGGTCGCTGTCGATACCACGCTCGTCACCCCCCTCACATCCTCAGCTGAGCTTCGGCGCCTCAGGGGCAACACAGCAGGCGCTGCACTCCGTTCCGTGCCGCCCGCCGAAGCAAAGAGCGGACGTGCCCTGAGCTGGTCGGTTCGCGGCGTTGCCACCTTATCGTTCTCGGCATTGAATTCGGCGGTCGGTGGAGCGCCGAGGCAGCGTCTTTCATCCGCTTGCTCGCCCGCTGCCGTGCCCGGGCTGCGCCCCCGGCACCTTCGCAGCCAGCCTTCTTGCTTTGCCCCGTCCAACCTCGATGGGGATGCGCCGCTCCTTAGTGACATTCTTGCAGACTCGTCCGAGGGTCCTCCACTTGCCAGCCGCTTGGCGTGAGTCGTCTGCCCGTCCCCACTCTCGCCTCCCGATCACCGAGGCATCTGCGATGCCACCTGCACTGGGACCGCGATGAACGTTGGCCAAAAAAAACAAAATCAGGACCACTGCTGCTGCTTGCGGTGTGGGGGGTTCGTGCTTGCCGTGCGCGCAGGGCCGCTTGAGCGCGCCGTTATGCGCCGTTGAGCGGGTTTGCCGCGAGGCTGTTGCGCATGTCGCCCGCAATGTCCGCGTCGCCGACAGGAGCATCGATGTGCCAGTCGCTGACGACAGGCGTGTCGAAGTCGTTGCCAACGGCCTGTCCCTCTGGCACGGTTCGCAGCTCGCGGGTGACGCTACGCTCGATTCCCCGCTCACACGTGCGGGCGAGCCCCGGCCGCAGGCTGATGTCGAGCCGGGGCGCTCCGTCACCACAGCAGCACGGCGCAAGGGACGCGGCACGTACCCCGAACTCCTCCGCGCCCGGCGGTGCCGCCTGGTTGTCATAGGTTGGACGTGGGTGGGCG